ACATTTATGTTTTGATCTCTTTGGAGATTTCCAAAACCATTTTCAATTATTTGGCGATGCACTCTTACAAATACTGAGCGAGTTGGATGTCGTCCGTTTGGAAATCTTCGTGCGTATTCTCTGGCTGCTTCTGCTGCGTTTCCATTTACAAAGCCATACACAAAATGAATATCCGTTAACTCTTGATTGTAGAATAAAAATGGCATTTTTATAAAACTTACAAAAAAAAACAGGTGAAAGAAACTAAATTTCGTGCATTCACAATTGCAAAAAAACGTTTCAGGTTTCAACAGACAACAAAACTAACTGTCAACTAATTGACGTTTAACCTTATTCTGCTTTCAATTTCAAAAATATTTGCAAGCACAGCCTACTTCTAAAAATTATCGAGATACTGACTTTTTAACGTGATTTTATCATAAATAATTAAAAATGCATCGAACCTTAAAAATCGAAATATCTCAAAAACGGCTAACTATAACGAAAATTCACAAGAGAGCTTTTTTATGTTGAAAAGTGCGAAGAATCAGTTTTTTTATTCAAAAAGCAAAAAATTGCACTTAGAAAAAATACATTTTAATACACTACAGGTACAGTAGAGAGCGCCCTCTAGCGGATACAGTAAAACTATGCCCATGGTTCGTTTTTTCGTACCAAAGAACCCTTGTATACCAATTTTCACTGTTATGCATCAAATATTGTTCGAAATATTTAAAAAAACTATTTTAGAAAGTAAATTTAAACACTCTGTATTTCGTAAGCCACGCATTTTTCGACCCATGTTTATATAGACTTTATGCATTAATTTTAAAAGTTCTATCGAAGTTATGCAACAATAAACTGAAACACCCTGTATAATAGGAAAAATGCAACGAAAAACAATCACAAAAATGTATTACCTTTGGTTATGCCATCGAAATACAAAAAATAATTCTATATACATAAATACTGGAAATATAGTAACAAAAATGTGCTTAGTTACATGTCAGTTATTATTAAGTAAATAATATCGGGTTATCATTGAATAAAGTATAACAAACAGCAACTTCATCATGGTAAACGAAATATGAAACATGAATTTGCCAATTACTGCTATTTATGATTCTTTGGAATTAAGAACACTTGCACATAAAATACAACCAAATATTCGATATCAGATATGACATAGACGCGAAGCCCAAGAGAGTATTACTCGAGCGCGGCAGATAAAGGGGGATACCTTGCATCCATAGCTGCTTTCCAGTGACCCTGTTGAGTTGCTCCGAGTAACTCGCAGTAACTCAGTAGCTCTCAGCACCAATACCGTTTCTCCGCACGTTATATTCTCATGCATTGTTTCTGGATCAGTTCAGAAGCGTATCACTGTCAAACCAAAAACTGCTGGAAAATAGCTCTGTTTAGTATCTCCACCATATATGAGCCCTTTATACAGGGGAGTAAATTACGGGCAGCATATCAAAATAGAAAAAAATCGATGTTTAGAAAAACTCGTGCGCATCAGACTGTGATAAAGTGGGTAAATTACATGCTGAAAAATGTGTATTTTAATAATCTGATGATTTGAGTGTGTAAATGAGACCGAGGGTCACAACTTGCAAAAAAAATTATAAGGAATGAAGATAACGACATGCGGTTTTCGCTTGTTTGTAGGATTTTTCGTGCACTTTCTGAATAATTAAAAATAATACCCCCATCCGGTACAAACCGGCGCAGTATCGTACCTCAAATATCAGTGACACCTGAGGCATATGACATATTAGCATTACGTTTATGTGACATACTACAATAGCTGTATACAAATTAATAAGCTAAAAAAGAACCAAAGATTCATGTGATACCAAATCTACTTATATTTAACACCTAACAAACTAAGGTTAAATGGATATATTTTTCATGTGCCGAATATTGCTACTGGAAATATCTATATTGCCAGATCTAAGAATTCCAGTGACTGGTTCATTCACACCATAATTCGTGGAATCGTAAACAGTTCTTTGCGAGTTCGTCTATGATTGACATTAAGTGATTTGTGCAAGCACCTCTGGGCGATCTATGACACCATTTACCAACTATCTTAAACAGAAAACATAAATCAAAAATGCAATGTTCAACGTACTCATTAGTTTTGAAGCATAAAATGCGAAAAACTTCCACAGAGAGATGTTTGGTAGATCTAAACTGAATCAAAATTCAAGATGATATGTAAATAATAACAGTTAGCCCCTGATCTCTCGGTAACAGGTGGGGACAACTCATCTTATTGGCCAATTCGCCATTAAATTTCAAGTGGTCGCCTGGCGCAATTATGCGCGGGGCAGGGTCAGGGCAGGCAGAGTTGCACTCAGGCCACCGTCCGTCGCGTGTATCACTGCGTGCTCGTGTTTTCGTATTCACCTTGCTTGGTTGTTGCTGTTGTTAAGTGTATTTGAGTAATTTGTTAAATACTGTCATCTTTGTTTTACAACACGTTGGTGGTAGTCCAGCATTCGGAGGTAGCCCTGAATGCGGCCCTGTACGCCGTCCTTGCTTTTGGCAATCACGCATCTATTCTATCTTGGGTGTAAATACACTATAGATCCCAATATTTTATATGATTTAGACGTAATTTCTCTGTGTGTTTTAAAAGTTAGTTTGGTTCAACAGTTATACCTACATCTCTAACTATGTCAGTTCTCATGAGGTCATGGTTTTCAACTTTATTCGTACATGAGAGTACTTGAACTATGAAGCTTATCTGGTAGCATTTATTCAAATTGGCGCTGATTTCAGTAGTACTATACCACCAAGTAAGATTTATGGGATCTCTTTGTAAGTTCGTAATTATTTACAAACTGTTTATCCAAATTGTTGGATTGGCCGCGGTGGGCCCCAAGAATGGCCACCAAGGTCCCCAGACCTCATCAGTTTAGATTTCTTTTTGTGGGGCTATCTTAAGACACTAGTGCACAGAAGTACCACTAACACTGTATAGGAATTAAGAGACAGAATAGTTGCAGCAGCTTGTGATAGAATAAAAAACACTCCAGGGATATTTCAACGAGTGCGCAAGTGAAGGGGGCCATTTTCAACAATTTTTGTAATCATTTCGTTGGTTTTAATGTTATGTTTATGTTGTCAGTTGTTGTTGTTGTTCATTACCCCTAATGTGTTTAATTTTTCCAATTAAATTAATAATAATTTTGCAAGTTAGACAATACAACGGTTTTTATTTTTTTACTCAAAAATGGCGCATTGAAGGAAAACAATTCAAGAGAGATCAATTGTTTTAAATTGAACGGGGAATTCAAAAATAATTTCTATTTGGCAAAAAACCATTGGCGTACCATTTTTTTCTTAATACTTTCTCAATACCCGTACGCACGCCAGTGTTGAAGCTAAAAATTATTTTTGCATTGAAAAATATGCAGCTTTATTAACTTTCACTACCTACTAAATATCAGCGAAATATCTGAAGCGGTTCCGAATAATTAATTAATTTCGTTTTTTTTCCTAAAACTTCAACACTCCGAATTTTTGTAACGAAACATTTTTGGACCATAGTTTTAATTTTTCATGTAGATTCACACCCTTAAATATTCGCATATTATTAAGGAACACCCTGTATACAATATCTGTATCTGACGCGCTAGAGTTTTTCTTTATAACTATTTTTTTATATTTCTGAGGACCTGTAGATGCTCTTCCCCACCACTAAAAGGGTCATCATGAACATGAACCCAATAGGTTCCTAGGATGCTCAAGTAACTACCCATTTAGGCTCTGGGCCATATGTTTTTATTAAGAGTTTAAAAAATAAAATGTCTAATCCAAAAAATATATACATCTTGTACATTTCTCATGTACTCCATTGAAAACTCCAATGCAAGATCGCGCATGCAATGTTGAACCCAAGATTCAACTGAATTAAGATACAGAATGGAAGAAGCAAAGTTGTGAAGATACACGTCCATTGGTAAATGGCAGTTCCCGTGGTGACTCGATTTCTTGGGAGCAGCACGTAACAATGATAGCTATGAATTCAGCACTTCACTTTACATCTAGTGTATTATATACAGGGTTTGTCCGGAAAGTAATAGGACTCATTTTCTTCCGCCATGACTGTACTTCGGAGCATGCGCGCACCGACTGGATTCGGTAGAGGGGATTCCTAGCTAACGAATGAGCGGCTGGTCAGTTGTCTCCGAGCACTTGGAGAGTTAGGACAGGCATATTCGCGCGACATGCTTCTGTGAGTGGTGCAAGCCGAAAAGGCAGCGTTAGTTAGAGCAGAGGTACGCGATTAAATTCTGTGTGAAACTCTGACATTGTGACACAACATTTGAACATGCGCAAGCTGTGCGCGAAGATGGTCCCAAAAGAGATCACTGACGACCAGAAATTGCGGCGAAGTGTGCCAAGAAAATTTGAACATGTGTGAAAGTGACCCCCAATTTTTGAATAACGTAATCACAGGTGACGAGTCGTGGATCTTTGAGTATGATCCCGAGACAAAGAGGCAATCTTCCGAGTGGCACACGACGGCATCTCCTCGCCCAAAAAAGGGAAGAATGAGCAAAGCCAAAGTGAAAACGATGCTCATTGTCTTTTTTGACATCAAAAGCGTCGTCCACCATGAATTTGTTCCTCCTGGACAAACCGTCAACGCCAAGTTTTACGTGGAAGTGCTCAGGAGACTCAAACGAAGGGTCAGTCGGGTCCGACAAGACATCGCAGCCGACTGAAAGTTGCACCACGACAACGCCCCCGCTCACACCGCCTTTCTTGTGATCAGCTACCTGACCAAGGACGGCATCTCAACGCTTCCGCAGCCGCCCTACAGCCCAGATGTGGCCCCCCTCGGACTTTTTTTTGTTTCCTCGCCCGAAAAGGCCGATGAAAGGCAAGCATTTTGAGTCGACAGAGGGGATCCAAGCAGCATGCACCGCGGCTCTCAAGGCTATTCTGGAGAATGCCTCCCGTGACGCCTTCAATGCTTGGAAATCGCGCTGGCAGCGCTGCAACGACGCAGAAGGAACCTATTTCGAAAGTTTTTAAAGAATTGTAACGATTAGCTCAATAAATTTTCTTAAATCGACTCAATCCTATTACTTTCCGGACAAACCCTGTATTCATTGTTTCAGAACCATACACTTTCACAACCACATTGAAGTTCCCATTTTCATCTCTAATGAACAATTTAATTGAATATTTATCATTTGTTCTTGCATTGGATTCAATTACATAACACTAAATAAGATCTAAGATTTATTTCTCACTCTTTACATTACTCATGCCACTCTGTAGATGAAACTGCTTCAATGTTTTTATCCGGTAACCACAATAGGCTCTCAACAGCATACTGAAGAACACTAGACATACTCCGAAGATACCTACTGCACTAACATGATGTTTATAAATCACACAGCTTAATAACACAGAGAAGCCTTGTCGAACTGTGCTTATTATAACGAAAACCAGAGGTCCGAATGTTGACACTGTATTGAAGATGAACAGCTGTCCACCAGCACTACATAATGATAATAAAACAGCGTCCACAATGAACTGTGGAAATTTGATCATAAATTCGAGGGATTTCATGAAACTACTTTGTTGCAGCAGGGATACCAAAGTGAAAATACAAGAAAAGAAATTTACAAAGCACATCATCTGTAATGGTTTCATCTCATATTGCTTGAACAATTTCCCCTGCCAGTTGGCTGTGAAGCTATCAAAAGCTATATATGAACACAACAATATCACACCAGAAAATGTTGTCACAGTGGAATTTGATCGATCATTACCTGTATCTATCATGAACAACAACATGCCTATAGATAATATAACTGCTGTAACGTACTCATAAAATTCATATTTAGTTTTTGATACTAGCTTTCCCATGATCATTACAGGAATTGTTTTACTAGCCTTGGCAAGAACTTGGTGAGGAAAAGACACATATTTCAAGGCCTCATACTGGCACCAAGAGCTCATTATATTTGATAATGAACAGTACATATATTTGTACAGTGGACACCTATGCCTTGGTTGTTTTGTACAAAATAGTATGATGGCAGCTGTAAGAAAAGCTAGAATTCTATTAACAAACACTAAAAACTGTGAGTCTTTGAAATAACCTACTTCTTTATCTGAATTTTCATATTTCTGTGTCATCACTTTTTCTTGTAACACACCCCATGACAAGTAGGAGATCTGAAGCCCACAAAAATAGAAAAGCAGCAAACAGCAGTCTTGCAAAGGTGTTCGTTGATTCGTCCCCGAATGAGGGTTGGTGTTCACCAGTAGAAGCTCATCTTCACCAAAGCATGTTCGTATCACAGCTCCAAACACGCCTCTACCACTTTTGTTTAAGTAGTTTGTATTTACTACATACTTGTATACTAAAAATCCTGGAACAAATACGGTCGCGTAGCCCAAAATATTCCGGATTCCGTGAATGATCCAACTGTAGTCTCCAGGGTCTTCTAATATTTCTGTATTTAAAAAGCATTTGTTCACAATATACAGAAGGACCACTGAAACTGTCACTATCAGGCAGATGAATATTTCCGCATTTTTTGCCATCTCGGTTGGATTTCGCATGCGTATGATTAATAAATTTTGAGATCCATTATTTTAATTTTTACATTGTAAATAACCTAAAGATATGTGAACGTCAAAACAAAACGTCAAGATGACAGTCCGGTGTCCGGTGATGGGTGGTAATAGTAATAAGTCGATATCTTTAAAAACAGGAACCGTTAAAGATGTTCCATATTTTTGACTACCCAGGTCAGGATTTAGGAATAAATGGATTTTGACAAGAAACTGAAATAGGGAATTATTCTAAATATGCTCGTTCCTCAAAATGCAAATTGTTCTCAAGTCGCTCAGGTAGTATGACGTCATTTTCACTTGCTTTCAATATGCTTGTTGAAATACGGAACCGCCGGTGGTCTTACGATTAGCGTTTTTGAAAAGCGCTTGTCGCATTCCAAACAACTACTAAACTGTGGATGTTTTGCTTTTTGCTGTAGAGGTTTTAATTCATATCTAGAGTATTTTTTAACAGCTAAATTCTAAATATCTAATAGCATACCACTTTATCGGCGTTCATTCAAACAGGAATAATGAAAACTGCGAGAGGAAAGTTTTTGAGGCCGATTATCCATTTTGATAGAAGAATATGTTGGTGACATTGGAAAAAGCACCGTTGCGAAGATCTGTACTTAAAACTTTCGCACAGCAACGTGAATACCTAAACCAAACGCTTTTGCCATATGACACCGATACGTTAAGCGTTTTGTAAACATACCGCTTTTAAACAGAATAGAAGTCCTGACTACCGGGCAGATCTTTAATAGTGATGCTTTAGCATTTGGAGTTATTTCTGTTCTGGAAAAAAGCTTAATGACGGACCTGTGATCACATCGAGTATTGTCGTTTCTCTATCGATACGTGATTACTGCCATCTATCTCGTATATACTTAACTACACACTATGGCCTTCTAAACCGTTGAAACTGCGTGCTAGGGATGGGCGGTTATTGATAACATCCAGTTAACCGATTATCATATCAGTAACTTTAACCGGCACCTGTTAACCGATACTAATTTAACCGGTAATACCGTTAACCGGAAAATAACCTTTATTTTTATCCATCAACAATTCAAAGTGTCGTTAGCCATGTTTACACCGTGGCAAGCACACGGTGTAAGTGTGCAGACAGCGGCATTTATGTATGTACAGACTTACGACTTCCTTTATAAGTCAATCCACGTTATAGAATGATCACGAAGACTAGGGATAGGACGTTAAACTAAAAAAAAAAACTAAAAAATTAGAGTGGTTTACAGCCATGATGAGAGCACCAGAGAGTTGCCACAAGCGCAGAGCGAGAAATTCATTTTCTGTGCAGTGTACACATGAAATTAATTTGCTGCGCGGTGTGCCCTGTCCCAACTCATTTCATAGTCGATATTTTTTTGCTCCACCCTCATTCCACGAGTTTAACCTCCTATCAATAGACTTCATGAGTATGATAAATATAAACGTAAAAAGGCGTTATGTAACCACAGAACATCTATTAGAACCTACAGCTATCTCAGCGGTTAGGCCGATTTTGGTATAGTTTGTTTTTGATACCGCATAACAGTAGAAGTAGAAGTACCGTTAACCGGTTAACGGTTAACCTTATATTATGAAATAACCTGTTGACACACAAGTTGATGAATATAGAAAAGCCTGTTATTTTTGTCTATCACTACGCATGCTTTGTGCTGTCGAGGAAAAGGCGGGAAACAAGTGAGGTTATTTTGTTTTTAACTTTTTGAGATGTGAATAAAAGAAAGTAGTCTGAAAGTTCTCTTTTATTGAATAAAGTATACAAACAAAATGGTGTTACAAAATACAGGAAAATTTCGAGCTGATAGGGCTGAAAAACCCACAAAAGGCAATGTCCAAGGAAATAGGTGTGTAATATCCAAATATATTACCTACTGTATTCCTAATTTTACTATTTTTATTTTAGAGAAGAAACTTCAGAGTTCCGTCTTAGACAAGCTATTGAAAACGATGCAATTGATCTCAGATATGGCTTTGATCGGATCAAAGACCACCAAGAGAGGACTGGATTTATGTTGAATATGCATGCAGTATGTAATGAATGCATATTTACATTTACTATAATTTTATGCAGACATACTGTATTGTCTGTTGAGGTCCATCAATCCCAAGCACAAATAAATAGTTGCAAAATATTTCAGTTTATATTAAGACTATATAATAATAATGTCTTTATTATATGCTCTACTATATCATACAATATATACCACTATGCTGTGATGGTCCTGCAAACGTTTTGTATTGAAAAATCTGCTAGCTTACAAGCATTTGAAGAATCTATGAGGTGTCTCGGGATCAATCTTGAGATATGAGCATTTTTTTAATATAAATTCGATTAAACGACTCTTGATCAGAATAATCTGCTGTAGATATATAAATAAAAAAAAATATTTCCCTTTCAGCAATGCACTGTGATAATAAAAATCTCACCTGGTATTGACAGCATTGCTCGCGCTGTCTCTCAGAATGGAATACAAAAAATAATACATAAGATTCCTTTTATAAGCCCTTATGGACCTTCTCTACTGGCATTTAGGTACAGGCCACTAAAGGATGTTTTTATGATGATAGGTCCAAAACTGACGTTTTTTGAAGAACCTGATCCCTAAATAAATGTATTCATATTGATAAAATGAGTTTTTGAAAGAAACAGTCTTGTTTCAGTGCCATCTTATCAAACATGATTAATAATAATCGTATTAGCAAATTTCTCCAAAATAATTGTAAAGTCTGGTTTTATTGAAGAAACTTGTTGTACCTACCACCCACGGCTCCTGCTCCTACCGCATGCCGCCAGCCTTGGTGACTGTCCTGTTGTCGCTTCTGGTATTGTATTACACATATTTTTGTCGTACTTCAGCATAGTGTTTCCTATGCTCTGATGAGGCTGCCACGTCGGACCAGGTTAAGTAAGTATGTAAGATGCACTACCGGTACCTAAGGACCTGTTTGACTGACTTTTTTGAAGCAGTTTCACTTCTGAGATAGATACTGTGTGAGCTAGCAAGAAGCTAACAGATACTTGCAGTATTCTAGGTGCTTTTTTCTTATCACTGTATGCTGCTAGTAGGGGAAATTCTTTTTGATGCTTTCCCACCATGTGTGATAGCCATGAAAAACTTTTGTGGCCAGAAAAAGTATAGCATGGAATGCGATTTGGTTATTATGAATGTTATGAGTTATATATAAACTACAAAGCTGGTACATGTTTCCGAATTTTTAGACTGAAATACTGGATGAAGACAAAAGGTTAGTTGCAGCTGTGGATTACTATTTCATGGAAGAAGATGGTACACGTTTCAAAGTGTCTTATCCTTTCATGCCATACTTCTACGTTTTGACAAAGAGAGAGTTAATACAGGAGGTGTCGGAATTCTTGACAAAAAAGTTTTCTGGCACAATCGCCAAAATTGAAACGGTTACTAAGGAGGATTTGGATCTGGTATGTATACTTTTTGTAGCATACTTTACAAAATCTCCATGTGAGTGTACTTGTAATTTCTGACAAATTTAGTTTGATATTGGGGATCAATTGTTAGAATGAGGGAGTAGAATATCTGATAAAAATGGACAACGATACGTTTCTTGTTTCTAAAGAGGAAACATTTAATCTTATGAAAAAGCTAGGAAAATAGCATTTTGCTGAAAATGGAAGCATTCACTCATTTGTTTGTTTGCTTAAGATTTATTTAGCATGATTGCTACAATTACATCCTTTTAAAAAACTACAACAATTACATTGTTATGTAATATATTATATAATATTATTATTATTATTGTTTATAAAGACAAAATTTGCATCTCTAAGATTTGCTAGTTATATTACTATCACAATTTTTAAAATGAAAATCTATATTTCCTTCTGTATATTAATTGTGGTGATGATTATTGATTTCTATGTAGTGTTCTAAATGTGGTAAAAGATAATGAGAATCAAATGTGGTATAAAAATTTTTATATTCAACCACTAAAATTTTTGTTACATAGATTTTATTTTGGTGTACTTATTTTTATTCAATATTATTCTCATGGCTTTATTTTGCAAGACTTGAAGTTTTGAGAATACAGCTTCATTGGCAGTGAACAAGATAGTTGAACAATATATACTAAATGACATATAAATCCGAACACCCAGTTTAAATGGTTTTATTTTAATAAAATTTTGTATAAGTACTTAATGAAGCATAATAAGTAAATGATAAAAATTTCTAAATGATTGCACTGCTTTAAAGCCCTTTGACCTTTAATAATGTGTGGATGCACCCGGATGTGCTACGCATTCTCCAACGCGCCTAGGCATGCTTCTGATCAGGTGGTCAATGTCCTCCTGTGGTATCTCATTCCAGGCAACCACCAACTCCTCTCGAAGTGCTTCTAGAGTCTGAGGAGGACGTTGCAAATTGAGCAATCTCCTACCAATCATATCCCACACGTGCTCAATTGGGGATAAGTCGGGAGATCTTGGTGGCCATGGTAACAATGTGACATCATTATGTTGAAAGAAGTCTATTGTGACTCTTGCAACATGTGGTCGGGCATTATCTTGTTGGAAAGTTGGATCTGCCAGGGTGTCAAGATAGGGTAAAAGATGGGATTCTAGAACTTCGTGGATATAACGCTGCGCGTTCATGTTACCTCTGATGAAGATTAAAGGTGACCTGGAACCATAAGCTATAGCACCTCAAACCATAACTCCAACAGTGTGATGAACATGTGTTTCAACAAAAAACTGTGGATTCCGCCTTTCACCACGTCGCCTTCTAACCCTGGCACGACCATCGTGCATGCCTAAACAAAATCGAGACTCGTCACTAAAGACAATACTGTTCCATTCCTGATCCCAGAGTGACCGTTGTCTGCACCACTCAAGGCGATTACGTCGGTGTTCTCGAGTTAAAGGGAGGACCCAGTGTGGCCGTTATGAAAACAAGCCAAAACTTCTCATTCGTCGGTAAACACTTCGCATGCCAATAGGTCTTCCGTGTTCTGCAAACCATTCATTTGCAATGGACCTGGTAGTGGAGAAACGGTCCCTTAAGGCCAATAATCTTAGGCGACGATCTTCACGGACTGTTGTTCTACGGCGGCGTCCAGTGCCCCTTGCTCTTTGCGTACGGCCTTCTCGAAGCCATGCCTGACAACACCTAACCACAGTGTCTACACTTCTTTGCACTCTAACTGCAATTGCCCGAAAAGAAAGTCCAGCTTCCCGAAGTCCCACTATACGGCCCCTATCAAACTCACTAAGTTGACGAAATCGTACAGGTCTCCGTACTCTAGGCATCGTAACCGATCGTAAAGGATGTCAAGAACCAAAATCCGCCAACGTTGATTCTTTACTGCGGCTGAAATATTCATTTTTAGAGCGTTAGTGAATTAAAAAAAAGCAGTATAAAAACCGGAATGTCCAACTGATAAGGCTGAACATTTTTTCACTTGTTATTTACAGTAAGATAAATACATTCACCAACTTTTATTAAAATAAAACCATTTATACTGGGTGTTCGGATTTATATGTCACTTAGTATAGTGAAATGTGGTAGAACATTTGTATGATAAATCATTTTTTTGGAATATGTACTAAAACTATAAGAAGGCCTATAAAAGTATTTTGTTTTTTGGCAATTTTTGAAATAAAATGTAGTCATATATATGTACCTAAATATTTAATGTATTCAACATTTCCCTAATAGCATACATTTTGTTTTGTAGGCATTCAGTTTTAGTTTATTTACATTTAACCAATTTATGATTTTTGTCAAATCAGAATTTAGCATTTTTAAAGCAGTGTCTATATTTTCATCTGATCTGTACTATAAAGAATCATCTGAATTTTACAGTAATCTAAAATATTACAAACGTCATTAATGTATAAAATAAATAGTAGTGGACCTAGTTTACGACCTTGTGGTACACATACAGAAATATTTGTTGAGCTTGATAATGTAGATGAAATTTTGTTTTTTTTTTGTCTTCTGTCAATTAAGTAGTTTAAGAATTTTGAATACAGTGATGTAATAATCTCAAATGTTAATTTAAAATTCATGAAGAACAGACTACAAATCAACAATCAAAAATAGACTCAAACATTAGTTATTAATTTAAACTGAAGTTTGTTGGCAAAAATAATTTGACACTGACATGTCCCACATTTTCGCCAAGTAGATACCTACTTTTCCAGGAAAACTTCTGCTTGTAAATTTAATTATAAAATTGGGGATGCTTACATAAATCTTTATAACTCAATTAAGGATTTGGGTGTAGTTTTTGACCATAAACTTAATTTTTCACTCCACATAGCTCAAAAGGTGAGTGAAGCTTCGAGGGCATACAGTTTTATTGTAGAAGCTTTAGCCGCCCAGAGTCACTGTTGGTTTTGTATTCTGCATATATTAGATCGAAATTGAAATATGCATCGTTAATTTGGAACCCAATTTACAACTGCTACATTGATTCGCTTGAGTATGTTCAGAGAAAGTTTCTGAAATTTTAATCTTTTAAAGTCGACTGTATATATCCTGAACGTGGTATATCTGAAAGTCTGTTATTGTCAAGGTTTCAAGTGCAGTCTTTAGAACTGAGAAGGAAGTGTGCATTAATTATGTTTTTGCATAAACTATTGCAGAATCAAATTGATGCTAATGGGATTGTGGCTCAAATAAACTTTAATGTTCAATCTATTCTAACTCGTACACCTAAAACATTTTATTGTGACGCTATTTATTTATTTATTATTTATTTATTTATTTATCCGGTCCAATCGACTTATTTTGACTCCAAAAATACATGTTACTACTACCACGAAAGATTGGGGCACCCTGCATACCTGATTTCCACTGTACTTGCAACTGGATTTTTAAGTGTAAAATAATATTGTAATATTGTTTTAGGCAAACCATCTAATAGGCTTGAAACAGAAATACATCAAACTGTCATTTGTTAATCAGACAGACATGATAAAAGTACGCAAAGACATATTGAAGGTAGTTAGGAAAAATAGGAAGAAAGAAGATAGTAACGCCTATTACACTGAAATGTTGGCACAAACTTTAGCAACAACTTCTGAAAATGTTGTTCATAAGATCGACACTGATCAGATGGAGAACATTCTGGATATCAGGTAATTGTTTTTCTGTAATTTTCGTGGGGTGTGATTTATTTATTTTTTTAATATGGTTCACTAACCGAATCTCGAAAACTTTACATTTTTGACCATACATATTTAGGGTAGAATTTGTTGCATAGTATAAGTTTTTGCATTATGCTAAATGCGTGATCATTCCAGGGAATATGATGTCCCCTACCATGTGAGAGTCTCCATAGACCTCAAAATCTTCTGTGGCTCTTGGTATACAGTAAAAACTAAGGCCAAAGAAGCCTTGCCAGTGATTTGTCCGAGAAGCGACATCATCGAAAGACCCGAGCCAATAGTATTGGCATTTGATATCGAAACAACCAAACTGCCATTGAAGTTTCCAGATGCTGCGACTGATCAGATTATGATGATTTCATATATGATAGACGGACAAGGTATTTTTGTCTTATAACCTTCAAAGTTATATTGTTTTACTGGTATACATCGAAACCTGAGGATCTGAAAAATGAGCGGAATGATTAAAGAGATCAGGGCCGTATCGTCAGTCGTGTCTGTAATTGTAGGACGCCTTTATGGTCTCCTCGATCTTCATAGTATTTTCTCTCCTTCAGAAAGGCTGTGGTATTTCCAGTTTTCTACTGATCCGTGTCAACGTCAGCGCTCTCTTATTGTGCAGTTATGTTTTCTTTTTGAATTGTAGGAAATTTCAGGCTGATAAAACATGATATAACTCAAAAGCAAGCACAATTTGATGCAAATAGATATTTGTGACATAACCTCAAAATAGAGCGCTGACACTGAACAGTAGAAAACTATGAAAATCAAGGAGGCCATACAGGCGTTCTACAATTGTAGGAACGACTGACGATACGGCCCTAAGGCCGTATCGTCAGTCGTCCCTACAATTGTAGGGTGCGTTTATGCCTTCTTGATTGTCATACTCTTTTCTCTCCTTCAAAAATTTCTAGATTACACTCGTCCCGTATCAGCGTCAGCGCTCTCCTATTGTTAAGATATGTTTTCCTTTTAAATTGTAGGAAATTTCAGGCTGATAAAACATGACATAACTCAAAAGCAAGCACAATTTGATGCAAATAGATGTTTGTGACATAACCTCAAAATAGAGCGCTGACACTGAACAGTAGAAAACTATGAAAATCAAGGAGGCCATACAGGCGTCCTACAATTGTAGGAACAACTGACGATACGGCCCTAAGACACGATTAGCGTGACATTAGGCGATAAATCGGTTAGCAGCAACAAAACCGGAGGGTACTTTGATTCCATGAACAGCATTTCAGCCAAATATTTCGAATACTAAGTAGAGGTTACCTTCCAAATGAACAGCAAATTTTCAATGCCTCTCAAGTTTCCTACTGTCAGTTTTTCAAACATCTTTATTATTAATTTCCTATATATAATGAGATGATATGGCAATGCATCCATTCTCCTTGGATATGTCTATTTTCGAGCTAAATGTTTGAAAAACTGGATGTTCGTATAATAGTTTTCCGTACTTCTATAAATTGTGACTAAATGCAAGTGCTACTGTTTTTTTATTGCCAACCTCTAATACATTTTTTTACGACGAACAAAAATTATGAGATGCTCGGAGGACATTGAAATATGAAGTTGGGGAACGTTTTGAAATTATTAATTTTTCTGTCATTACTCCGCCGTCATTGGGCGATTTTCAAACCGAACAAAGTTTTTTCGACATTAACGTGATAGTTAACATTGAATATGTTCAGTTTTCACAAATACGGGGTATCATTAACAATTTGTATTTCGAAAACTCTAAATACCGCGTTTTAACCTTAACGGTAAATAAGCCTTAAAAGTTGTCTATACGATATTTTAGCTTTCATTAGGCTATTCGGGATTTTTTATTGATAAAATTTTGAGCAATAATTAATGAAAATCACAAAAATGTAAAGAAAATGCTGCATTTTAACTTGAATATTTTAAAAGTGCGTCTACAAATTTATCTGCTGGTAAAAATAAATTTCAAAGTGTGCAATACATTTTGTTGAAGAAAGAAATTCATCATAGCGAAAAGCTCTTGTTGAATTTTATTTTCAGTTGTTGTAGAATAATTGTACTCAACAGCAAAAATATCTGCTTTATTAGTCATTATTTTCAAGCATATTTTCTAAACGATAACCATATCTTGAAGATAATATAAAATCTTAATAGTAACACCATGAGGAGTTGAAAGTATACTTCAATGAAGATATTAAACAGTTTTTTATACTAGGGATGTCTTTTAAGTTTTGCATATGGAAATAAAACAACATGGTAGGTAGTATTAAATGACTTTATTGTTTTTCGAAGTATTCTCCACGAAGATTAATACACATCTGCATGCGCTCGAACCAATTTTCGAAGCACTTATTCCACTTGTTTGCTGGCAGATCCAAAACGGCATTTTTGAATGCGTCAACTGCTTCTTCTGGTGACTGGAACCTCTGACCACGCAGTCTGTTTTTAATTTTCGGGAAAGTAAAGAAATCGTTAGGACTTAGATCGGGACTATATGGAGGATGGTCCAATAATTCCACGTTTTCTTCCGTTAAATACTGCCTTGTTTTTTGGGCTGTGTGCGAGCTTGCATTGTCTTGGTGGAGGATGATTCTTCTTTCGGGGTTGATTTTTCGCAGCTCGGTGATGACTTTCGGTAAACAAATGGTGGTACACCAATCCGCAGTAACAGTTCTTTGCTCATTAAGAGGAATTGTTGCAATATGACATGCTTTTGACACAAATGTTGCGATCATCTTTTTCGAAACACTTCGAGAACGGATGACTTCTGTTGGCTTTTCTTCACTTTGGAACACCCAAACAGCCGACTGTCGTTTATTTTCTGGTTCATAACAGTAAATCCACGATTCATCGCCACTAACGATGCTGTACACATTTTTCGGTCAAGCGTTTTTTGACACCAATTAACCCCGGCTGCTTTCTGCTCTTCAGTCAACAGGTGGGGTATCCAAGGAGAAACTAATTTTCTTACTCCTAATTCTTCATGTACATTTTTTTGAACTCCGCGTTTGAATTCTCCATACCAACGGGAAATTGTTGACTGATGTGGCGCTTCGTTGCCGAAAACAGAGAGTAACTCAGCAAGGCATTCTTGTTGCGATAATTGTCTCTGAAAGTTGTAATAAATTATGGCGCGAAAATGTTCTCAGTTGAGTTCTATTTTTCTAATGACTTGTTGACACTTAAAAATCCACTGTAGTGAGAACACTGCTCGTATTGTTGCGATCCGCGCGGTCTACTACGTTTCTATATGCAAAACTTAAAAGACATCCCTCGTACACGTGTTATTTATATAATATTTATATTTCATGCACAAGTACCAAAAATGACAATATTGTGAAAACTGTAAAACCTTTTTCATCGTGGATAGTTTTTTAAAAAAATAATATGCCTACTAGATTGTACGTGTGGCTCAGGTAAAAAATAAGAAGAATCTGCTAAGACGCAGAAAAAACATGCCCTCGATAATGCATCCGAAATATTACTACCGCTTTTGAAAACAAAAATAAAATCATTTTTTTTAAATGTTCCCGGCAAAGGCAACGGCAGAAAGTTAAAACTTAAGTCAAGTCTGGCAACAGCGCTGCGGAATTCCTGTTCCCAATCAGTTTAATGTCAAGCGCATGTTTCAAGTTGTGCGTTACGGCAACGCTTCGGAAATTACGCGGAACGTCAAAGTTTACCAATCGACGCTAAGAGTTAGCGCTAGCCCCACGTTGGGCGCCAGTGTTATCCCGAATAAACTGTGTGCTCAGTTGGTAGCTATGAGCCCTCTCAGGGTGAGGTTCTTTGTACTTTGATTATTTGGGCGCCACCTAGTTTCCAAAAAACTAGGAAATGAAATTAAAAACAAGCATCCCTGTTGGGATTCTGGCGTTAAAAGAGATACCAATTCACAAGGTACACAGACATTTATTCAACAACAAAAAAATTAAGGAGAAGTCCTGGGGGACAGGCTAACAATAATGAATATACTTGTAATGTCACGTATTCCTGTTAAGGGGTGATAGATTAGGTCAAAAGCAACCGATTTTGTCCTATCATGTCTTATCCAAAAGTTAACCAGTTTTGAGTTATTTGAATTTTAAGTTTTTTACTTTTTTTTTATTCCGATATCAGACGGTTAAAATTGGAATACAAAAAACTGCATGCTTGATTTTGAGTTTTTTGTTATCGTCGCATAGCAGACATTCCAATAGATCATAATAAGTAATAAAATGTTGAAAACTTACAAAAGTTTTAAAATTACGCTTTTTAAATGTATCATTTTCTTATTCGATAAAAAATGCTATTTTCTGTAAAAAATCTCCTAGTAATGAAATTTGCAAATTATGTAAATAATATCCATATCTAACAAGCTTTCATTTGAGGTATTAAGCGTTCAGTTATCTGAAGTACATGCAGAGAAACAACAATGACACCCACAGAAGCTAGATTTTTAAGGAATTTGTATTACCTGTTTGAACAAGTCGTTACTGTCTTCAAAGGACTCGCATGCCATGATTGTTTTATGGCATCGGCTCGATGAGGAAGCGAGCGAGAAGGGCTGACTTAGTGGAGGAGTGATAGAGAGAGAGCTGTTATTATTCATCATTGTAGTTACGCCATCGCCGCACGCCGAGTGAAAATTAGGTTTAGTTGGTATCAACTACCGCGTACGCGTACACGTTTTACGCACGATTATTATTTTCGAGTTTCCCAGTTCATTTCGAGTGGTTTCTTTATCATCATGGCAGACGCAGAAGATCCGCCAGGACGTCGCCATAGCGAGCACGGGCAAACTTTTATAAATGAAGAACACGCAGACATAATGTTCTGTTATGGACTTTGTAACGGCGATTCTGCAGCTGCCCACCGTGAATATCGGCAACGTTTCCCGAATCGCCGAACACCTCATGTTACTGTGTTTGACTCTGTGTATCGACGCATCCGCCAAACCGGACGTGTTCAAAGGCAACATAGTGATGCTGGTCGACCCCGAATCTATCCTCCTGAAGATGAAGAGGAAATCCTTCGTGTGTTTCAGGAAGACCCTACTACGTCTACGCGCATTGTGGCTGCTCAGTTGGGTATATCACAATACAAAGTATGCTTTACTGTGCATACTGCAAGATTATACCCTTATCACTACACGCCTGTGCATGTGATTGAAGAGGGCGATCCTGCAAGACGATTAGATTTCTGCAGGTACATGTTACATGCAGATACAGAAGATCCAGACTATTTTAAGAAAATTCTGTGGACCGTTGAATCGAAGTTTGATAAGGACGGTATCACTAACTAGCATAATGCTCATTACTGGGCTGATAAAGAAGCTTCAAACCCCCGAAAAATAAGACCGACGGGGTCTCAGAGCAGGTTTTCAATCAATGTGTGGATGGGCATCATTGATGGATATTTAATTGGACCTCATTTTCTGCCCGCCAATTTAAATGGAGAAGTGTATGAAGAGTTCTTGAAAAATCACTTGTTTCCATTAATGGAAGATTTCCCATTGGCGACGCGACAAAATATGCGGTTCCAGCACGACGGCTGTCCCGCACACTACAGTAGATTAGTATGGGCGTATTTAGACTCCAAATCAATGGATTGGCAGAGGCGGGGACATTGCCTGGCCAGCAAGAAGCCCAGATCTCACACCGATGGATTACTATGTGTGGCGACATATGAAAAGCCTGGTGTACGATGTTTCGCCTGTACCAACGCGCGATGAATTAATTACAAGGATAATCAGTGCAGCTGACCAAATAAAAAGCCGCTTAGCAAACTAGAGTTACCAAAAGTGAATTACGTAAGAGAATGCGGGCGTGTATTCATAACAGGGGATTACAGTTTGAGCAGAATCTGTAAAATACTAAAGGAAATGTAATTAAATAAAACTGTAATCAAAATAAAAGCCTTTTATTTATCCTACGTAATTATCGTTCGTACAACTTTACTCATCTTTTTTTAATTTTATGTCTTTGTACTTGAGTTATTTGTAACTTTTATACCTCAAATGAAAGCTTGTTAGATAGAGACATTATTTACATAATTTGCACATTTCATTACTAGGAGATTTTTTACAGAAAATTGCATTTTTTATCGAATAAGTTAGTAAAAAAAATAAGAAAATCATACATTTCAAAAGCGTAATTTTAAAGCTTTTGTAAGTTTTCAACATTTTATTACTTATTATGAACTATTGGAATGTCCGCTATGCGACGATAACAAAAAACTCAAAATCAAACATGTAGTTTTTTTGTATTTCAAATTTAACCGTCTGAAATCGGAATAAAAAATAAAAAAAATAAAATTCAAATAACTCAAAAACGGTTAACTTCTGGATAGGACAAAATCGGTTGCTTTTGACCTAATCTATCACCCCTTAACAGGAATACATTACAAATCACCCTGTATGTATTACCCCCTAGCTAAATGGTTATCCAAAAAAACTAAAATAAAAAAAACTTGGCTATCTCAGAACGGCTACTGTTGGCAGGAAGTCCTAGATGTTACCATAAAACTGGAGGATAGATCTCTAATAATGAGGGTTCTCCAAAAATGGGGGAACTGCTCCTCCCAGGCGTAAGTGTCACTTAAACTCGCCTTAGACTAACCTTGTAGGCGGTCCCCCTCCGCTCGATGGTTGAGTGTAAGAGTGTAATTATCTGCACGATTAAATCCCCAAAAGGGTAAGAAAAAAGCTCCGACACTAAGAACAAAACTACCCCACAACCCTTTGAATTCCGCAACGCAGCGTGTGAACTATTCACAGGATCGGGCAGTGGGCCGCAGACAAATTTCTCGACCAGAGCACCGGAAATAGCCCCAAGTCACCTTCAGCTCTCGTATTTACGGTCGACTGAAATTATAAAAAATGACCTCCAACGAGATGGAGAATAGAGTACGATTTTCTACCACATAATTACTAGACTGAGAAAAGTGTGTTGTTATAAGAATGAAATTCGATGTTTTTAAGAACGGCTGTACAATTATTATCCTAAATAAGAAAAACGTTGTAATAATTTACTTTATACAGATGCAGTTAATTTTTAGGCGACTGTAACAGTGTGTAGTATAGCCCAGCCTGCCAGATGTCATGAGAAAAAATCACTTTGAAAATTTCGAAAACCTTTAGATTGCTTGACAGAACGCAACTATACTAGGCTGAGCAGATTCAGTCAATAGCAAACCATATTCAGTATTTTAACCAGCTGAATGTAGCTGAACATAATCACTGTTCATATTCAAAATCGGAGCATTAGTTCCCTAATTATGGAGGAATCAAGTAGACTACATACGACATTGGAAATGACATGGCTTTTCGTGATATACTAGTAACGTTCTAAATTATCAATTACAAGACTTTCTCGTCACTTGGCGCGGGAAACAAATTATATTACCACTTTGACATTCCAGGTTACCTTATAACAAACCGAGAAATCATATCGGCAGATATAGAGGATTTTGAATATACACCAAAACCGGAATTTGAAGGGAAATTCACCATTTTCAACGAACCAAACGAAATGAATCTGATTCAGAGATTCTTCGACCATATTCTTGAAGTTAGGCCGCACGTTTTTGTCACGTACAACGGAGATTTTTTCGATTGGCCCTTCGTCGAAGCAAGAGCCGCCTCCTATAATTTGGACATGAAACAGGTTTGGTTGATGCGTATAAAAAAACAGGTGATATAAAAGATGACTGTTTATTAATTTCAGGAAATTGGATTTTCAAAGAACCGAGAAGGCGTGTATTGCTGTAGACCAGCAATGCATATGGATTGCCTATGTTGGGTAAAGAGAGACTCATATTTGCCTGTGGGCTCACAAAACTTGAAGGCTGTCGCTAAAGCGAAATTAAGGTGAGCATTTTCGTAGCAATATCAGTATTACTGACTTCAATCCCTGACAACAGCAACTGTTTTTTTCCTTTTTTCCAAGTTTTGTAGTTCGCAAGTGGTAGAGTTGCTCTTATTTAAAGATATTATACAGGGTCCCCCAGAAGTTGACGTCAAGCATTTTTTTTTTTTTTCGATAGGTACGATCCAGTAGAGTTGGACCCGGAGGAAATGTGTCCACTGGCTGCTTCAGCACCGCAGGTTCTGTCGAATTACTCTGTATCAGATGCTGTAGCCACGTATTATTTGTATATGCAGTATGTCCATCCGTTTATTTTTGCTTTGTGTACCATTATCCCTTGTGAACCAGATGAAGTGTTGAGAAAAGGATCAGGTGAGAATCTACGTTGCTGAAAATTAAACACAAGAATATGGGAAAAAACTAGGATACTATGGAATACGAGGAATGTCTTTTAAGTTTTGCATATATAAACATAGTAGGCCTCGCGGATCGAAGTCAGTATTGAATCTTAACGTCACTCTTTAGTAAACTTAAATTCAAAGTTTCACAACAATACGTGCAGTGTTCTCACTACAGTGAAATTTTAAGTGTCACCAAGTCATTAGAAAAAAGGAACTCAACCGAGAACATTTTCGCGCCATAATTTATTACAACTTTCAAAGACAATTACCGCAACAAGAAACTCATCATTGAAGATAGACATGTGACATATCGCGAGATTGAGGCGTCCTTGAAGATCTCAAAGACCTCAATTCAAAAAATTTTACATGAAGAATTAGGAGTAAGAAAATTAATTTCTCGTTGGACACCCCACCTGTTGACTGAAGAGCAGAAAGCAGCCAGGGTTAATTGGTGTCAAGCTTGACCGTTTTAATTCCGGAATCTCAAAATATGTGTACAGCATTGTTAGTGGTGATGAATCGTGGATTTACTGTTATGAACCAGAAAATGAACGACAGTCGGCTGTTTGGGTGTTCCAAGGTGAAGAAAAGCCAACAAAAGTCATCCGTTCTCGAAGTGTTTCGAAAAAGATGGTCGCGACATTTGTGTCAAAAGCGGGTCATATTGCAACAATTCCTCTTAATGAGCAAAGAACTGTTACTGCGGATTTTTATACCACCATGTGTTTGCCAAAAGTCATCACCCAGCTTCGAAAAATCAACCCCGAAAGAAGAATCATCCTCCACCAAGACAATGCAAGCTCGCACACATCCCAAGAAACAAGGCAGTATTTAACGGAAGAAAACGTGGAATTATTGGACCATCCTCCTAAGTCCTAACGATTTCTTTACTTTCCCGAAAATTAAAAACAGACTGCGTGGTCAAAGGTTCCAGTCACCAAAAGAAGCAGTTGACGCATTCAAAAATGCCGTTTTAGATCTGCCATCAAACGAGTGGAATAAGTGCTTCGAAAATTGGTTCGAGCTCATGCAGATGTATATTAATCTTCGTGGAGAATACTTCGAAAAACAATAAAGTCATTTAAAACTCCCTACCGTTTTGTTTTATTTCCTTATGCAACACTTAAAACACATCCCTCGTAAGAAAAACCGAGCTAACGCTATTTCGTTTGGATTTGTCAAATAGGAAGCAGTATGTATGGTTTGAGGGTACCGTCTCTAACCTCTTGCCTATTTTCAACGGGGAACCGCGGGGATCAGTACTTGGCCCCCTACTATTCCTAATGTACCCCCATTTGTGACTCTCCTCTCATTCGGAAAAACGCTCCGACACGTTAATTTTGATTTGCAGGGGGCCGTCTTTTCATCTACAGCCGTGCAATACAGGGTGATCCAAAAATAAGATATTGCGTTATACTTTAAATTTCTAAATGGAAACCCCAAAGTTTTTATAGTAACTATTGCATAATAAAGTTTACCTCACTCGTTGTGAAGCTATTTGAGTTTATAACAAAATTCGACTAACTTAATACTGATAATAATGGAATGCACGGCAAATAATAATAATCATGGATACTAGCAAGGTCATTTAGCGTCAGTTTCATCGTGTCATAGAAAAAAATTGTCTTCCATTTCAAATTGTTAAGTCACCTACCTAGTTGTGATAAATATTGAACAATGACTTTTCAATTCAAGAAAGGGTAGAAATGTCAAAACTGTATTAACAAAATGGGAGCATCTCCAGACCTAAATCATTTAGATTAGTTCCTTTGGGGGCATTTGAAAAGTAAAATTTTTAGTACGAAGCCAGTTTCCATCCAAGATCTTCGTCGGCCAATAACGGCTGAATGTAGACAAATAAGCAAGCAAGCAGCAGCGGTGGCCGCAGTAGTAGACTCTTCGGTCTCCTGATCAGTCGCCGTGCGCTGTGCGGGTTTGAGTCCCGTTCCAGGAGAAATTTTTCTCTTGGCTATGGATGTTGTGATTGTCCGTAGGTGGTAGACGGTGTCTGACTGTCGAACGTGGACGTACCACCCGGCGGATCTCGTAGGCGGAGCCAGAATGTGTGCATGTTGCATGCACACGTGTTCCCTCGCCAGAGTCCGTGTGGCGTTCCCCCTTTCCCCTGTATCCCCCTATAGCCCCACGGTACCCAATGGGTCTTTAGGCCTTAGGCCTTCGTGGTAGTTGGAGTATATAAAAAAAAACCAAGACATGCTTGAAAATGTGAGGAATAGATTCGAACAAAATATTTATGAATGCATGGAGGTAAATGGCACCACATTCAGCACTTAATACCACATGGACCTACCTCTTTATAGCAAATTAATTTTTACTTTAACTTATTTATTATTATTTTTACGATAAAATTTCACAATCTCTAGAATTTTATTATAAACTCAAATAGCTTCATAACGATTAAATATAAGTATAAACTTTATTATATAAAAGTTAATAAACTTCAGAGCTTATAAATCGGCCTTCAGCGTTCATATAAGATGTCACTTTGAAGCTCTTGTTATCCTCTAAATAAAAAGTTGTTTTTTTTAAGGTTTAAGTTTCATGTTATAGATTGCTTGTGTGTTATTCCTTGTTTTTTTATCGAGCAAGGATCCTGGTGTATTTGTAAATTTATTATTATATGAATACTGATTATGAGGTGTCGTATACAGGTACGTTATGTGAAGCCCTTCTAATGGTCGAAGCATTCCATGCAAACATAATTTTTCCAAACAAAGAAGAATCAGAGTTTAACAAATTAACTCACGACGGCCATGTTTTGGTGCAAGAAACTTATGTTGGAGGACATGTGGAAGCCTTAGAGTCTGGAGTTTTCAGGTGTGTATCCAAACAGAATGCTTTAATAGACTTGAGATGCCGCATTCATTTGAAAGACAGGCCTGCGTAAAAAGGGCTCATATATCGAAGCGCTGCGAACCATTCATATTTACAATATACGCGTCGGTCACTGTCTTTAGGTAGTAGTAATAGAAAGATTTATTTAGCACATTTGGCTACATAAACAGAATATTTGTAAACAACTTAAAATTAGTAAATTCAAGCCATATGATGTATGTGTAAATGCTGGGCAAGCTATAATTGTAGATTTAACAAGTGATTCCTCACTTTTACTTCAAATTTTGTCAAAGTTTTCTGGTCTTTTATCTGTGTACAAATTATTATACATGTTTAATCAACCCTTGATGGTATACAGATTTGTAGCATATGTTATACTTTTTGGTCATCAAATGGAAGGCATCTTTATTTCTGGTATTATGTAAATGATGGTCGGCATTTGATGATGTTAAATTAGTTAGACTTGATGGAAATATATTATTTTTTACTTTATAAATGAATATCATTACAAGATATTTGATATTTTTTTTAGATTAAGCCATTTTAATTTGCTAGGCATTTGTCTAATTGGAGTATATTTATCTTTATTCAGTATTATTCTCATGAAGTTATTTTGTAAAATTTGCAATCTTTCAAAAATGGAATTAGGTGCTAAATATAGAATAGTCGAACAGTACAAGAAATTTGGAAGAATGATGGTATTATAGATAATTTTTCTGCTATATGAACTCAGACATCCAGAAACTCTTGATAAATATCCCACTTTACTACTAATCTTATTTATAACTTTTTCATAATGAATATCAAAATTAATCGAGAGTCAACAAAAACCCACAGGTATTTAAAATTTTCTATGAATTCAATATCTTCACCCTCAATATTCAATTGAACATTTGTACATTTTTTTTCCGATTAACATAGCTTTCGTTTCACTTGTATTTAATTTGAGTCTGTAAGATGCTAACCATTTTGAGACAAGCTTCAAGTCTTCATTTATATAAGAGATACCAGACTGAATATTTTTAGTACTTATATAAATCATAGTGTCATCGGCGAAAATCTAAATTTTGCATTTTTTACTATGGCAGGTAAATCATTTATGTATAAAATAAAAAGAAGTGGTCCCAGGATACTGCCCTGTGGAACACCCAACGTATTTTCAGTTTTTGATGAAATAGTGTCATTAACTTTTGTAACTTGCATCCTTTTAGACAAATAATTTCTAAACCAATCTAAAACCTTCCGAGTCTATGGCTCTTCTCCAATTCTCAGTAACCGACTGCGCGCCTCCACTAAAATTTTGTTTTCTTCTATAAACTGCATTAATTGGTCATGCACTATGGACTCTAATAATTTTTCAATGTCTGGTAACACATTTACTGGTCTCATATCGCTGCAACTTTTAAAATTTTTTATTTTGGGAACTGCTGTTATTGTAGAGCATTTCAAATTTTCAGGAAAAGAACTACTTCTCAGTGAACAATTGATCCAATTTAATAGAGGATATCCCAAAATTTCGAAACAGTTTTTCAGCACGTTTTTAGTAGTGATTTCGGCATAGTTGTTGTTTGATTTTAAACTGTTTACTTTTTTTCCCAGACAATTCAATGATACGCTATGAAATTTTGAAAGTGTATGCAATATTTCCCCTTGGAAACTGATTTTCATGTAGTCAGGTGCAGCATTGACAGTACCCACAATATCAACAATACTTTCCACAAAATATTAATTTAGATTGTTTGCAATCACCAAAGAATTTGTTTCGGTACCGTTTTCGAATTAAAATTGTTGTTATCGCTCCAACTATTGTCGCAGGTTATTGTATTCTCTTTTCCGTCATAGAGATATTCTGAGGATATCAAATCTTATAATACAGAGTGCGGCAGAGAGGATGTGGATAGCGATTCCGCAAGGATCAGTATTAGACCCCATCGTGTTTATAATATACAGGGTGCGGCAGAGAGGATGGACGGTTTTGAAAAAATCATAAAATAGTTAATTTTTACTCGAAAACAAATTTATTGATGGAATCAGGTTCACAAGGAAATATTATTTGAGACAGTCAAGTGTGGAAAATCACATCAGGCATGTGGTGGCCGAAATCGTTGATGCAGTACTGGAGGCGTTCTTGGAAGTTCGCGTAGACTCTCTCCAACATCGCTCTCTCAACTTGGGCGACTTCCACGCGAATTTCGCCCTTCAATTCGTCCAGAGTTCGGGGCTTGTGGCTTGTGAAAGTGAGCTTCGTCACTCATAAACAAAATGAGGATCTCATTTTGATCGATCAGTGCTTCCATCTCACGTGCGAAGTTCATTCGTTGTGCATAATCTCCGGGCTGTAACTGTTGCACAACGGCCAATTTATAGGGGTGAAAGCGGAGATCCATATGCAAAATTCGCATTACCGAACGATCACTAAGGTGAAGTGCAGCAGCATGTTTCCGGGCAGATCGAGTCGGACTGCGAAGAAAGACCTGTCGAACGCGTTCAACATTTTCAGGAGTTCGAACTGTTCGAGGCGCTCCTCTTGGTCTTCTGTTGATCAGTTCACCACGACTGCGAAGTGATTCAACCCAACGAAGGATGGTGTTTCGAGAGGGTACAGATCTATTCCGATGAATGAAGTTTGAGTGTCATTTTGAAGAATAAACAATTTTCTTTAAAAGGAAGATGTAGTTTTATTACATCCAAGGGAATCACTGCGAACCTACTTGGGACGTGGCTGTGACGAAAATGGCATGAAAACGTCCAGATGAGGGTCAAAGTGTGTGATAAGGTGAAATCAAAGAGAAACTGATCAAATCGCTGAGGAACTGACCGTTTTAGTCAAAGCAAAAGATATTTTTGAACTTATTCATAATATAACGCTATACAGTAACTATCTGTCAATTATGAAGGGAAAAACAAGAACTTCCACGAAGCAAGAGCATCAACTACATACTTCTATTTTAGGGCTGACATCCCATGCCGCTTTCGTATTGTCCCAGAAGCTGTACAGCAATTGATAGACAATGTGCCTCGGACTTTGGAACATGCTATTGTGGTAGAGGAAGGGGTGCCTATGGACAGTGTCACAAATCTAGCAGAAGTTACCGAGGAAGTCAAGTCGAAACTTTTAGCATTAATGGTAAGTGTTAAGTAATGTTCACCTAACAAAATTTGAACTTATAAATATAAATTTAATGTACATAAACAGGCGACCTCAAGAGGAATGTTATGCTAAAAATTCTTATAGCTGTGATAAGAGAAAAAAGAGACATCGAGTTTCAAAATTTTTAAATTATACTTTTGACGAGCTTTGCTATGTGAAGAAGTTGTTATTTTATTTGTTCGTTTAAGATTCATTTATTATGTAGTAGTCGTAGTAGTAGAAAGATTTATTTAGCACATTTGGCTACATAAACAGAACAATTGTAAACAACTTAGAACTAGTAAATTCAAGCCATATGGTGTATGATGTAAATGCTGGGCAACCTATAATTGTAGATTTAACAAGTGACTTCTCAATTTTACTTTAAATTTTGTCAAAGTTTTCTGGTCTTTTATCTCCGAGTATAATTTATTATATTCAATCAACCCTTGATGGAATACAGATTTGTAGCATATGTTATACTTTTTGGTCATTAAATGGAAGTCATCTTTATTTCTGGTATTATGTAAATGATGGTCGACATTTGATGATGTTAAATTAGTTAGACTTGATGGAAATATATTATTTTTTACTTTATAAATGAATATCATTACAAGATATTTGATAAAATTTTTTACATTGAGCCATTTTAATTTGCTAAGCATTTGCCTAATTGGATTATATTTATCTTTATTTAGTATTATTCTCATGCACTTATTTTGTAAAATTTGCAGTCTTTGAAAAATGGAATTATTTGCTAAATATAGAATAGTCGAACAGTACAAGAAATTTGGAAGAATGATGGTATTATAGATAATTTTTCTGCTATATGAACTCAGACATCCAGAAACTCTCGATAAATATCCCACTTTACTACTAATCTTATTTATAACTTTTTCATAATGAATATCAAAAATTAATCGAGAGTCAACAAAAACCCCCAAGTATTTAAAATTTTCTACGAATTCAATATCTTCACCATCAATATTCAGTTGAACATTTGTACATTGTTTTTTTCCTATTAACAAGGCTTTCGTTTACTTGCATTTAATTTGAGTCTGTTTGATGCTAACCATTTTGAGACAAGCTTCAAGTCTTCATTTATATAAGAGATACCAGACTGAATATTTTTAGTACTTATATAAATCATAGTGTCATCGGCGAAAATTTGAATTTTGCATTTTTGACTATGGCAGGTAAATCATTTATGTATAAAATAAAAAGAAGTGGTCCCAGGATACTGCTCTGTGGAACACCCAACGTATTTTCAATTTTTGATGAAATAGTGTCATTAACTTTTGTAACTTGCATCCTTTTAGACAAATAATTTCTAAACCAATCTAAAACACTTCCTGTTATACCATATGCCTTCAATTTACCTAACAAAATATCTCTATCAATCGTTTCAAATGCCCTCTTCAAATCCAAAAATACTGCTATGACAACTTCTTCTGAGTCTATGGCTCTTCTCCAATTCTCAGTTACCAACTGGAAAGCTGTTTCTGTGGAATATTTTTTTCGAAAGCCTGCTTGCGCCTCCACTAAAATTTTGTTTTCTTCTATAAACTGCATTAATTGGTCATGCACTATGGACTCTAATAATTTTTCAATGTCTGGTAACACATTTACTGGTCTCATATCGCTGCATCTTTTAGAATTTTTTATTTTGGGAACTGGTGTTATTGTAGAGCATTTCAAATTTTCAGGGAAAGAACTGCTTCTCAGTGAACAATTGATCCAATTTAATACAGGATATCCCAAAATTTCGAAACAGTTTTTCAGCACGTTTTTAGTAGTCATTTCGGCACAGTTTGTTGTTATTTGATTTTAAACTGTTTACTTTTTTTCTTAGATAATTCAATGATACGCTGTGAAATTTGAAAGTGTATGCAACATTTCCCCCTGGAAACTGATTTTCATATAGTCAGGTGCAGCATTGGCAGTACCTACAATATCAACAATACTTTCCACAAAATATTCATTTAGTTTGTTTGCAATCACCAAAGAATTTGTTTCGGTACCGTTTTCGAATTGAACTTGATTTACACAATCATGCGGCTTCGAATTGATCAGTCTTTTTAAAGTCTTCCACATCTTTACACTGTCGCACTTGTTATTATCGATTTGTTTATCGTAGAATTTTCTTTTTTCTTCTCTAATTACATATACACATTTATTCCTAAGAGTTTTATATACCTCCCAATCATCATTTGATTTTGTGAATATACATTTATTGTATTGTTTGTCTCTCAAATTTTGAGCTGCCTTAATATTCTTGTCATACCAGGGTGTATTTTTTGTCGAGCAAATCACTTTTTTATCAGTTGCAAGATCTAAACAAGTTTTTATATTTCCTATTATGTTGTCATATATTTTTTCCATATTCTCACCAAAATTCCAATAGCAGCTAGCAAGTTCTCGTTCAAGTTTTTCGTACTTAATAGTATTTACGATTTTCTTAATTTTTGTATCATTATGACTGCTACAATTACTTTCTTTTAAAAAACTACAATTACATAACATACACATATTTACATAACATTCAATTCTATGTAACATTCTAAATGTTGCGGCACAGGATGATTTTTTATATCAAATATAAAAATAAGAACCAGATATATGAATCATAGCTTTATTTTGCAGGATTTGTAAGTTTGAGAATACAACTTCATTGGCAGTGAACAAAATAGATATAGTAAATGCAGTAAAAGTAATTGTATTATTTTATTTTCTGGAATATGTACTAAGGCTACGAGAAGCCCTATAAAAGTAATTTGATGTTTTTTGTCAATTTTTGAAATAATGTATTCATAGTGATCCTGTAACTTTAGTTTACGTTCGATATACAGGATGTAAACGTTATGGTAGTCATTATTGAAATGGGTAATAGGGGCGTCAAAACAAGTCAAAAAGTTCATATGACCCATGGTCCAAAAGTCGACCACAATCTTACTAATTTTTATAATCTAATCTAAAACGTTTCTAAATTGGGTAATTAACAAATAAGGCACTAAGTTTTTCTAAGTTAAGCCAAAATTTGTAGTCATTAAATAAGTTTCATTAAATTAAATATTTAAAACACACATGACAACAGCGCGCCGGTTTTAATCACACTTATCGAACCGGCAATCGCTCGCAGATACTCTGCTCGACAAAACGATAAAGTAATTTATCTATGCAAAACGATAACTAACCACTGTTACCGTTTGCGATCGATTGCATGAAATGTGTATCTAATTCACCAATAATTTTTGCTCAGGACCAACCGCTGAGGCTGGAACGACCACTGATCTATCATTTGGATGTTGGCGCCATGTATCCTAACATCATCCTGACAAATCGCTTGCAGCCCTGCGCTATGGTAGACGAAACAATGTGCGCTTCTTGCGATTTTAACAAACCTGGAGCATTGTGCCAAAGAAGCATGGCTTGGATGATGCGAGAGGAATACAGTAAGTTAACTTTCATTTTTCATAAAAAAACTTAAAATGCTGTTTGATTTACGCTCTGCTGGAGCATATACAGGGTTATCCAAATTAAGTGTCCACCATTAGTAACTTTGTTATTAGTGAAAATACAAAGTTGTTTGAATTAGTAAACTAGTAGCATTTTTAACGCTGGTAAAAATGAGAAATAAAAAAAACAATTGAGAGTCGTTATTTTGATTTTTTTCAGTAAAATAACATTTTTTTAAATGGAAACCCCTGTATATTATATTTTTTTCTGTTAAAGCATCAAATTTTAAACAAAAAAGTTCATAATGACTTTTCCGCTAAAGTCAAAAATAAAGTCAAAATAACGATAAATATTTTTAATTATTTGCAGTATTATAATATTAAGACGGCTATGAAAACAACATGGCGTTCGCGATTTGACAGCATTAAGATAAGCGACAAATTGTTAAACTGGACATACTCGCAACTAGAAGGCTTTGGAAAACAATGATAAAATCAAATAATGTCAAACATTAGTGTAAATACTTGTTTATAAGCTTTATTGTGTCATTAATTTAAAGAAAAATGTTCTCCCATGAAGAAAAGTGTGATATGTTAGAATGCTATTTAGTGTGCAGAAAATCCTCCTTGAGAGCAAGAGAATACTACAGTGAATTATATCCCGCTCGCATTCAACCGTATGAACGATATTTTCTTTGACTTTATCGAAAATTTAGGGGCAACGAAAATGTTTTTGCTAAAACAAGGGCAAAAAAAGAATTCATAATAAGCGAGGCCACGGAAATTGCAGTTATTGGATATTTTGAAGCTTATCGTGAGAATTCAATAGCATATATTCTCAAGGACTCTAATTTCAGTTATGGTACTGTTCAAAGGATTTTAAAAAAATACAAATTTATTCCGTATAAGTACCGACCAGTTCAAACGCTTTTGGCAGGGGATCCAGAGAGAAGACTTGTTTTTTGCCATTGGTATCTTAGCTTCTGTCGCCAAAATGTAAATAACTTTCGTTACCTTTTATGGACAGATGAATCAAATTTTTCAAATTCTGGAATGTTTAATAGAAAAAACCACCATCATTGGTCAAGAGAAAATCTTTTGTTAGTACATCCAAGAGGCCCACAAGTCCGTTTCAGTTTCAACGTTTGGTGCGGTATAATTGGTTCAAAAATTGTTGGCCCGTTCTTTTATGAGGGAACCCTAACTGGTGAAAGATATGTGGAATTTATGTCAGAAATTCTGACTAATTTCTTAGACGAATTGGATCTTATAAGTAGACATCATCTGCATTTTCAGCAAGATGGCGCACCTGCCCACAACTCCAGAGGTACTTATCATTTTCTAAGTACTACTTTTAATGATCAGTGGATAGGAACAAATGGCCCAATACAGTGGCCTCCCAGATCACCAGATCTAAACCCACTTGATTACTTCTTGTGGGGTTACTTAAAGAACCAAATTTACAAGCGAAGGTACGATAACCTTGACGCGTTAAAGACTGCAGTTAGGGAAAAGATAACCCAGATAGATGGTAGGACCATACTTAAGACAGTTCGAGCAGTTGAAAAACGTGCCCAAAAATGTATTGAAGAACAAGGTGGTGTTTTCGAGCATCTTCTTTAAAAAAATTGCTATTGTATTTTGTAAGATTATAAGTTGATGTTGAAAATAAAGTTTGTCGATACAATTTAATTGTTTCAGATTGGAGGCCATAACTTCAACATTTTGTAACCTAGGAGAAAAGTTATTGTAAGCTTTTTTGTTTAAAATTTGATGCTTTAACAGAAAAAAATATAATATACAGGGGTTTCCATTTAAAAAAATGTTATTTTACTGAAAAAAATCAAAATAACGACTCTCAATTGTTTTTTTTTATTTCTCATTTTTACCAGCGTTAAAAATGCTACTAGTTTGCTAATTAAAACAACTTTGTATTTTCACTAATAACAAAGTTACTAAAGGTGGACACTTAATTTGGATAACCCTGTATTGTGAATTAATGATTTTTGTTGGATGGTGAACCCAGTTTAAATTAACTGACTTTTTAATGTGAACATTCACTATTTCTCACTACTTTTTTTGAAAATCTCACATTTCTCACTTGAATTCATGCTTTGGGCCGCCAGCACCCCTGCCCATATGATGTTCAGTTAGTTTGAGATTCGATCTAAACTACCAACAAACACCGAACGTTTTCATCACGTTTTTAAATTGTTCTCTTTCAGTGCCGGCATCCCGTAACGAGTATCAACGAATCCAACAACAATTAGAAACTGAAAAATTCCCTCCCGCCTTTCCCGGAGGCCCGCCAAGAGCGTTTCATCAATTGAGCAGGCAGGAACAGGCAGATTTAGAAAAGAAACGGCTATCGGTGTACTGCAGAAAAGTATATAAAAAGCTAAATGCACCAGGATAGAAGAAAGGAACACCACCATATGCCAAAGAGAGAATTCCTTCTATGTTGATACTGTCAGAGCCTTCAGAGATAGAAGGTGAGTCAATCACTTCCCAAAATGAATGTTTGTGACAGCGTGCAACACCCTGTATCTGTGATATTTAAGGAACTCACTTTTCTTGTTGTTGTTGAAGATTTATTTAGCATTAATGGTACAATGTCAATTTTGTATAATGATTCGCTTACATATTTTTCTTCAATCCAATTACTGTAATTTTACATTCTTGTCTATTAAAATTCAAATTAAAATTACGTCACTATGCATTTTGATTATTCATAAAGTGATTCCTTAATTTCACCTTAAATATTTTTAAATTCGAACTCTGTTTAATATCATTATTCAATTAATTAAATTCAAATACTCCCTTTTGAAATATAGATTTACTAGTTATGCTACTATTACAATTTTGCAGATGAAAATCTATACTGCCTGTAGTTTCGTAGTTATGGTAATGACTATTTAAATTAAAGTTCTCTAAATGTGGTGGTAATAAATTATTTTTTAATTTGAATATGAAAACGAGAACTAAATAATATATGAAATGTTTCACATCCAACCACTGCAGTTCTTCTAACATATACTTAATCCTAGCATATTTGTTTTTATTTAAAATGATTCATAGCTTTATTTTGTAGAATTTGTAGTTTTGAAAATATGTTTTCATTTGCTGTAAACAAGATGGTTGAATAATATAAAAAATGGGGAAGAATTATTGTGTTATACACAATTTGTTTGGAATACATACTAAGATTATGGGAAACTCTATAGAAGTAATTCGTCTTTTTTGATATTTTTGAAATAATGTATTCATAATGTTCGTGAAACAGTAGCTTACTATCCACATATATACCAAGATATTTAAATGACTCGACTACTTCAATTTTTTCATCATTAATCATGAGCGTAATTGTATTGACACCTAAATGTTTCCCTATTGACATACATTTTGTTTTATTAGTGTTTAATTTAAGTTTATTGACATTTAACCAATTCATAATTTTTTCAATATCACTATTTAACAGTTCTAAAGCAGTGTCCAAATGCTTATGTGCTATATATACACCTTGGGAAAAAACATTATTATACATTATGATGAGGAAGAGAGATGGAAATATACAAAAGTATGTAGGTGCGTGAAAGACACTCGATTGTAGGATCCTATCTGGCAGCGTCGGAGTGTGACGGACAACGGGGTAAAGTAGAAGAGTGATAAAAGAGAGATGGCAGAACTGGGCGCTGGCGCCTGCTGCTTAGACGAATGCGCTCAACAAATGCGATTTGTTTCTCCCATTCGCAGAGTTGCCGATACCAATATGTCATATTTCTAAGAAATCTAAGTCTACCCAAATTTCGGGAAAATAGCTGCGGATTCTACATAAGAGTATTCCAAAAATGAAAAAAGTTCAAACTATTAAAATTGTATTAATGTTTCATGGTTCAAATCATATTTTTCATGTTTGTATATTGTTGTATAAATGATTTTGGAATCCCTATTCTTGTTGCCACTAGAGATACAACAGTATTGAGAGAAATCATGGACCGCTAGATAGGGCTACAACTACCATATGACTATCAAATAGTAGTGATAAACAGGGTTTGTTTATAGCACAGTTGCCTGGTGTGCGAATTTGCGCCATAGGGGCGATTTGACAACTTTGAAGGACAACTATAACGGGTACTATGGTGCCCGGTATTCGGGAATCTGGCAATACCTGATGATTCCTAACGTTTATTACGCCAGATTGTTTGCTGACTTGCGCAGTACAACATGACAATCAACGTGACTGAGAACCTGGCAACCCTGGTTTAAGGTGTTATATTTAAAGAGCTTGGGGCAGTTAGGTATCTAGGTCACATTTTTTAATGTATTTCGAGAAATCCGTAATGTTGAGTAAATACTAGATCACGTTTCTTGCTTAGTTTGCTGAAAATTCTACAATAGACGTACATTTTGAGAAACACAGATTTGGTGACGACAAAATCGTAAAAATATAACGCATTTTCGTAAAATAATTTCTTTGTTGAAAAGACTGTGGCTTGATGACCCATTGAACGAGGATAGTGTCCCGCTCCGCTTTGAATATTCGAAACACTATACTCCAGCAGCATTCAGCTTAAATGTTATCTTTACTGAAGTTCTAACGTCTAGGCCATGCTGATTAAAAGCTTGAATGAATCAACACTTAACTCTAAATTCCCCACAATTCGGGAAGCTCTACTCAAATTGGCAACACAGCGTATCTGCCTATTATTCTCATTCGTGATACAGGTCTGCGGTCTGCTGCAAATTTCAGTATGCGTTGAGTCGATAGAAGAAGTACAGTAGATGCGCGCATTACGCACCAGTTCGATTGGACGTCCTGTGAACCGATTTCGGTGATTTCGAGATTTCACGAAATCACCTAAATCACTCTACTTATTTTTATGAATGGATAATTGGTTTTGTAGCAATAAAGGTTGCGTCTCATAACAAAAATAAGAAGATACCCACTCTAACAAAAAATAGTACACTCTTAAAAATGTGTAACGAAAATAAAAAGATATTCTAACAAAAAAATAAGTTCTCAAAAATAAAACGCAATAATGAACACAAATGTTTCAAATGGTCCTTCACAGCTGGGGCTCAAAAACGTCTCCTTCATTCAATGAACAGTATGTCAGGCGGTCATAAAACTCCTGACGAACTCTCAAGAGGGTAGAAGGCTGTATTTGCCCGAGCGCTTCAACGATTTTCACCTGTAGGTTATGCAAATTGTCTGCTCTCTCATTGAAAGTGTAAACAGTACTTTTCACATAACCCCACAAGAAAAAATCATTGGGCGCTAGTTCGGGTGATCTAGGAGGCCATTTTATTGTTCCGTTACCGCCAATAATCCGTTGGCCGAACACACTTTCAAGGTAAGTATGTACGATCGCCGCATTATGCGCCGGCCATCCATCTTGTTGGAACCAAATATTAGCGTAGATCAATGCCAAGCTGCCTAATTGCAGGAACAATCTGCGTCTGTAGTAACGCCAAATATTTTGCAGCCGTAAGAGTTCCATCAATAAAGAACGGTCCGATAATGTTATTACCTAGAATTCCTGCCCACACATTCAGTTTCTGTGGATACTGCGTGCGGACGGGAATACTGAGGTGTTTATTTTCCCGAGACCAATACCGAACGACTGAAGGATTGTGATGACCGTGGAGAGGGAATGTGGATTCATCAGTAAACAAAATGTTACCAATAAAACTTCCATCCCTGTTCGCCTTCTCCATGACCGTTTCACAAAACTCCATTCGACGGTATTTGTCTAAAGGAAATATTTCTTGAACCGTTCCAACCTTGAAGCTATGATAGCCGTTGCGATGCAAAATATTTCTTGTTGTTCTGGGTGTGAGATCGGCTATTGGTACCATTTCAGCAATTTTTCTGCTTGAGCATGGCTCAGATACTTCTGCAGCGGCACAAACAGCAGTTTCGATCTCCTCCCTTTTCTCGCTAATTTTTGGTTTCCAATCTTCAGGGTGCATGCAGCTATGGCACTTATGTAAGCAGCCCACCCTCTTGAATTTTTCGTAGGTATTTATAACCGTTGCGTGATGGCCGATCTGGGAAGCGTACCGCAAATAATTCAACAACCGCGCGTGCTGAATTATTCTGGATGTACCTGAAACTTTTCTTCTTGCGAGTACATTTTTAAGATATTTTGGATTAAATAAAGACGCACCTTTCCTACACAAAACACAACCGCAGAGTGAGTCATGAATCCCTTATCGCACCTGACAACGGCACGCGCGTTAACGGTGGGAAATATGTACGAATAGCGATGAAAGTAGACGAGCCGATGCGCTGTTGCCAAGAAATGATTTCCCATGTATAACAGTGGTTTTTCCTAAGGTGTATATATAAGTGTATCGTCCGCAAATATTTGAATTTTGCAGTGTTCAAAAATGTCAGAGATATCATTTATATAAATAATAAATAGTAACGGCCCTAATTTACTCCCCTGTGGCACCCCTACTGATATATTTTGAACACTTGACATAATATTTCCAACTTTAGTTTTTTGACTTCTATTTACTAAATAATTTTGTAAAATGTGTATACTGATCCTTTAAAGTCATAGTGACGCAGTTTCATTAACAATTTTTCCCCATCTATAGTCTCAAATGCCCTTTTGAAGTCTAAAAATATTGTTACAATATATTCTTTCTTCCACCACCATTTGGATTGCCGTTTCTGTGGAATATTTTTTTCTAAATGATGATTTTTTATCAAAATTTTGGTTTCTTCAATGAATTCTTAAATTCAATCGTGTAATTTTCGCACTAGATATTTCTCAACTGTCCAGTAGGCTGATTTGAGTAATAACTTCGTTTCAGGTACGAGTATAAGGGTCTATCGAAAAAGGCAAAGGCGGCTGTAGTAGCAGCCGTGAAAGGCGGAGATGCATCCGAAATAAAATCTGCCAAGAACAGAGAGGTGCTTTACGATTCTTTGCAATTGGCGCATAAGTGTATCTTGAACTCGTTCTATGGATACGTAATGAGAAAAGGGTGAGTTGTAGATTATCAAGCCGTTCGTATCGAGTATCAGATAAAGTGTATCTAGTGAACGCCGACCAACGAAAATGCCGTTAAATTAAGGTCATTATGACGGTCTAATATTACTCCTAATTGACGTCATTATATGACGTCAGGGTGGCCCATATGTCCTTTGAGCTGGAAAAAAAGGAATAAAACCAAACTAGTTGCATTATGAAGAATTATTATATTTTGTTATCATCTTTATTGAATGGGAATTATGTTTTAAAAATCACATCGTCTAAATGCAATCCATTACGATCACGGCACTCATATAAACGACGTCTAAAATTGTCGATGACTGCGCGGCAAGTCAACACTGTAATGCTTGCCATTTCTCTTCGGATATTTTCTTTCAGGACATCAACTGATCGCGGAGTGGTGTCGTACACTTTACTCTTGAGGTAGCCCCATAAAAAGAAGTCCATTGGGGTCAAATCTGGACTACGTGGTGGCCAGGAAATGTCTCCTCTTCGAGAAATTACTTTGCTGGGAAAAAGTTGACAAACGACGGGCATAGAAGTGTTGGAGGTGTGGGCAGTTGCTCCGTCCTGTTGAAACCAGGTCTGCGTATTATAGCCTGGAAAATTCTGCAACGCTGTTGTCAAAAACTCCTCTATCATTGCTACATACCGCTCCGAAGTAACAGTTAATGCGCGACCTCTGTCGTCCTCAAAAAAATAAGGGCCTACGATGCCATGCGCTGACATAGCAGCCCAAACTGTAACTTTAGGGCTGTGTAAGGGCTTCTGATGCTTACGCCTTGGATTTTCGGGGCTCCAATAATGGCAATTTTGTTTATTTACATGGAAGTGAGCCTCGTCCGAGAACAACACATTATTGAGCGAAGAAAATCGATTCAACATTTCATTCGCAAAGTTTAGTCTCTGAATAGCGTCATTATCTTTTAATTCCTGCACTAACTGAATTTTGTAAGCGTGCAGACGTAAATCTTTCCTTAAAATCCGCTGTAAAGATGTTCTGGGTACGTTTAGTGCACTGGAACGCTTACGAGTAGACTGGGTAGGATTTTGACGAACAGACTGTGCCACAATGTTGATGTTTTCTTCAATACGAGTTGTCCTTGGTCGACCCCACCGCTGTTTATCTAACGTCGAACCAGTCTCTTCGAACTTAGCAACCCAGTTCTTAATCGTTTGAGCTGTTGGACACTTTGTAAAATTGTGGTATTCTCGATATTTACGCCGCGCAATGGTTGCCGAATCATTATTTTGATAAAACGCGCGCACACAAAAAGCACGATCCGCTCCAGTGAAACACTCCATGGCGACTGAATTCTCAGACACTGAAGATACTGCCCCCACCTCGCCCGCGCCGCTCACGCTCACCCGTTAAATTTTATTCAAATTTGAAATTTCAAAGGACTTATGGACTACCCTATAGTATGTCGTATGAAAGACCGAATACAGAGTCGATATGTCGTCGGTGTGACGTGGAGCTAACGTCTATGTGACGTACAGTCGCTCGCAAAAATAATCGCGCGGAGCATCCAAATGTTCCTGAAAAATTGAGGATGTGACTTCGACGCCCCACAAGCGAGTTTAAGGCTAGTAGAAAGGCGCCGAAACTCATATTCTAAAGGGTTTTCGATTAAGGACTTGACAACTTTTTTTTTAAATAAAACGCCAACCACCTGCGATCTCGAAACTCTTATTATTGGATTGAAGTATACTAAAAACATTTATGTATGGAATTCGACCTCGTTCATATGTCGACCACGAGCACGTTCGCAGCGATCGATTCGTTGAACCCAATTTTCAATGACTCGGCCACACTCCCGTTCAAAATTGGCTCTGAGCTCCTCAAACGATGCCGGCTTGTTAGAATAGTCCAATGATTTACTGCAGACCCATTAAAAAAGTCTAGAGGTGTTAAATCTGACGATCTAGGCGGACATTCGACAGGACCATTTCTTGATATAACACTAATTTTGATTTCAATATGTCAATTATTTCACCCGCTGTATGGCTTGTGGCACCGTCTTATTGAAAGTACAGTGCAACCCGCTTATAATGGACTCGGCGCTACTGTGACAAATAGTCTATTATAGACGGAGGACCATCTTAAAGGAAGCACTTTTTTAAGGAAAAAAGCATCAGAAATAACATATTAAAAGTGTAAAATGTATTTGTTTAACATGTATTATATAAATAAAGATACATACAAAAAAGTTTTACGTAATCTTGAATTTTGCATTTTTTCAGAATCTGGTACACAAATTACAGGCATACGTACTGTGTAGGTATGTGTAAAAAACGTGAATTACTTGGTAAAAAAGCTAGTAATTTGCATTTGAACAGACTGTTTTTTTGTATTAAGCATCCCACAAACCGGCGCGAAATATTCGCTTTGGCTGCGAAAATTTCGCGGCGATGAATTCGCGATCAGATTAAAACGCGGCGGTTTACGGACAGGCTCAGACTTGTGCGAAGCGAATGCGATTGTTCCAGCGTTTTTATCGCGGCGTATTTCAGTTCGCCTTTGACCGCGTTTTTGACGCCGTTCTTCAAAAATTCGCAATGGTAAAAACGGAATTATTGATAGAAATAGTGAAAAAGTATCCTTGTTTGTATGATTTGTCGAACGATGAATACAGGAATGTGAGAAAGAAAGACAAGATTTGGATGGAAATAGGAAAAGAATTAAATACAAATGGTATGTACCTAATAATTTTTATTAACTTGTTAAATAATTTACAGTCTACACAAATGTGAAAACGAACATTCTATATATTGGGCATAGGCATATCAGAATTAAAGTAATTTACGAATTTGTCACGAGTAGAAAATGCTAGCCTTGCTGCCCGCCGAGGATCATTTGCTATATCAGTAAAAGCTCCAAGCACGGGTTCTGGGGGATCTAAGAATTGAAAATATTTGTCATTGCCACTTTTACTTCGTAAAAAATTGTGTAAAACACATGCCGTACGTACAATTAGAATAGTAGTATCTACTTTAGCTTCTAATGGCCTGTAAAATATTCGCCATTTTTGAGACAAAATACCAAACGCATTTTCCACGACCCTTCTAGCTCGACAAAGTCTTACATTGTATTTCTCTTTTCTGACGTCTGTTAAAGTCTGCTTATAAGGAAATGGTCTCATAAGGTATGGTTTTAAAGCAAATGCTTCATCACCAATTAAGACGTACGAGCAGGTTTCATTTTGCCCAGGGAGAAATCTAGGTGCAGGGACACTCATTAAATTTTGTTCAAATCGTTTTCCCATGTTTGAGGTTTCGAAAATACCCCCATCACTATTTTTTCCGAAACCACCAATATCAACACATAAATTTATAGTCCGGGCCAACAATGGCCATAAGTACTATTGAATATTTATGTAAACAGCACCAGTAATTGGAGCCACTGTTGTTAGGTCTCTTGATTGTTACATGTTTACCGTCCACGCTGCCAATGCAATTGGGAAATCCCCATCTATTTTCAAATTCTTCAGCACATTTTTTCCATATATTCTCTGTTGGTTCTGGTAAATATATATGCTCCATATGTCTGCATATCGCTTCACAGACTTCGGTTATGATTGCACTCAGTGTTGTAAAGCCAACTCGAAAGCTATGCCCAATGGTATAGAAGGTGTCACCAGTGGCAAGGAATCTATAAAAAAAATCGTTTTTAGGTGATGAAGTAAAAAAAAGATGGAAGAATATCAGAGACACATTTGCAAAATATATAAAATCTACCAAACCAAAGACCGGCCAAGCAGTGGGCAACATAAAAAAATGGCAGTGGGCTGACTACATGGAATTTTTCCGTCCTTTTTTGGCATTTGCCAAAACGTCGTCTAATGTGAAAGATATTGACGCCATACATTATGAGACTGCCGAATTTAACTCAAATATATATCAGGAAAGGGCTGGAAATGTAGAAACCGAAAATTTGGAAGACCGCGGCCATGGAGAAGATGAAAATGCTGATGTAGATGCAGAAGATGCACAGAACGCCTCGGCAACACAGACAGCACCACCTTCTTCATTGAACACTACAGCAGTGACTACTCCAGGGCACACCTTTCCGCAAACTGCAACTACACCAAAATATAAAACGAGCAGAAAACGCTATGAACCACCATCTTCGTCTGTACAACAGCTCATTAATTATTTTGAAGGTAAAAAACCTAAAAAAGAGAACGAGGCCATTGATTCACTTTTCTTGGCACATGCACAAACTGTGAAAACACTTCCCTTAAAGCGTCAAGCCCGAATAAAACTAAAAATAGCCGAATTAATAGCGCACGAAGAATTTAAACATATTGAAGAAATGTCTTCAGCGTCTACCCAGAATTCTGCAAGTATGTATGATAGTAGTATGTCGTCCTTCCCAAGCGGCACTGGGTTTACTCCAATAATATACCCAACAGAGGAGGCAAATTCTACCTCGAATTATTTAGCAACATTTAATCCTAGTGCCATCATGTAGTCCAATTATTACAATAAAATATTTATTTCACGATGCCTGAAGTTTTCGTATTCGATAAGCCTACTAATTTTAATACATATAATTTTTTACCTGAGTGTAATAGCAAGTCGTTCTTCTGGCGAAATAGCTTCACGATAATTTGTGTCAGATTTTCGTATTTCATCTTTCGCCAAGTTCAATATTTCATCGAAACACTCTGGAGTCATTCTAAAAAATACGTAAAAGCGCTGTTCATCCAGCCGAAGTTGTGGCATCAAGGTATGGTATTCCCCAAATTTATTTCGTTCCAAGTTAATATCATGTACCCACTTCCTTCGTTTCCTAAACAAAATTGAAAATATTTGTTTTATGTACTTCGTTAAACTTAATACATACCCAACTATCAAATGGCGTTAAATAAACATAACTTACCGTGCATTTTGTTCCTCTTCTAAAGCAAGAAATAGAAGTGCCTCCTCTTCTTCTGAAGACGAGCTCATTGCAAAAGGCAAAAATAAAATGTACGCAACCTGTCGAAACCTTCACGTTCGCGGAGCGAATAAGACGCTTTGGTATGAATAAACAGGCGAAACAGATTGCGAATTTCGCTCTGAATTTCGTTGCGAATACTTCGCCGCGATTATTTCGCGCCGGTTTGTGGGATGCTTTATTTAGAGCAGCAAGTTTAATTTTATTTAATTTGGTACTGTCTTCTTCTTGCTGAAAATAACGGTACAACTTTTTCACGCAGACTAATGCCTCCTTAGTTGTCACTGGAAGCTCTCGTTGGTTTCTAGTTCGTCTTCCTGTTCGGTATCAACGGATCCTTCGTTAACTAAATTGGAGTCTGACAATTCCTGTGTTGCTATTAAATTATTGTCAACATTTTCATACTCATTAAATTTGTCTATATTCAGTAAATTATTAATTTTCAGTAAATCACTTAATGGAATTTCATCTTGGATTAAAATCGTTGACTATTTCAGCTATGGTTTTCGACACATTTGCTTAAGACTCCAAATGACACCCTGGTCCATTGGTTGCAGAACTGATGACAATTGAAGGTTGATGTTATTAAGTGAAATATTTGGATCAGCGCGGCAGTTATCGACCAAGACCAAAATTTTACGATTTTTCTTAACAAGTTCAGCGTACCACTTCTTTACAAACACATTTGAATGTAGTTACATGTAGGAGTGCTTACTGGCTAGTAGAGAAACAGAGATAATACACAAAAACTTATAACTAAAAAATAACGATAAAGAAAAACTATAAAAATTAACAAACAAATAAAATGAGATGAGAGATGAGAGGATGTTTTACTTAAATTTAAAATCAGTCTTAATTTGTCTCACAGTAGTCGAAAGGAGATCCACATCACAATTTGTTTATAACTAACTTTTTAAGCGAGTCTATAATATGCGAGGATTTTACGTGCAATTATTTATAGGACCTTAAATTGTGTCCATTATACAGGGTGTTTCAGTTTATTGTTGCATAACTTTAAGATTCGATAGACCTTTTAAAATTAATGCATAAAGTCTATATAAACATGGGTCGAAAAATGCGTGGCTTCCGAAATACAGGGTGTTTAAATTTACTTTCTAAAATAGTTTTTTTCGAACAATATTTGATGTATAACAGTGAAAATTGGTATACTAGGGTTTTTTGGTACGACAAAACGAACCATGGGCATAGTTTTACTGTAGCCGCTAGAGGGCGCTCTCTACTGTACCTGTAGTGTATTAAAATGACCGAAAAATTTTTCTTAGTGCAATTTTTTGCTTTTTGAATAAAAAAACTGATTCTTCGCACTTTTCAACATAAAAAAGCTCTCCTGTGAGTTTTCGTTATAGTTAGCCGTTTTTGAGATTTTTCGATTTTTAAGGTTCGATGCATTTTTAATTATTTATGGGAAAATAATATTTTTTTACATTTTCGATTTGGGCATTACAAGTAATTAAGATGATCGTTTAGATTGTGTTTTTAAACACAGCAATAATTCCTAACTCCAAATAAACACAAAAAAACAGAATATTAATTTGTTTAATTTTCCAATATTATTTTTAACAAATTAAATTAATTATTTACAACTAAAATGCTATTGGATAGTTAGGACAAACATACAAAATCTAAAGTAGTTGCTCGAAATGTAATCCCAATTGTTCAATACACAATTCACATCTACGAATGATCGAACGTGGTATAGCATTATTTAAATAAGGCCTTATTTCATCACATGCATTCCTGATTCTGTCTATTAGCATATCTCTTGTGGTTACGGGAGTCTGGTACACTTTTTCTTTTAGAAATCCCCACACAAAGAAATCTAATGGATTTAGGTCAGGGGATCGTGGAGGCCAGGCGACTGGTCCTCCACGGCCGATCCATCTTTCTGGATAATTTTCGTCCAGCCAGTTTCTAACTATTCTTGAATAATGAGCTGGACAACCATCAAGCTGGAACCAGGCCAATCTTCTTAAATCTAACATAACATCATCCCACATATTTGCATGTTCAGCCTTCCAAGAAGGTCGCAGCATTTAACCTTGCAGGCAAAAGGTAGGGTCCAAATAGTCGATTACGGTAGATACCAATCCACACGTTCACACTAAATTCATGCTGAAAATTTCTTTCCCGAACTGCATGCGGATTTTCATGCGACCAAATATGTTGATTATGAAAATTTACCTCTCCACGTCTAGTGAAGCATGACTCATCGGTCCATAAAACGTTACTTAAAAACTCCCTATTATTATCAGTTCTATCAAGAATCCACTGACAAAATGTGATTCTTCGTTCTCCGTCCCCTGGCTGTAGTCCTTGCACAGGTTGCAAATGGTAAGGACGTCTATGGTCATTTCTAAGAACACGGTGAACATGGCTTGCTGCAATTCCCAAGGCACCAGAAACTCTCCTAACACTTGTGGTCGGATCTCTATCAAACTGCGCTGACGAACATTTATGTTTTGATCCCTTTGGAGGTTTCCAAAACCATTTTCAATTCAATTATAGCGAGTTGGATGTCGTCTGTTTGGAAATCTTCGTGCGTATTCTCTGGCTGCTTCTGCCGCGTTTCCATTTACAAAGCCATACACAAAATGAATATCCGCTAACTCTTGATTGGAGAATAAAAATGGCATTTTTATAAAACTTCTTGAGAACGCCGTGGAATCGACCTGTTCTGTTCGCTTGCGACTGAAGCTTGAACGGCAGCAGCGAATATGTGGACTCTAATTTTTTACTAGACTATGAATTGCTTATCTACTGGGACGAGAATTACGACCAAAAATTGGCGTTAACGCTCGGAATTTCGGTAGTAAATTTTAATTATTTGTAAGCATTGTTCGTTCGTGACCTTCACCATGATGAAAATGTTTTCTTTACTGAATGTTTTGACATTGACAGCTCGGTAATGGATTTAAAGGTGCGTTCACAGTGAAAGTCCATATTGGAAAACGCGATACTTACCTACCACTGTTAAACCGAGACGTCGTGATCACCTCCGCAATGTTTCAGCAGCATTTGAACAAAGTGTATCGAAGTGGTTAATAAATATCTAAAAAAACACCGTTTCATCTCAAACACGTTCCACACTCCTCCGACAGAAAAATTCAGTTTTCCCTGTATATGTTTCTATAGTAACTTTTATTTTTCAGAGCCCGTTGGCACAGCATGGAAATGGCGGGAATAGTATGTTATACAGGTGCAAATATAATCATGAAAGCTCGTGAGATCATCGAGCAAGTTGGCCGCCCTTTGGAACTGGATACTGACGGTATTTGGTGCATTCTGCCCGCGTCCTTCCCAGAAAATTTCACCATTCTAGCCACGCACGAGAAAAAGCAAAAGTTCAACATATCCTATCCGAACACTGTCCTGAATTCCATGGTCAAGGAATATTTCACCAACGATCAGTATCACGAACTGGTGAACCCAGAAAACTTTGAGTATAAAATCAGAAGCGAAAACTCCATATTCTTCGAAGTAGACGGCCCGTACAAAGCAATGGTATTACCTGCGAGCAAGGAGGAAGGCAAGAAACTGAAAAAGAGATATGCGGTTTTCAATTTTGATGGATCTCTAGCTGAATTAAAAGGGTAAGTTTTTTAAGCAATACAAAAGTTCAATCAAAATCAATCCAAATAGTGGTGGAAGACTGGAGACATATAGATGAGAAAGAATGTATTATAACAGTATTTTTAGACTTCAAAAGGGCAGTTAAGGATTTTCCATTACAGTTTCGAAGTGAAACGGAGAGGTGAACTACAGCTAATCAAGAATTTCCAATCCTCCGTCTTCGAAGCGTTCCTTAAAGGAGATACTTTAGAATCGTGCTATGCGGCTGTATCCCAAGTTGCCGATTACTGGTTGGACGTACTTTTCTCTAAAGGTCGTAACATGCCCGATTCGGAACTGTTCGACTTGATATCAGAGAACAGGTCAATGTCAAAGAAGTTGGACGAATACGGTGGGCAGAAGAGTACATCGATCAGTACCGCGAAGCGACTGGCGGAATTTTTAGGTGATCAGATGGTCAAAGATGCGGGATTGGCGTGCAAATATGTCATATCTAGAAAGCCAGAAGGAGCGCCTGTCACAGAAAGGTAAACGAATGAAATTACATTTATTATATTTGGCAGGATGTATTCATAATTCCTAAAATTATCCCTATTCATAAAATATAATTGCGAAAGCCTTTGAGATCATTGTGAAAGAGAAATGAACAGGCTACTGCGAAAGTAAATCTATCCTATGTGTAGGATAATTTGGATTTTAAATGAAGCGTTTACAAATCGCTGGATATGACGTGGGGGAACTCAGTCTTGGCCTCCCAGGTCCCCTAATTAAAATAGTTTAGACTATTTTTGTAAGGGCACCTCAAGACTTTATACTAAACTACACCGGCTCAAACTGTACAGGAACTAAGGCAAATAGTTTTTAGCCAAACCATAAGAAATATTTTTGAAAGGGTTCGCCAATCAATGAGAAAGAGAATTGAAGCCTGTATTCTAGCAGAAGGAGGACATTTTCGACAATTCCTGTGATAATTAAATTAAATAGTATTAGTTTTTTTGATCCACAGAAATTGTGAAAACTTGTTGCAAATTTGTTTTTCTAATTTTCATGCATTGCAAAATCGCTAAAATCTCATGTGGTAGTTTGTAGGTACGATGTGTTTTTGTTTAATTTTCATTCAAGTAAAGTCAATTGATTAAAATAGCCGAAATGGTTTTTATTTTTTACGCGGAAGTACAGCCCATAGAATCTTTCAAAAAAGCGTGCTCCATCCATACCACATACAGCGTGTTCAACCTCTCCTGCCCCGAGATTATGAGCCCCGAGTTGCCTTTTGTCGCACAATGTTAGAAAGACACAGGAAAGATCCACAGTTCTTTGAAAAAATTTTATGGTCGGATGAGACCACATTTAAGAAAGATGGGTACATGAAAATGCATAACTTACACGAGTGGCACGTAGCAAACCCACATTTGATGAGAGAAGATAAATCTCAATATCGCTTCAAGATAAACCATTGGACAGGAATTTTAAATGGTAAAATAATCGGTCCGTTTGAGTTCCCAGAGACTTTGACTGCTGAAGTTTATTTGGATTTTTTGAAAAATCATGTACAAAATTTATTGGTGGACGTGCCACTGAGTATTTACAGGGACATATGGTTTCAGCATGATGGCTGCCCAGCGCATTATGCACTCTCAGTGAGAGAGTATCTTGATCAAAACTTTCCAGGCAGATGGATAAGGCGGTCTGGTACAATACCGTGGCCAGCCCGATCACCTGATTTGAATCCTTTAGATTTTTTTACTGGGGAACTGTAAAAGAAAAAGTGTATTTCAAGCCGATTGAAAATGTAGCTGAGCTACGGCAAAGACTATTAGAAGCAGCTGAGTTTGTTAATAACCATGGATTCGCTCGTTTAATAACCCGATCTTTTTTAAGAAGATGTCGAGCGTGTATTGCGGCTGAAGGAAAACAGTTTGAGCATTTGCTGTAAAGGTAAATCATCATCAGCAGCATTTTGACGCCCACTGTTGTGCAAACAGTTATCCTTAAGGGTCCTTGTGCGTTTTCATAATCGCTGTTTAATTAGGAAATTTTGAAAAAGTTCCATCAGTTTTTTTTTCAAATTAAAATTGTGCATAAGTTAACGAGTAATCTTCTAAGTGTTATACCATTTTGGAATCGTTATTAAATGCGCCAACTTTTAAGGTTACTTGCCAAACTCTCGTAGTACATTTTTTTCCAGTACAGCCAGTTAAAGTTGATCAAAGTTTTACTTTGGAATACTTGGTTGGGAAATAAGTGGCAATTTTTCCTAAACGAGAAAAGTTGGCAGTAAGGTTGAGACACCAGTTTGAAGATGCATTATTCATCATTACATTGTAAAAATAAAATCCAAAAAAGTTAATATTTGTAGTAACAGGAGTTGACAGACTGCCGTAGGGTGTGAAATTTCTATATCTTTTTCAAAGACCTATAATTTTCAAAACACATACATACATTTTTTTAAATATTTTTCTGATAGCTTTGCCTATCACCCGGTTTCGGCTTGACGTCGACTTCTGGGACACCCTGTATATTATTTAGTTCTCGTTTTCATATTCAAATTAAAAAATCATTTATTACCACCACATTTAGATAACTTCATAAAATTAAATAGTCATTATCATAACTACGAAACTAGAGGCAGTATAGATTTTCATCTGCAAAATTGTAATAGTAGCATAACTAACAAATCTATATTTCAAAAGGGAGTATTTGAATTTAATAAATTGAATGATGATATTAAACAGTTCGAATTTAAAAATGTTTAAGGTGAATAATCAAAATGCATAGTGACGTGATTTTAATTTTAATAGACAAGAATGTAAAATTACAGAAAATGGATTGAAGAAAAATATGTAACCGAATCATTATACAAAATTGACATTGTACCATTAATGCTAAATAAATCTTCAAGAACAACAACAACATCTAGGTATATTAATAACTGTTTTGTGAATTGTAGAAATAGCATAAATCCGCAGTAAAAATGATAATGTTTTCAGGGCAATCCCGTTAGCAATTTTTCAATCAGAAGAGGCGATACAAAAACATTATTTGAGGAAATGGCTGAAAGACAGCTCCTTAGGGGAAATTGACATTCGTGACATACTGGATTGGGATTACTATATTGAGCGTCTAGGAGGAGCTATCCAGAAAATTATCACCATTCCAGCTGCCATGCAAGGGGTAATTTTTGTGTTGACCGTTTTCGAACTTTTTTGTTTATGACTTTTTCATATTTTGTGTAGTTTCGGGAGGCGAAAGAGTATTTGCCTGCGCTCAGGTATTTTTTTGTTAGGTTAATGTAGTGGAAGCCACAGAAACATCACTTTGTTCAACTGTCTCTATGATGAATAGGTTCCCGAAGTGGGTTGAAATATAATTGTTAATTTGAGACCCTTCTTTATACTTACACATTTTCCTAAATAATAATCACAACGATATCATGGATTTTTATCTGAAATGCAGGTCCCAAATCCAGTTCCCAGAGTCAGACACCCCGACTGGTTGCACAAGAAAATCCTAGAGAAAAACGACAATTTCAAACAAAGACGAATTACCGATATGTTCACACACAGCGCCAAACCAGTGGATCAGTTCGGCAGCTCGAACGGGACAGATTCCAACATGGGCGACATTGAAGATGGAGGACGAAGCAACAGATCGAATTTCAAGTCGCCAGTCGCGGTGGTGACGAAACGCAAAAGGGGATCTGATAAGGAGAATGAATTTAGTGAAGAGGATTTGAATAAAACTTGGAGGGAGGTTTTAGGCAATCCTCCATCCATTGGGGATACGAAGGTAACTTAAGCATACATTTAGTGTTACTTTTTGCAAAAGAAAAACACCGATAGTATTTGAATTTGTCGGGTTATCTTGGTTCTTTATTTCTTTATTTACACCACCAACAGAACAACCAATTATTGCTGGGAGAACAGAAGTTTACATAGTACAAACATGGAGTAATATACAGGGTACTGACTACAAATTTTGGCTAACTTAGAAAAACTTAATGCCATTTATTTGTTAATTACCCAATTTAAAAACGTTTTAGATTAGATTATAAAAATTAGTAAGATTGTGGTGATTGAGGTCGAAAAAGTTGCTATTGCAGAACTGCAAGACGAAGCTTCAAATCTACAAAGCTCCTTTTCTTTGCTAGTATTTTTTTAATTTGGAGAAATAAATTCTTTTTCACATTTTGTGTAAGTTATGTGGAACCCTGTATAGCGATCAGGGCATAAGAAACAATACTTTTAGTCATTCCTCTTCGCGATAAATTTAATTTATTTTGGTGTTTTCTTCAAGGAGCAACACGCAGCTTGGATCTTGTTCCAAAAGCGAAAATGGCTATTCCAGTCGTTGCAAAAGAACCTGGGTCAGAAAAACAAAAAGACTAAAACGACTGGTACGTCTGCGGCTGTCCTAAGATCTTCAGCAGCAGGCACCTTAGGGAGCTTTATACAAAGGGCACAACGAATGTTGTTAACCTCACCGTGGCAGGTGTTGCAAATCGCAGCTACGAACGTTCCTGGAGAATTTCGACTTTGGGCTTTGGTAAGGGTTCTCTTCGAAAGAATTACGTAAAGCAATTGTGTTTTTCAATTCATTGGATTTCGCTGTCGAAAGCAAATACTCGGTTAATAAGAAGCAAATCTAATATCCTTTGTCTAGGTACAAAATGAACTCCATATGGTGAAATTAATAGTTCCAAGGATATTCTATGCCAATCTAAAATCGCCAAAAATTGTTGAGGAAGGAGCTCTGTTCAAGAAATGCAACAGAACGCTGCCTAGATCAAAACAGGTGTACCATCTTTACAAATACTCTGTACCCGAGGAAGTTTTCCAAGAACACGGAAAGTGAGTTTATTATCATTAAGTCTTTTAAGTTTTCTAATTGAACAATTTTGTAGCTTTATATACAGGGTGAGTTTTTAGTGTGCATGGTATTTGAAAAAGTTAAATTGTAGCCAACAGTATGCTCCTTACTTGGAAAATATTTTTATTTTCCAGGGTGAGTCATAACTACGTGGTGACCCAAACATACATTTTTTTTTAATGGAAAGACCTTCATTTTATTGCACATTCGGATAGCCTCTTCCAAACGAATTCATCATATTTTCAAATTGCTGAGATATTAGGAAATCTATCGAAAAAATACACAACTTTGTCAATTCGCACCTCCGCAACTGTTATAGTTAGGAACTGAATTTTTGTCAGAAAAGTTGTATGATCCCATATTGTCTCCCTATCCACTTACGTTATCATTTTTTTTTTGTTAATAACGCAAAATAAACGGTTGCTTAAAATTTTCATATGGAACAGCCTGTATATTTCCGTACTTTTTGATTTCCTCTTTCATAGGCTTGCTTCTGTTTTAACGTTTGTGGGGGTTCGTATAACTGGTTTCTGAATTACTAGAAACACAATCACAAACAAAATTTCTAAAAAAAATCAAGCTGGATTTAGAAAAAAATATTCTACAGAAACAGCAATCGATGTTGGTATAAGACTGGAGAAGTATAGATGAGAAAAAATGTATTGTAACAGTATTTTAAACTTCAAAAGGGCATTTGAGATTATTGATAGGGAAACATTGTTAATGAAATTGCATCACTATGGTTTTAAAGGATCAGTGTTAATCATTTCAGAAAATTATTTAGTAATTAGAAGTAAAAAACTAAAGTTGAAAATATGACGAGGATTCAAAATATATCAGTAGGGGTGTCACATGGGAATAAATTGGAACCGTTACTATTTATTATTTATATAAACGATATCTATGACATTTCTATACAGGGTGTCCCAGAAGTCGACGTCAAGCCGAAACCGGGTGATAGGCAAAGTCATAACAGCTATCAGAAAAATATTTAAAAAAATTTTATGTATCTGTTTTGAAAATTATAGGTCTTTGAAAAAGATATAGAAATTTCACACCCTACGGCAGTCTGTCAACTCCTGTTACTACAAATATTAACTTTTTTTGGATTTTATTTTTACAATGTAATGATGAATAATGCATCTTCAAACTGGTGTCTCAACCTTACTGCCAACTTTTCTCGTTCAGGAAAAATGGCAACTTATTTCCCAACCAAGTATTCCAAAGTAAAACTTTGCTCAACTTTACCTGGCTGTACTGGAAAAAAATGTACTACGAGAGTTTGGCAAGTAACCTTAAAAGTTGGCGCATTTAATAACGATTCCAAAATGGTATAACACTTAGAAGATTACTCGTTAACTTATGCACAATTTTTATTTGAAAAAAAACTGATGAAAATTTTTCAAAATTTCCTAATTAAACAGCGATTATGAAAACGCACAAGGACCCTTAAGGATAACTGCTTGCACAACAGTGGGCGTCAAAATGCTGCTGATGATGATTTACATTTATAGCAAATCCTCAAACTGTTTTCCTTCAGCCGCAATACACGCTCGACATCTTCTTAAAAAAGATCGGGTTATTAAACGAGCGAATCCACGGTTATTAACAAACTCAGCTGCTTCCAATAGTCTTTGCCCTAGCTCAGCTACATTTTGAATCGGCTTGAAATACACTTTTTCTTTTACAGTTCCCCAGTAAAAAAATCTAAAGGATTCAAATCAGGTGATCGGGCTGGCCACGGTATTGTTTGTACCAGACCGCCTTATCCATCTGCCTGGAAAGTTTTGATCGAGATACTCTCTCACTGAGAGTGCATAGTGCGCTGGGCAGCCATCATGCTGAAACCACATGTCTCTGTAAATAGTCAGTGGCACGTCCACCAATAAATTTTATACATGATTTTTCAAAAAATCCAAATAAACTTAAGTCTCTGGGAACTCAAACGGACCGATTATTTTACCATTTAAATTCCTGTCCAATGGTTTATCTTGAAGCGATATTGAGATTTATCTTCTCTCATCAAATGTGGGTTTGTTACGTGACACTCGTGTAAGTTATGCAGGTTCATGTACCCATCTTTCTTAAATGTGGTCTCATCCGACCATAAAATTTTTTCAAAGAACTGTGGATCTTTCCTGTGTCTTTCTAACATTGTGCGACAAAAAGCAACTCGGGGCTCATAATCCCGGGGCAGGAGAGGTTGAACACGCTGTATGTGGTATGGATGAAGCACATCACTTACTTGCTATTGCACACTTTGATACCGATCAGTACTTCTTCGTTTACTGCGCATCTTTACATGTTCGTGCTTGTTGATTTCGTACTGTTACTAATTTTGGATTCGTGAACTGGACTGTTGATCGCTTGTGATTTGGATTTGGACTGTTTAATTGCTCTTCAAAACAACATTTGCTTTCCTTAGACTATCTTTGATAGTGTGATTGTGCAGTGCCGCTATGTCCGTGTACACCGTACAAGAATACATGTATGCTAACATGCACCTCATTTATGGGGAATGCAGATGCAACGCTAGTGCTGCAGTGAGACTTTACTGTGAGAGGTACCCGAATGCAGCTCGTCATCCAGATCATCGAGTGTTCACAAGTGTGCACCGCTTACTGTTCTCAGAGGGCCAACTACCAAACCAATCACACGGTGAGGGAAGATCTTTCCTTCCTTACGAAGACGTGGTGCTAGGAGCTGTCGAAGAAGACCCGAGTACTTCAGTGCGTGCAATAGAACTAAAAACAGGTGTGCCCAAAAGTACAGCCCATAGAATCTTGCAAAAAAACGTGCTCCATCCATACCACGTACAGCGTGTTCAAGCTCTTCTGCCCCGGGATTATGAGCCCCGAGTTGCTTTTTGTCGCACTATGTTAGAAAGACACAGGGAAGATCCACGGTCCTTTGAAAAAATTTTATGGTCAGATGAGACCACATTTAAGAAAGATGGGTACATGAACCTGCATAACTTACACGAGTGGCACGTAGCAAACCCACATTTGATGAGAGAAGATAAATCTCAATATCGCTCCAAGATAAACCATTGGACAGGAATTTTAAATGGTAGAATAATCGGTCCGTTTGAGTTCCCAGAGACTTTGACTGCTGAGGTTTATTCAGGTTTTTTGCAAAATCATTTAGAAAATTTATTGGAGGACGTGCCACTGAGTATTTACAGGGACATGTGGTTTCAGCATGATGGCTGCCCAGCGCACTATGCACTCTCAGTGAGAGAGTATCTCGATCAAAACTTTCCAGGCAGATGGATAGGGCAGTCTGGTACAATACCGTGGCCAGCCTGGTCACCAGATTTGAATCCGTTAGATTTTTTTTACTGGGAAACTGTAAATGAAAAAGTGTATTTCAAGCCGATTCAAAATGTAGTTGAGCTACGGCAAAGACTATTGGAAGCAGCTGAGTTTGTTAATAACCGTGGATTCGCTCGTTTAATAACCCGATCTTTTTTAAGAAGATGTCGAGCGTGTATTGCGGCTGAAGGAAAACAGTTTGAGCATTTGCTGTAAAGGTAAATCATCATCAGCAGCATTTTGACGCCCACTGTTGTGCAAACAGTTATCCTTAAGGGTCCTTGTGCCTTTTCATAATCGCTGTTTAATTAGGAAATTTTGAAAAATTTTCATCAGTTTTTCTTCAAATAAAAATTGTGCATAAGTTAACGAGTAATCTTCTAAGTGTTATACCATTTTGGAATCCTTATTAAATGCGCCAACTTTTAAGGTTACTTGCCAAACGCTCTTAGTACATTTTTTTCCAGTACAGCCAGTTAAAGTTGAGCAAAGTTTTACTTTGGAATACTTGGTTGCGAAATAAGTGGCAATTTTTCCTGAACTAGAAAAGTTGGCAGTAAGGTTGAGACACCAGTTTGAAGATGCATTATTCATCATTACATTGTAAAAATAAAATCCAAAAAAAGTTAATATTTGTAGTAACAGGAGTTGACAGACTGCCGTAGGGTGTGAAATTTCTATATTTTTTTCAAAGACCTATAATTTTCAAAACACATACATAAAATATTTTTAAATATTTTTCTGATATCTGTTATGACTTTGCCTATCACCCGGTTTCGGCTTGACGTCGACTTCTGGGACACCCTGTAGATGTTATCTCTGATATTTTAGAACGAAAATTCAAATATTTGCGGACGATACATTGATATACATATTATAGCACATAAACATTTGAACACCGCTTAAGAACTGTTAAATAAAGATATTAAAAATTATGAATTGCTTAAATGTTAATGAAATTAAATTAAACACTAATAAATCAGATTGTATATCAATAGGGAAACATTTAGGTGACAATATAGGTTCATAATTAATGATGAAAAAATTGAAGTAGTCGAATCATTTAAATAATTAGATACATATATGGATAGGAAACTACTGTGTCACGAGCATTATTAATAAATACATTATTTCAAAAATATCAAAAAAGATAAATTACTGCTATAGAGTTTCCCATAATCTTAGTATGTATTCCAAAAAAAAAATGTGTATAACACTATAATTCTTCCCCATTTTTTATATTGTTCAACTATCTTGTTTACAGCAAATGAAAACATATTCAAAATTACAAATTCTACAAAATGAAACTATGAAAATCATTTTAAATAAAAACAAATATGCTAGGATTAAGTCTATGTTAGAAGAACTACAGTGGTTGAATGTAAAAAAATTCATGTTATTTAGTTCTCATTATCATATTCAAATTAAAAAATCATTTATTAGCACCACATTTAGAAAATTTCACAAAATTAAATAGACATTATCATAACTACGAAACTAGAGGCAGTATAGATTTTCATCTGCAGAATTGTAATAGTAGCATAAAAAATAATAATAATAGTGGTGTAATTTTAATTGACAAGAATGTAAAATCACAGGCAATGGATTCAAAAAAATGTGGAAACGAATAATTTATACAAAATTGACATTGTAGCATTAATTCTAAATACATCTTCAACAAACAAGAAAAACCTCCTTCATTTTCCGACTTTTTGCATAAAGTTAGGTAGATTTAATTTATAATAAAAATATGTACACAACTTTTAATTATCTGCTGTTTCTAACTGAATGCGATTTTTATTTTGAAAGGTATTGTGATATTTTTCTTTTGCCCACTTGATATCCGATTTACAAAAAGGTAAACTCTATCCCAAAAACCACTCGTACGAACTCCAACAAAACTTATAGCAAAAAAAGCTTGTGAAAAATAAAATTTATAGGCATGAAAATGTACAGGTTGGATATTTTGAGAAATAGTTTATTTTGCGTTTTTGACCATTATAAAAAAAAAACGAAACTGTAAGTGCATACAGTAATGGACAAAAGTATATAATTTGTCTATATTGTGCTGTATTTCTTTTTTAACTTGTTTTATTAATTCACCAACCTGTACACATAATTCTTTATAGCATAATACTAACTTATACATAAATAAATTCATTAGACTCCCTTCAATAAAAAATTACTTGAAAAAATTTGGAACTATGAAGGACAAAAATATATAGACAAAGCAAAACAATTATAGAAAAAAGAATCAAAGTTCATTGAATTATAGAAAACCAACCATGTTTATGTTAATATTTTCTAGCACGATCATTATCAATCACCGCCTGGCATCGTCTCGGCATAGATTGTAGAAGTTTCTTAATATAAGATTCATCAATCTGTCAATCATTTAATCTTCTGCTTATAGTTTTCATAGAAACACTGACAATTCCTTTTGTCTCGATTTCGGCTTTTATTTGTCTTGGGATTTGAAAACGGATCTTTGGACGAAATTACTTTTATTAATCTAACTGATCTAGCATTTAGTTTTTTAAGCCGACCACTTGCTTGCAAGATACCTTTTTGTTTATATTTGTTCAATATTGCCCAAACTGCTTCAGCTTCAAATGTTTGGCAATGTCGACTTGACGTTGACCATCTTTGTATAACTCAATGATCTTAGTTTTCACATCGAAAGAAATTTCTGGACCACGCGGCATGGTCTTAAAATCACTCAACTTATTCCATAATACTTGATGAGCACAAACTAATCCTGTTCTGACACGAAACTGTACTAAACTAATGTTGAAAAGAATTTGTCTACATATTTTTGTCCCTCATAAAAAACTGCTTATATTCAGACTTGTATTGTGTTCATTGCAGATAATGTAAAAACAAGGAATTTAGTTTTTCTACTAATAACGCATTTGTTTATGGAGCAATCAAGTATGAATTTAAGTAAATATTCATATTTGTCTATATACTTTAGTCCATTACTGTATATATAAAAAAACTTTGGGATTATAATATTCTTAGACCATATTTTTTCAGAAGCGCTGCATTTATCAACTAATGCGTGAAATTATTACAGGAAGTTATACCTGGATCAAACTGACCCAAATGTGGAAGGCGTATACGAAACTCAGGTCACGCCAATGTTGAGAGCCCTTATGCACATCGGCTGCGTTTGCAAGGTTACCCGAGGTGTCCAAAGCATGGACAAATTCAATTTAGACGACCTTGATATGATAAGCATCGCCAGACAACCGTATCTGCCCAAGGACAATATGAAACATCTTTATTTCTATCACCATAGACATCCAACTAAGCCGCAACATATGTTTGGATTGTGCTTGACGCCGCTCAAAAAAATCATTATCCTAGTCGTGGATACTGTCAGGACTAACTTGATGCCGAATATGGTGAATTTGTACAATGCTGAACGAATGACAAAGTAAGTGTGGAATAAAATATACTAGACTGTTTCAATCAACACGTAGAGATATCTTATTATACGTATACTATTTAAACTACAAAAATAAACTTTCCAATTTAATAACTGCTACAAAACAAAAATATCACTGAACAACAAATTTTAGTTTTTTAATTGTATCTTGTGGGAAAAGTGCGCTTCTTTGTTAATTTTGCGGAGCTGAATCCAAAAATGACAATGAAATAAAAAAATTAGTTGCGGTTTAGAAAAAAAAACTTTTTATTTTTAAGGATATATTAAAAAAAGTAACAAGATTCATATACTTATAAGAATCACTATATGCGCTGTCTTTTTGCTGTTCTTTTATGGATCGTTTCTGGAGCATCTCTACCAAGAGTCCAACAGTAGTCTGCAAGCATGGAAGGATTCCACTTTCCCTGGTACCTTTTTTCCATTGTTGAAATATCCTGATGAAAACGTTCGCCGTGCTCATCACTTACGCCTCCGCAATTGTCAGGAAAAAAGTCCAGGTGTGAGTGTAGGAAATGTATCTTAAGAGACATATTACAGCCCATCTTTTGATACGATGACAGCATATTTTTGACAAGGGTTTTATAGTTGTCAGCTTTTCTATTTCCCAAGAAATTAGTGACCACCAGACGGAAATCATTCCAAGCAGTTTTTTCAATACCTGTTAAAGTGTTTTCAAACTGTGTATCTTTCAAAATATTTCGAATCTGTGGCCCAACAAAAATACCTTCTTTAACCTTTGCCTCACTTAATCTTGGAAATTTCTGACGCAGGTATTGAAAAGCTGACCCATCTCTATCTAATGCCTTGACAAAGTTTTTCATTAGGCCCAACTTGATATGCAGTGGTGGTAATAAAATTTTTTTCGAATCTACTAATGGCATGCTGTACATTTTTTTGACCTGGCTCTAGGAATTGACGAACAGGCCAGTTTTGTCTGGTGTAATGAAGTGCCTTTGCCCGACTGTCCCATTCACACAAAAAACAGCAAAACTTTGTGTAGCCTAGCTGCAGCCCAAGTAAAAGTGCAACAACTTTCAAATCGCCACAAATATGCCATTGGTGCTCATCGTATTTTATGCATGTCAATAGGTACTTCATATTGTCATATGATTCTTTCATGTGAACTGCATACCCTACAGGAAGAGAAGGTAAACTATTTCCAATATGCAATAACACTGCCTTTAAACTCAATGTTGAACTGTCTATAAACAATCTCCATTCTTCTGGGTTATAGTTTATATTTAAAGCCGCCAGTAAGCCGTTAATGTTACTGCAGAAAACCAAGTTATTCTCCATATTGAAAAATGGTTCTAAGTCTTTGTGGCGTTTACGAAAAACACATACCGCAACAACGTCTTCTAACAAGTTCCACTGCTGCAGTCTTGATCCAAGTAACTCTGCCTTACATTTTGGAAGTTCTAAATCTCTTACAAGATCATTTAATTCTGACTGTGTTATTTTGTGCGGTTGGTGGCATGACGTGCTCGGTATAAAATCAGGATCTCTTGACGTTGATGGCATATCTTCTTCCTGACGAATCACTCGAAAGCCATGATCTGATTCGTTTTCTGATTCGCAAGTGTAGGATTCTGGGGGTTTTGGAATAGGATTTTCGTCACTGTGAGGCACAGGTCTCATCGCAGATGGTATGTTTGGGTAGTTAATAACCGATTTTTTTTTTCTTGGACATACCTGTGGCTTGTCCAACACAAGGTACCATGCAAAAGTAACAATCATTAATATGATTTGTAGGCTCTGTCCAAACCATTGGGACAGCAAAGCGCATAGACCGTTTTTTGCCATTTAACCAGCTCCTCAGACTTGAAGCACATGTATTACAGCAGATGTGGGGTGCCCACTGTTTGTCTTGATCACCTAGTTTACAACCGAAATAAAGCTGATATGCCTTTGTTATTAGTGGAGTAATAGACCGTCTCTGAGACGCAAAAGTCACATCACCACACACGTAACAAAACTGATCTGGATTGTTTACACACTTTCGAGACATCTTGCATGAACGCTGTCAGCCAACTGAGGAAAAAATGGCTAATATAAAACAATATAATGTACACGTATGCATAACGTAACACAATCATGCCGATTACATCATCTTTCCTTGCCCAATATAAAAATGTAGCACGTGCATTCTTGTGAATTACAGTATATTAACACTGTCACAGCAGGAACACATATAATTACCGTATCTCTAAAACTTGAACTAATATTGAAAAAATAAGTTTCATTCCGGTTTTAGCACATTGAAAATAGTAATATTTTGTTGATTTTATTTAGGATATTTTTTGGCTGTTGATCAGTGTATTATACGGAGACACTACAAAAAAGTAAATCCGATTCTAAAACGGTATGAAATACCATCAACCAAATCTGTAACTCAAACAGACCAATAACAAGTATTGAACAAATCAAAACTAATAATACTGCAATAACTGTATATACAGATATTGCTAACGTTTTCAATCTTTCTTGAACCAGTTACAGAAAATGAAACAGATACCATTTACAGCCTAAAAAATAAAAAAAGTCCAGGTTTAGATTGCATACGATTAGATTTACTCAATAAAGTTGCACCTGAAATTAGAAAACCACTAACATTTTTAACAAATTTGATAATTGAATATGGGGTTTTCCCATACCCTTAAAAATAGCAAATATGATCAAATAAATGATTACATAAGTTCAGAAAAAACTGTGACTTATGGTGTACCACAAGGGACAGTTTTAGGCCCGTTATTTTTTACTGTGTATATCAATAGCCTACTTAGCTTGAAGTCGCAAGGCACAATAATATGTTTTGCAGATGACACAGCGATACTTTATTCTAATAACAATTCCTGGGATAATCTCGAAGAGACTATTGAAAATGACATTATTTTAATTTCAGATTGGTTTAGACACAAATATCTAACCATCAAGTTTCAGAAAACTAGATTTTATAACTTTTTACCAAGCCATATAAAATCTGTGTCAAATAAAAATAGATTCAAAATTGCAATAAAAAAATTCTTGTCAAATAATAATCGACATGAAATAGAAAAACTCAGTAAAATGAAAATAAATTAGTATTTGAATATAATATTATTACATTTACCTATATGGTTATGTTGTGTTTAAATTTATGTATTATCTGTTTTTAACTGTTTTAAGCAAAAATTGTTATGAAAAATGTTTTCCCACGCACAAGAATTAAATTCTTCTGTGGGATTATTTCAGTTTATTTGCGTATATATGCTTATTTATTTTCAATAAACTGTAATACTTTATACGTGAATAAACTTATATTATTATTATTATTATAGTCGCCACTCGAGCGTTGAGTGTTAGTTTGGTGCGGCTTTGGCGGTCGTTGGCATACATTGTTAAACTGCAGGCTATCGCCATTGCAAAAACGTGCAATGAATGTTGTCGTCCTGTTGTTTTGTAAAAGTTTTCTTATGAACAGAATATTCTTTTGATTCATGAAACAACATCGTAAAAACTGGTAACTATAGTCTATTAAAAAAATTAAGCATAGAAAGAAATTAATAATACTCCTGTAACTTGGTTTTGAACGTCTCCAATATATTTCTTTGATATACGCTCTCCCTTTCACAACTGTAAATTTTGCCGTTTTGGTTGTTTAACTTGCTTTGCTATTACTACTTTCATTACTCTCATCAGGGGGAGAACCTAACCATTTTCACCGATTTTGGCTACATAACAAATTGTTTCTGATGTGTAAGTATATTGTTGAAAAGTTGATAAACCACAGGACTTTTCTAATTGTAGATAGGCTCAAAAAAGCGACGAATTTTTTTATCGAATTTTGTATTCTATCGTCAGCAAATATTTGAATTTTGCAGTGTTCTAAAATGTCATAGATATCATTTATATAAATAATAAATAGTAACGGTCCTAATTTACTCTCCTGTGGCACCCAGATTTGCAAGACGTGGCTAAATCTGTAAGTGATGAATATAACTCAATATACCATTTAAACATACAAGGAGTCCTGAATAATATAGATGAAGTTCAACAGTTTCTAAGATGGAGAAAACCACTTGTATTATGTCTTACCGAAACACATGCTACAGAAGACATCACTGATGGTAAATTACAAATTACTAATTATAAAACCTACAGATGCAACTCCAACTCCAGACATACTGGAGGTGTAGTGATTTATGTTTACCACAAAATACAGATCACATTATTCGATTGTACCACTTTAGACTATGCATACTGGTATGCACATTTACAGTTCAAATTATTTGGGAAACGTTATGATCTTTGTACTTTTTACCGTTCACCAAACAGTGATGCAGATGCATTTTTAACGTTTTTTGAAGAAAAAATGCGAAGAAATGTGGAATTTTAGAAACAATATAATACTTTTAGGTGATTTTAATTTAAATTATTATGGTAAAAGCATGAAAACAAGAAAATTGAAAGAAACCATAAACAACTATGGGTTCAAGCAAAAAATTGAAGAGAGTACCAGAACAACATCATTATCAGACACTTTGTTAGATCTTGTTATTGTAAATTTCGAATGTGCAGGGATTAAAGCTGTACATACACCTAAAGTTAGCGATCACAGTTGGACAATGCTGCCCTTGGTAGGGCATTTTTCTGATACAGAAATTAAGAAAATCGTAAATACTATTAAGTACGAGAACGAGAACTTGCTAGCTGCTATTGGAATTTTGGTGAGAATATGGAAAAAATATATGGCAACATAATTGGAAATATAAAAACTTGTTTAGATCTTGCAACTGATAAAAAAGTGATTTGCTCGACAAAAAATACACCCTGGTATAACAAGAATATTAAAGCAGCTCAAAATTTGAGAGACAAACAATACAATAAATGTATATTCACAAAATCAAATGATGATTGGGAGGTATATAAAACTCTTAGGAATAAATGTGTATATGTAATTAGAGAAGAAAAAAGAAAATTCTACGATAAACAAATCGATAATAACAAGTGCGACAGTGTAAAGATGTGGAAGACTTTAAAAAGACTGATCAATTCGAAGCCGCATGATTGTGTAAATCAAGTTCAATTCGAAAACGGTACCGAAACAAACTCTTTGGTGATTGCAAACAAACTAAATGAATATTTTGTGGAAAGTATTGTTGATATTGTAGGTACTGCCAATGTTGCACCTGACTATATGAAAATCAGTTTCCAGGGGGAAATGTTGCATACACTTTAAAAATTTCACAGCGTATCATTGAATTATCTAAGAAAAAAAGTAAACAGTTTAAAATCAAATAACAACTGTGCCGAAATGACTACTAAAAAAGTGCTGAGAAACTGTTTCGAAATTTTGGGATATCCTGTATTAAATTGGATCAATTGTTCACTGAGAAGCAGTTCTTTCCCTGAAAATTTGAAATGCTCTACAATAACACCAGTTCCCAAAATAAAAAATTCTAAAAGATGCAGCGATATGAGACCAGTAAATGTGTTACCAGACATTGAAAAATTATTAGAGTCCATAGTGCATGACCAATTAATGCAGTTTATAGAAGAAAACAAAATTTTAGTGGAGGCACAAGCAGGCTTTCGAAAAAAATATTCCACAGAAACAGCTTTCCAGTTGGTAACTGAGAATTGGAGAAGAGCCATAGACTCAGAAGAAGTTGTCATAGCAGTATTTTTGGATTTGAAGAGGGCATTTGAAACGATTGATAGAGATATTTTGTTAGGTAAGTTGAAGGCATATGGTATAACAGGAAGTGTTTTAGATTGGTTTGGAAATTATTTGTCTAAAAGGATGCAAGTTACAAAAGTTAATGACACTATTTCATCAAAAATTGAAAATACGTTGGGTGTTCCACAGGGCAGTATCCTGGGACCACTTCTTTTTATTTTATACATAAATGATTTACCTGCCATAGTCAAAAAATGCAAAATTCAAATTTTCGCCGATGACACTATGATTTATATAAGTACTAAAAATATTCAGTCTGGTATCTCTTATATAAATGAAGACTTGAAGCTTGTCTCAAAATGGTTAGCATCTAACAGACTAAAATTAAATGCAAGTAAAACGAAAGCCTTGTTAATCGGAAAAAAACAATGTACAAATGTTCAACTGAATATTGGAATATTGGTGAAGATATTGAATTCGTAGAAAATTTTAAATACCTGGGAGTTTTTGTTGACTCTCGATTAATTTTTGATATTCATTATGAAAAAGTTATAAATAAGATTAGTAGTAAAGTGGGATATTTATCGAGAGTTTCTGGATGTCTGAGTTCATATAGCAGAAAAATTATCTATAATACCATCATTCTTCCAAATTTCTTGTACTGTTCGACTATTCTATATTCAGCAAATAATTCCTTTTATGAAAGACTGCAATTTTTACAAAATAAGTGCATGAGAATAATACTAAATAAAGATAAATATACTCCAATTAGGCAAATGCTTAGCAAATTAAAATGGCTAAATGTAAAAAATTTTATCAAATATCTTGTAATGATATTCATTTATAAAGTAAAAAATAATATATTTCTATCAAGTCTAACTAATTTAACATCATCAAATGTCGACCATCATTTACATAATACCAGAAATAAAGATGACTTCCATTTAATGACCAAAAAGTATAACATATGCTACAAATCTGTATTCCATCAAGGGTTGATTGAATATAATAAATTATACTCGGAGTTAAAAGACCAGAAAACTTTGACAAAATTTAAAGTAAAATTGAGAAATCACTTGTTAAATCTAAAATTATAGGTTGCCCAGCATTTACATCATACACCATATGGCTTGAATTTACTAGTTCTAAGTTGTTTACAATTGTTCTGTTTATGTAGCCAAATGTACTAAATAAATCTTTCTACTACTACTACTACTACCCCTACTGATATATGTTTAACGCTTGACATAATATGTCCAACTTTAGTTTTAGACTTCTATTTACTAAATGATTTTGCAATTTTATTAACAACTTTTACCTATCTATAGTTTCAAGAGCCCCTTTGAAGTCTAACAATACTGTTACAATACATTCTTTCTCAGCTATACTTCTTCTTCAGTCTTCCACCAATTCAATGATTTGTCCGTATATTATCTCTTCGCACGGCTTCTCGACATCTGGCAAGACTTTAATCGGCAGTATATTTATTTGTATATAGCTCAGAATGTTTTGGAACAGGAATAATTGTGAAACTCTTTAATTTTGATAGAAATTCACCACGCACTAAACAATGATTCGCCAATAACAATAATTTCTCTCCAGTTATATACAATAAGTTATAATCTTTTTTGAGAGATTTTCACTTGGATTTTCATTAGATTTCAATTCTGAGATAGTTTTTCTTTGATTGTTGATGTTAATTGTCCTAAGTTGATTCATTGATGAATTATTATAAATTTGTAAAGAACAGAAGTTGGGATCACCGTCTTCACTATTTAATTTATACTGTCTATAAAATAAGTGTTCATATTACTGCTATTATTATTTTTTCTGTCACTACCCATCTTCGATACGCATTTTAGGTAATTCAGCCTTGCTATTTGAAGAAACAATATTCTTTAATATTTTCCATATGATCTTAAAATTATTTGTATTCCTGTTGATCTTATTATCATAGTATTTTTTCTTTTCCCTCCTGAGAACTACTACACACTCATTTCTTAATTTTGTTCATTGATTCCAATCATTTTCACTTTGGGATATTAAAATTTTTCTCAAGTCATCGCGTTTTAATTTAGACTCCTTGAATATATGTGAAGACCAGGGTGTTGTGTTCACTCTTTCATATACTATTTTTTTTGGCCATAGCTTCTCTCATATATTTATCCATAATTTGTCCGAAATAGTTGTCGGCATTATTAACAATTTCAATCACCATTTAAGTATCACCCAACACTGAAGTGCCAATTATAGGTAAAAACGGGCTTGATTCATAACAGCCTAATTCCTTTTTTCAGTAGGAATTAGGAATGACTTTTAATATATCAAATTACAACCTACATACGTCTTTTTTTTGTAGATTACAGAAAAACGCTGATGATGAACTGCTGCCCCCGGACGAATTAACATTCGAAGTCCGTGTGGAAACTGATATAAATCTCGTGTACAAGATGCTTCAAAAACATCTTCAGGCTTATAAAGATGAGAAAAAGGGCCCTACGCTGTTAGCTGTCCAGTCTACGATGGATATGTCCGATCTCCAAAAGTCGATCCCACATTTCAACGAGTTTCCATTGGTGCAGATATTTGTGCAAGACATCGAAGAATTGTACAACGTTATGGATTGGCAGAAAATCGGCGCCAAGGCTTTGGTATGTAATCATTATTTTATGTGGTACAAATAATAATGATAATTTCATTGCTGAATAGAACAGTAAATTCTATAACAAATGAAAAGGTCATCAAAAATAGTGGTGACGAATTAAAAGTATAAAGTTTAAATCTAAACAAAAGACTTATTCCAAGGTGGAGAAACATTTATGTTTGTTTGTTTCAGATTTATTTAGCATTAATAAATATCCATAATATCCATATTACACAGTATATCACAAAATATATTATGTCTTCAAGACTACATATTTTTATACAAAATTTCACTACTATGAATTCTGGTTTTACATGAGATATTTTTTCAATTTCCCTTTGAACATTTTCAAACTGCTGACACACATCTTGATATCATTACTTAATTAATTAAATTCGTACAATCCCTTTTGAAATACTGACTTGCCCGTAATATTGCTACTGCAGTTTTGTCAATGAAAGTCTATACTTCCTCTAGTAGAATAATTGTGACACTCATTGTTCAATACAATAAAATTTTCTGAGTGATTTGGTAGAAGATGATTTTTTGACTTGAATATGAAAATTAAAACCAAGTAGGCTATGGCATTTTTGACATTCAACCATTGTAGTTCTGTCAGCATAAAATTTATTCTAGTAAATTTATTTTTATTTAAGATGATTCTCATAGCTTTATTTTGTCATATTTGTAATTTTGAAAATATATTTTCATTTTCAGTGAACAAAATAGTCGAACAATATAACAAATGAGGAAGAATGATAGTGTTGTACACAATTTTTTTAGAATAAATGTGAAATTTTATAGAAGTAATTTATTTTCTTGGATATTTTTGAAATAATATATTCATAGTGCCCTTCAAATTTTAATTTACTGTGTACGTATACGCCCAAATATTTAAGTGATTCGATTGACACAATTTTTTCATGATTAATGGACTTCGTGTGTCGTTTTTTTTCTCTCCATCTTCGTTTCCTCAGGTTACACCCGTATCCGGATGTGTGGGCATGTGTATCTACTTTGGTAGTTTCATATGTGCATTCATTTCGGGCCTGATGAAGCCAACCAGCAGACATACGTATCGCTCGGGTTACCAATCCTATTTTCTGCTCGAATCCACTTTCCTCCTTTTTGCGGATTTTGCCCATTATTTTCCTACTTTTTGTTATATACCTTTCTCCGCATGATCAGTTTCTCTTTAAATATATATATATATATATATATATATATATATATATATATATATATATATATATATATATATATATATATATTAATGTATCATCACCAAATAGTTTAATTTTGCAGTGTTGTAAAGTATCAAGAATATCGTTAATATATAAAATAAATAGTAATGGACCTAATTTGCCACCCTGTGGCACACCTACCGAATAGTTTTTAATGTTTGATAATGTATCGCCAATTTTAGTTCTTTGACTTCTATTGATTAAATAATTTTGTAATAAGTTAGATACTGAACCTTGAAATAATAATAATAATAATAATAAATGTCTTTATTAATCAGCATACATCAGTGAGGCGAAGTTTAGCCAAATGGCTACTCTTACACTTAACCTCACTGTGTACGAAAGAGTAACACAGTTAAACTCGATACACAAACAAACAATAGTAATAATAAGAAAAATAAACAAATGCACACTTGAACTATTAATATAATAATAATAATAATAATAAAGTGTCATAAAAATAAAACAAACCAACAACTCAAACACTGAGAGACGATTGCATCTCCAATAGCTGTTTTCCAACTGATTTCTTAAAAGAGAGTAAACTTTCTTGTTTGTTAGCCGCACTGACTGAATTGTAAAGCACAACAGCATTATACGTGAAAGATCTCTGATATAATGAGGTGTAGTGAAGAGGAATATTGAACTGTTCATCATGATGTAACCTTCTTGAAATTAAATTCCTACGCGGAACTAACTTATTTGCAAGGTAAATAGGTCTCTTGGTAACGACTGTTTTATGTACAAAAACCAACATATGAAACTTGAAAAGATTATTGAGCTTCAGCCACCCCAGCTCACAGATCTTGGATGTAACATGGCTATACCTACGAAGGCCGAAAACAAAACGACAACAACAATTTTGAATTTTCTGCAATCTGGTTTTTGTTATGGAGTCAAGACAAGGATAAAACAGTATAAAACAGTAAAGCAGCTTAGACATAACTAAACTTTCCACCAATTTCTTTCTAGTCTTGAAATTGAGAATAGAACGATTGGAGTATAGGAGTCTTAGGCTTGCATATGTAGCTTTAGATATATTACTGACGTGGTGATGAAATCTAAAATTTACGTCTAAAGTAACACCTAGACTTTTTGCATGCGTGACGAGTGGAATATGGTCATTATTTACCCTCAAATCAATCATCCTTTCAAAATGCTCATAACTGGTTTTGGGACAGAACAACACCGCAAAACTCTTGGTAGGATTGAGCTTCAAACAGTTAGCCTTGCAATAGTCAGTTATATTTACCAGATCTAAATTTATTTTATACGAAGCTTGATCCACATTAGTAGAGTCAAAAGTGAAGGTAGCCATAGCAATGTAATTTCGTTAACAATTTCTCCCTGTCAATAGTCTCAAATGATCTCTTGAAATCTAAGAACAATGTTACTGTAAACTTTTTTTCATCTATATTTCGCCTCCATTGTTCTACTACCATTTGAATTGCTGTTTTAGTAGAATACTTTATTCTGAATCCTGCTTGAAATTTTATCAATATCTTATTTTCTTCAATATATACAATGACTTGTTCATATATGATTCCTTTTAAGAGCTTCTCGACATGTAGCAACGAATGTTTTAGTTTTCTTTTGAAAACGGCTATATTTGATTAATTCCTAATGTCATCATTGAGCTTATCAAAAATCTTACATCCCATATACCTACAGGTTTTTTGGTATGCTGTAGTTTGATGTCCAGGCGAAATTAAAAGTATCTTAGACCTAGTTGGATATTCATTTTGGTGTTTGATGACTTCAAATTCGCGCTTATTTTAATAATTTCTTCAAATATTTTTTCAAACTCTGGCGGAACATTTATTGGCCGCATATTGACCTACAACTCAGAATTCTTAACTTTCGAAGCAGGAGTTGTGACAAATGTTGTAAGGGGAGTATGAACTTGGTTATGTTCGGGTTACAACTATTGATTTCTAGTGGCATTTATCGCGACTTTTGGACGTTGCTATCAAATACGTAAAAAGATATCACAAATAAAGGAGTTATTGGATGATTCCAATCATTTCAGGTTCGACACTATCTGAATAGTGAAAGGGTGTTAGAACTGATGTCAGAACAATGCCGTTACTTTCATGTACCGCTCGGAAATATGCCTGAAGATCCAGCACTATTTGGCGCGGACATTTTTTATGCCAGGCATCTTACAAAGCACAATCACGTGCTCTGGTGTTCTCCTACAGACAAACCGGATCTTGGAGGAAGCCAGGAAACTGATTCTAGGTTGGTGGATATATTCACGGAAATATTCGATAATTGTTGTAGGGGGTGGATCGAGATCGCGACATTTGACAGATTGTCATGTCACAAAGGACATACATGAATGATTTAATTATGAAATCCACGGTAAATCGTATTTTATACTGGAGAGTACGAGGATGTCTTTTAAGTTTTGCATATAGAAACATAGTAGGCCGCGCGGATCGAACGTCAAAACGCTTGACCGTTTCAAATTCGGAAACTCAAAAAATGTGTACAGCATTGTTAGTGGTGATGAATCGTGGATTTACTGTTATGAACCAGAAAATAAACGACAGTCGGCTGTTTGGGTGTTCCAAAGCCAACAAAAGTCATCCGTTCTCGAAGTGTTTCGAATAAGATGGTCGCGATATTTGTGTCAAAAGCGGGTCATATTGCAATAATTCCTCTTAATGAGCAAAGAACTGTTACTGCGGATTGGTACACTACCATTTGTTTGCCAAAAGTCATCACCGAGCTTCGAAAAATCAACCCCGAAAGAAGAATCATCCTCCACCAAGACAATGCAAGCTCGCACACAGCCCAAAAAACAAGGCAGTATTCAACGGAAGAAAACGTGGAATTATTGGACCATCCTCCATATAGTCCCGATCTAAGTCCTAACGATTTCTTCACTTTCCCGAAAATGAAAAACAGACTGCGTGGTCAAAGGTTCCAGTCACCAGAAGAAGCAGTTGATGCATTAAAAATGCCGTTTTGGATCTACCAGCAAACGAGTGGAATAAGTGCTTCGAAAATTGGTTCGAGCGCATGCAGATGTGTATTAATCTTCGTGGAGAATACTTCGAAAAACAATAAAGTCATTTAAAACTACCGTGTTGTTTAGTTTCCATATGCAAAACTTAAAAGACATCCCTCGTATAACTATAGCCCCACCAAAGTTTTTTGTTTTTTTCTTTATTTATTGCTAAATCAATTAAATTAGTCTTGTTGTATATCTGCAATTTTTTCGATTTCTGTAGATTTTGGCATTTTTTGCAATTCACTCGAAATTTAGAGGGTCTACGAGCTAAATAAACTTCAGACTTGTGTTCAGCGCATTAAAATAGAACAGATAATCCGAAGTGGGTCTAGTCAAGTATTACAATATAGCAAATCCTAACCAGTTGAGTAAAAGTCTAATTTGTGATCAATGATCAGTCCTAAAAACCTAATGATCTCTGTCTTATGTATAAATTCATTATTTAATTTTTTTGAATCAAGCCATAAATTTTGTCTTATTTTGTTGAAAGTTGAGTAGATGTTATACCATTTTTTGTTGCGTTTTCCATTCAGGTTATTAGCAGAAAACCAAGAAGGTTCAACAGAGGTTTGCAATCAAGCAGGATGGTATGCATCTGTGTGCATTGAACTTGATATTGACAGCTTAGCTATAAACACATTGCTTCAGTCTCATCATGTCAGTGATATTGAAGGTGAGTCTGAGCGTTTCTTTCAGAAGCCATAGATACGACGATATATATATATATATATATATATTATTCATAGTTAATTGCCTTAACTTTTAGAAGAAGATATTTATTTGGGTAGAAGGTAAGGTATTGCAAAAGTACACTCTTATAACTTAAACTCTCAAGCTTTCGAAGATCTATGTCTCATCGTCTGGAGTAAGACATTCGATTCATGACTAAAATTGTAGTAAATTGACGATTCAGAAACACGTATAACCAAATCAATCGGTTGGTAAATATTAAAGTCATTCGATGTTTCAATTCCGACATAAAAGATGGCGCACCCGGTATATATATATACAGGGTGTCCGCAAAGTTGGGGTTTTCCTTTTCAGAAACAACTACCCTTGAAATAACAAAGGTAATGTGTAGTGAAACGAGGGCAACCAAGTAAAAAAAAATAAAGGAAGAAGTACTCACTCTCCAGTTGACGAGAAGGGCTAAGTACGTCTCTGCCCGAAATCATACCGCTCCAACAGAAAATGAAATCAGCTGATGCGCTACCGAGCAGACACAGGCAAACAAGGAAGGCAAAATGTTGCGTAAAAAGTCTAGGTATTGCATCCCGTCCAATCGATTTGGGAGAATAAATGGTCCAATGAGCATACCGTTCACCATGCCAGCCCAAACCTTCACCGAAAATGTTTGTTGAAAATTTGCCCGACGGACAGCGTTCGGATTTTCTACTGACCAAACATGAGTTTTGCGAAAGTTATTCACCCTATTACGCGTGAACGTAGATTCGTCTGTCACCAATATGCACTTCAAAAAGTCCGGATGATTGTCATGTTGATGCAACAACCACTCACAAAACCGCACTCTTGCTGGAAAATCGTCAGGTTGAAGGGCTTGTACACGTTGGACGTGAAACGGATACAGCCCTCTTCACGCAGCGTTTGCCACACTTTAGTTTTTGATACTTGCACTTCTCTAGCCACGTCTCTAGTGCTTGTTGAGGGATTCTCGTCTACGCGATTACCTCTACACGCGTGACCGTAACCGTCGGTTGAAGGTTGCATACTGACCTGACACACTGACCCCGACCCAGTTCTGTCGTCGGGTTGAGACCTTGTATCAGTCGGGGATATCGCGGCGGGTCGCGGCTACAGGACGGTATTCAGATATTTTTGATGTTGCAGAGCCCTTTATCTCGGTTCTCGGTTCCCTTAAGACATTGGTGTATATGGTACTAAGAAAAATTGCTTATGTTTTCAAGATCTACACGTCGTGTAAAGGAAAACCCCAACTTTGCGGACACCCTGTATATATATATATATATATATACAGGGTGACTTCGAAGTTGAGTCATTTATTTTAACAGTGAGTAGATCTGATCAAAAGAAATGTTTTTTCCTTTAACATTTTTGTGGTAAAATTAAAGTAACAAAGTTATAGCCCTTTAGAAGTTTGAGTACCGCCCTGTCTCAATAATAATACATATTATGCGGTCGTGTTTGGCGACAACGGATATACTCCGCCTTATCGGTTCATCGCATCGGAAACAAAAAAGCGAAAGAATTTGAAACGCTGATCACGATGTTTTTATTCAGTCTGTGTCAGTCGGTGACACTATTCAGGTGATTGCTGCGTGGCTCAAACGAAATGAAAAATGGCACATATTTTTGCGGATCGGTTTCCCAATCGAGTGCAACCAACCCCTCGTGCCTTTGTTAATGTAGTACAACGGGCTCGTGAATCAGGTGACTTAAAACCTCACAGAGGACTGCATGCCGGTGCTCCAAGACCTCACGATCAAATACAGGTCCGCACTGAAATACTTGTCGGGAGGATACTTTATAAAACAAGGTAAAAAAATTTTTTTAATTTTTTTGTTATTTTTACACACATATTTTGGTTTATCTTCCTTCTACAATCACTATCTGAAAATTAATGACTCAACTTCAAAGTATATATATATCCTTAAAATTTCGGAAACTCGACAAAAAATGCAAAGTGTACTTTTTTAACTTAAAACTTTAAAATGTATGAGGTTCATTTAGAAAAATTAATGAAAAACCATAGCTATATTTTTCAAAAAACCACCAACGGACTTAAAAAAGAATTAAATATTAATTGGTATTTAAAAAATGTTACGCTACATCGTGGTGGAACCGTCACATGTTCAACACGTGGTTAGTAGGTCGACAGTGCATTCAGTATTTCTTCTTTAGTTGGTAATTCTTCAGTCTCTTCATCTGAAACTTGATTAAAGTACTCTTTCCAGTTGTTCAATGTATCTTCTATTTCTCCAAGAAGTTAACATTTTTGTCCTTACAATATAATGTTCTTACTTTTGGTTGAGTTTCTTTTTTAAATTTTTTGGTAAAAGTTTTTGATCTCTTAAAATTCTCTATTTTTTCTATTTTATTTTTACTTTCATGCTATTCCTTTCCGCATACAGCATTTCAAGGTATAGCAGTGTAGTTTGCTCGGTTTTTTTGATAAACAAGATAGTTCTCCAAATAAGAAACTTCTGGGTAGCGTCATTTTCTAAATTTTTTTCAGTACTGTACTTCACTTTACTTAGACTATAATTTTAAGTGCGTTTCAAAAAATAGGAATCTTCCTCATTGCTCTTATTGAGATCAATTTTCTCCGGTGCATTTGTAAGTTTTCTAATCGTTGTCATAGTGGAATTTACATACATTTACTTTTTTGTGCTTAGGTACCAGTAACGTGGTGGCGTTTGATGCCGTCGCCACGACGACAATCAACGACATGGTCAGTGGAAATCAGCCTCTAACGTCATACGACGAATCGGCAAGATGTGCAGAGGCCTTCAAGATACTAAGAATCATGGCTACAGGATGGATGAGAGACATTTCAGTTTACAGAAACGTTTTCGCCGATTTTCAAGTTATACATTTCTACAGGTTAGTAAAATCACAGATCCAGATAACTGAATCGGTAGGACTAGCGGAGACTTTTTTTTCAAATTAACGTACACATACATCGACTGATGTGACTACAAATCGAATATTTATAATGGGTGGGGGAATGATTTCATTTTAAGGGGCATAATGTTTAAACAGATTTTTTTATATACATACAGCAGACGCTCGATAATGTAAACTAATTTAATCCAAGTGTGGTTGACATTATCGAAATGTTTACATTAGCGAATGTGATTTATATAATATTTGATTTATTAAAAGAAACGTTTATTACATACTATTTATAACAAAATAAACAAATATTCTAACAGCGATAAGTATTTTTTTAATTAGAAGAAAAATGATTAACAATTTTTGTCTGCGTAAATTTGCACTTAGCATTGTCTTCAAATGCCCGTGCCCGTAATTTACGAAGAACTAAAATATCCGTGTATGAAACTTCTTTTCTTTCAGCCCAATCTAAAGCTTGGTTAAAAACTTGTATAGCTTGCGCGTCAGTCACTACACTTCTGACTTCATTGGGATCGTTCTCATCATCCTCACTGTCCATATCCTCCTCCTTATCAGCATCATTCGTCTGCTTATCTTCGTACCATAAATTAATATCAGCAGGAGTACAAACAATGTTGGGATTCACTGTTTTCAATAAATCAACAACATCCAATGACACACTAATAACATTATCATTATTGGATCGCAAACGTTCTCTAATTACGCTTAAGGGGACATCGTCTTCTTCATCATCTTCATTATTGGTACAAAAGAGATTGTTCCAACATTTTTTAATAGTTTGCTGGTTAAGTTCATTCAAGGCCATATGTAAATCTAAAACAGCTTCTCGTAATGTTACTTTTTTTAAAGCCTCAGATAAGTTTTCAGGATTCTTTGATAAGACAGACGAGAGTAGAAACTTCCTATAGTATAGTTTGGTGAGTCTTATTATATTCTGGTCCATCGGTTGAATTAACGGTGTTACGTTGGGCGGCATGTACATGACGAAAATTGACCCATCCCTGCTCCTCAGTTGTTGCTCGGGAGGATGACTTGGTGCATTATCCAATAGTAACAACGCTTTTATTGGAAGCATCTGTTGTTTTAGGAAACCTTTTACCTACAAATTGAAAACACATCTTCAAATTATGAATAGAGCATTTGTGATAATTGATTGTCATACCTGAGGGACAAAGCACCTGTGGAACCATTTCAGGAATATACTGCTAGTCATCCAAGCGGTTTTTGAACAGTCATAATCAACAGGGATATTAACATTTTCAAATGAGCGCGGATTTTTTGCTTTCCCAATTACCAGTGGCTTTATTTTGTGTGAACCATTAGCATTAGTGCAGGCTAGAAACGTTATTCGTTGTTTCTCGGGCTTTCTTCCCGGGGCAGATTTTTCAAATGATGCAGCATAGGTTTTCTCTGGTAACATTTTCCAATAAAGGCCACTTTTATCTGCGTTGTAAATTTGTTCCATTCTTAAATCTAGCTCGGTAATTGTTTCAATTTTTCTTTGAATGGTTGCACTAATTGTGATTGTGCTAATAATTTTTCACCAGATATAGACAGCAGTCGAATTCCATATCTTGTTTTGAATCGTTGTAGCCAGCCATCACTAGCTACGAAATTTTCAGTTTCTTTCAGTTTTTCATTTAACAGTCTCGCTCTCTGTTTAAGTAGTTCGCCACTAACTGGGACATGATTTTCCCGTTGTTTTAAAAACCACTTATACAGGGAATTTTCCATTTTAGGTGCCTTCGCATTTTTTAAAGTTTTTCTTTTTCCCGGACCTCCAAATGTATTGCACGTTCTTTGTAAAATTTGAGTTTTCATACGCTTAATTTTACAGATTGTTGCTTTCGATACTCCATATTTTTTTGCTAACTGTGTCACTCCCGCACCTAGTGCAACTTCGTCTATGATTTTCACTTTCTCACTCAACTTTAAACACTTTCTTTTATAGGATGTGGATGGCATAGTCGTAAAATATATTAACGCGTGCAATGTATTCACTTAAGTTCAAAAATGAAATACATACGTACGTATAAGCGTATCCTAAACGATCATACGACTGACCGAGTTTGTCGTATTTTATCGCAGAGGTGAATCCCCTACACTCTACATCATAAATCGGGGAGTCCCCGACGCCCGACATAAATCATCGAGGCTTCAGGATTTTACAGTCGCGCTGTTTCCGTGCGCCGAGAGTTGTTTACGTTATCGAGCGTACATATTGTTTACGTTATCGCGCGTTCCGTTTGATCCTATAGAACGAAGTTTGTGTTTACATTAGCGCAAGTTTTCATTATCCCGTGTTTACGTTATCGAGCGTCTGCTGTATTTATTTTTAGCAATGAAAACTTGACTATACAATCCATACTTATTACCAAATATTTTAGTAATATTCAATTTATGAGAATATGAACAGCTTTGATTGTATATATTTTTCTATTATTAATTTCGGACCCAAGGACGAGATGAGGGAATGACTTTGACACTAAAAAATTAATCGTATTTTTTTGTCAATATATTATCTACATTTTGGCTTCTAAAATATTAGTTTCGATACTTATTGATATAATCAAAATGTTAAATTGATGATAAATCCATGCAACTTAGCATCAATGGCTCAGGACATGAATTTCGAAATACCCATTTATTTATTATTTTGTTTTTGTTCTGGTATGGTTTAATTTTTCGCTTTTTGTCTTTTCCTACATCAATCACGACTCGTTCTATATCCCTTTGAGATCGACAGAATGAATAAAGACTTTGAATATACACTGTGACAAAAGGCAACGACGAGTTTCATCTTGCTTCGTTTGATTTTCAGGTGGCTTAGATCGGCAAAGGCGCTGTTATACGACCCGGCACTGTTGAGAACTTTACAGAACCTTATGAAAAAATTATTCTTGCAACTAGTGGCCGAGTTTAAAAGACTGGGATGCATGATAATATACGCCAACTTCGACAAAATTGTAATATGTTCCAAGAGAAGAAAGGCCAAAGATGCCTTGGACAATATGGAATTCATTGTATCGTCTATTAGGAACAAGGAATTGTTCCATTCGCTAGAAATAACCTACAGGTAATATTCAATTCAATTCAATTCAATGGACTTTATTGTAACACATACATAATTATGTATCCTTACAAATGGCGAAGTCTGGCCAATGGCCATTTATACTTAACCATAAATGTCAATGCTTATTACTACCTTCAAAATAAAATAAAAAAAAAACTGAAAAAGAAGAATAATAGTAAAAGAAGAATTAGTAAATATGACATAATGCGTACGATTAGAACAAAAAACATAATACGTACGATTCAAAGAGAGGACAATAACCTAAGAGCTCAATAAGTAGTTTTTATATTTTTTTTTAAAAAAGTTGCTGATGAAATATTGTTCGAAAGAGTTGATCAATTTCACCACATTATACGTAAAAGACCGTTGAAAAATGGCTGTCCTATGTTGTGGCATTGACAGGAGATTAATGTTGCGCGTATTCAAATTGTGAATTAAATTCCTACGAACAAGCTTTTGCATAAGATAAACGGGAACAGAAGTTTTTAATATTTTTACGACAAATGTAACAAAGTTGTATTTGAAAAGATCAGAAATTTTCAACCAATTCATTGAAGCTATTGAGTGAGAAACATGATCGTACCTTCTTAAATTGTTTATGTAACGACTACATGAGTTTTGAATTTTTTGAGTCTGTATTTTGTGATTTCATCCAGACAGGGATAATAAACTATGTTGCAGTAAGCGATTTTACTGAGTATGAGTGACTCGCATAACATTTTCTTAATTTTTCTATTTAAAACAGTTTTACTTGCATATAGAAGCCTGAGTCTAAAATAACTAGACTTACACACATAGCCAACATGCTCCTGAAATCTGAAATCTTCATCCAAGTACAAACCTAAATTTTTTGCAGAATGGGAAAATATTAGGATACTATTATTTAGTGATAAATTTAACTTTGATTTGAGGAAAGTACGTTTTTTCTTGGAGCAAAAAAGTATAGCTGTCGATTTCGATGCGTTTAGACGTAAATTATGTTTTTCAGCATATGTGCATAAGTATTGCAGATCTTGATTGATAAGGTTGTTAGCTAAATGGTAGTTGTTCGGACAGAAATTATGAAAAACCTGCATATCATCAGCATATGATTGACTAGAACAATGTTGAAGGGTGTTAGAAATGCAAAAGGTGTATATAAGGAATAAAAGTGGACCTAATATGGATCCCTGAGGCACGCCGGAACAAATCGGCCCTTTGTCTGAAAGTTTATTTTGTATGACGACATATTGATGTCGTTCATTTAAATAGCAATATATATGAGAATCATAATCTGTGTTTGTACTTACTAGACAATTTGAAAATTGTAGCTTTGTTGGAAAAAATAATTTGGCGAATATTAAAGTGGCCTTTTATTGGAAATATGTTTCTAGGCGATGTTGGGAGCATCTGGTGTGGCTGGACCCAGCAAATTTTGGTGGCGTGCAAGGAAAACTTCCCGAGGATATGCAGAACGAAATCACACAAAACGGTGAGAAGGATGGCGAAGAGAAAGATGATGACGATGAGGAATCCGACGATCCCGTTGTCGTGATGAACTGGAACATCGCCGAAATCTTGCCGGAAACTGCAAATTGCAGGTAAGGTTGTGTTATACCGTTTTAATATTTCATATACCTGCAGATCCTCTAACAAAATTAATCAATTTCTCCGATGCAAAAAAAGGTGATCAATCCAATATAAAGCATAAAAGCTTATGCTAGGCTGAGTCAATTTCTTAGTGAATATAACATTATATTAGATTGTTCGGAAAGTTCTTGTGGTTTCACACTAAAATTTATTTATAATACGTTGACTTTACATATCATTTTAAAGCGCGTTTTGTTTTACGATAATTTGTTTTACTTTCAAGACTTCAAATATAGGATGGACAAGAGGCAAATGCTTCAATAACCATGACGATGCCAAACATGACTTCAATGAGTTCATCGTCTCCAGAACTCCGGATTTACTACGTAGCGGCATAAATAAACTTGTTTCTGGTTGACAAAAGTGCACTGATTCTAATGGTTTTTATGTTGATTAATACAGTTTTGTTAAAGCTGAGATATGCTCCTTTGGATTTGAAGGTTAAAAACCGCTAGTACTTTCCAAACAACCTAATAGAAAAACCTTCTCTAAAGAAATAATATGCATACATATCTTGAATCCCTTCTATAAACCAGTCATAACACAACTTGTCAATTTTGGTACCATCACCTGTCAAAAAGCTTCTTTTTTCATTCAAATTGCTGTTCGATATCGATTTCTTTAGAAGGATTTCTTTATGTTCATTTACATCATACATACATACGTTAATTGAATCGGGGAGTTGAAAAAAAGTACGTCCAAAATTTGACGTTTTTAGTTGGTATAGCCAATCGCCTTTAAATTGTCTTTTCTATCGACTGAACGTACAAACAGTTCGTTGTACATCCCGTTCTATTCTAGACGCGAACATGCTACTTGTCACTGTCCTGTTATTCAACTCACTGACGTAACCACACAATAGTCCGATTACTGCTTGCACTACAGGCAACTATCCTTTCAAAAAAAATTATCTCTATTTTCCTGTGCATGGGCATTCGTTTTTACCTTGCTATCGTGAATGTCACCAGTCACTGTCAGCAGATTCGACCATTTGACATCATTGCCTTCAAAAATTGGTGGTCTTTACACTACAAGAAAACTACTTGTACTTCGATAGGCGAAAACAACGCTAGAAAAGAAACGTTTAGCATTTAGAACTATAGCCAGTTTCTAAATGATAGTGACGCCCCTGGTTACGTCACGACATGGGGGTATATAAATGGTTCATCGTCATTCAGTTTTAAACTTCTGAAACAGAATAAAGCACTTAAAATGCTTATAAAACACCTATTCCAATAAATAAGGAAAATATTGATGACATCAGAGATGTGATGCAACATACAGGGTGGGTCAAAAAACAAGTCAAAAAGTTGGTCCAAAAGTCAATAGATTTTTTCTAAATGGCTTTATAGTTTACAACTTTAAGTGCTTCATATCTATCACAATCTTACTAATTTTTATAATCTAATCTAACACGTTTTTAAATTGGGTAATTAACAAATAAATGGCATTAAGTTTTTCTAAGTTAAGCCAAAATTTGTAGTCAGTAAGTTTCATTAAATATTATTTAAAACACACATGACAACAGCGCGTCATCACTTTTATCGAACCGGTAATCGATCGCAAACGGTAACAGTGGTTAGTATGTTGTTTTGTTTTTGTTCGCGTACGTCGTCGTGTTTATTTACAATGTTGTCGATTCAAGAGTTCGCCGACATGTTGTTAGTTTACGGTGAAGATCGTCAGAATTCAAATCTTGCAGTTCAAATTTATCACGATAGATTTCGCCAACGGGTACACCCAGACTGAAGGACATTTGCGCAAGTGTACCAAAGATTTCGAGATACAGGAAGTGTTCAGCCCACTAATATTCGCACTCGTGAAAGACAGGTCACTGTAGAGCAGAAGGAACAAATTTTAAATATCGCGGAAATCAATGCAGATATCAGCACTAGGGAATTAGGCCGCCGCGTAGGACTACCGCATACCATAGTCTATAGAATCCTACGGGAAAATTTGCTTTATCCCTACTATGTACAACGAGTACAGGCCTTGTTATCAGAATACTATCCTTGCAGACATTCTGTCAGTGGTTTTTGCACAAAAACATTGAACATCCGGATTTTTTTAAAAACATTCTAGCGACGGACGAAAGTACTTTTACAGGAGACGGGATATTAAATTTCCATAACACTCACACGTGGGCCCAAGAAAATCCTCATACCATTCGTGAAGGTCATTTCCAACAACGTTTTAAAATAAATATTTGGGCGGGTATTCTTCACGATCAGGTAATTGGCCCTTTCGAGTTACCCCCAAAGTTGTCAGGAGAAGGATACCTTAGCTTCCTAGCCAATAACCTACCAGAACTTTTGGAACAGACATTAGACAACATGCCATTACAACGGAGACAGAATTTATGGTTTCTTCATGACGGGGCACCACCACACATTTTTAGAGGTGTCATTCAGTATTTGAATGAACATTATGCAAATCGCTGGATCGGTCGAAATGCTCCTGATCCTCGAAAATGGCCAGCAAGATCTCCTGACCTCAATCCGGTGGATTTCTGGTATTGGGAAGAACTTGAAGGGATGGTAACATGTTAACAACTGAAGCGCAACTTCGCAAAAAAAAATGTACTGCGGTTGAAATAATAAATGGACAACTTCGAGGACCTAGAGTAAGACGAAACTGGGTTCGTCGTAATGAAGCTTGTGTGGATAGTGGAGTACGACATTTTGAACAACTTCTTTAAATACAAAAAAAGTGCAGTGTGGGTTTTAAAAAGAAAAACAATGTATCTATCAAAATTGTGTTCCCTATTTATGAGTGGATTTTTTTAATACGTTCAATAAACTTTCACACAACACGTGAGACAGTTAGTGGTAAATCCGTATTTTTTTAATTGTTTGCATTTTACGAGTACATTATCAAATAATGAAATAATACCTAAGAGCCAAAAATAACAAACTCCACCTTTATTTACACTGCGTTCCGTCGTAATTTGCGTCTGGCATTGCGGCGTTGTCAGATTTTATTTTACTTTAAAGTCGCTTTTCTCTAAAAAAATGCCGTTTTGACCCCCATGTTTTATGAAACTGTTTGCTTCTTCTAACCCCCTCTATCACCCATTTAAATAATGACTATCATAACGTTTACACCCTGTATAACAGGTGAAACCTTTCAATTTTATTATCATGTTACTTCATGGTGTACTACCGAGGTCGAAAAGGATCCCTAAATAGTTTTGTTATACTTAGTAACTGAATGGAAATTTAATCGAAAGCATGTACCGAAAGAATAAGAACGGTAAATCCCCGACCAACTCGGGGAAGTCCTTAATTCTCGCCGGGCAGAAATGCACCACATAGGCTGCATTTGTACCAAAAGATCAGAGTCGGTTAATTCCCGGTTTACTCGAGAAACCCCCAGCGAAGACGGCGCACGGCATGATTGAGAAATGCAATGGCGATACTCTCAGATGAGAGAGTTAATACAATGCCAATTAACGGGTGATTTTTTAAGAGGTATAGGATTTGATTTTCAAAAAAAAAAACACAAAAAAATTGAAAAAACGATTAAATCTTTGAGTCGATAGAAAGGTCGATATAATTTAATGTTTAAAGATTATTTCATGTAAATGTTGGCCGCGGTTCTACTTTAGATGGCTTTTGGTACACTCTCTCCAACATATCGGCCGGTATCTCACGAATGAATGCTTCAATATTGGCTTCCAGTGCGTCAGTCGTTGCTGGTTTATCCCTGTAGACATTAGCCTTAACATGGTCCCACAAGAAATAGTCCAACGGCATTAAATCACACGATCTAGGCGGCCAATTGACGGGCCCCAAACGTGAGATAAACTGTTCACCGAACTCGCCTCTCAATAGGGCCATTGTTTCGTGTGCGGTGTGACATGTGGCACCGTCTTGTTGAAACCACATGTCAGCCAAGTCCAGCTCTTCCATTTTGGGCAAAAAAAAGTTTGTTATCATCGCACGGTAGCGCTCGCCATTCACAGTTACGTTCCGGCCATTGTCGTCTTTGAAGAAGTACGGTTCGATGATGCCACCGACCCATAATCCACACCAAACAGTGATTTTTTCGGGATGCATTGGTAGCTCTTGCAATGCTTCTGGCTGGTCTTCACTCCAGATACGGCAATTTTGCTTGTTAACGTACCCATTCAGCCAGAAATGAGCTTCGTTGCTGAACACAATGTTTCGATAAAATTTGGATCTTCCTCCAACTTTGCCAGCGCCCATTCACCAAATTGGAAACGTTGTGGGAGGTCGTGTGGCTTCAATTCTTGCACCAGCTATATCTTATAAGGTTTTACATCCAAATCCTGTCGCAAAATCTCCACGTAGTGGAGCAACATTTTCCACGTAGTGGAGTAAAAGAGGCCCAATTGCTGCGAACGGCGGCGAATCGACATTTCACGGTCATCACTAACACTGGCGGATACAGCCGCAATATTTTCTTCAGTCCTCACTCTACGTTTGCCTGTTGGTGGTTTAATGTCCAATAATGTAAACTGGGTTCGAAATTTAGTCACAAGCTTCCGAATAGCTCCCTCAGTAGGCCGAACAAATTGCCCATAAATTGGAAGCAATGCTCGATGCACTCTCTTAACCGAGCATGAATTTTGATAGTAAAATTCAATAATTTGCAAGCGTTGTTCGTTCGTAAGTCGATTCATGGTTAAATTATAGACCAAACTGAACAAGTTTGACAATGACACAAGACACGATTCACGCTTCATCTGTCAAAAACAGTGTTGCCAAAAAGATACTAGCAAAAAATCACCCATTATATCAGCCGGTCGGGACCCTGAGAAACCGTCCGTTTAAAGGAGGTGTCCGAGTATCAGAGGTGTCCACGACGGTGAGTTTCACTAATATTATGGACCTGTTTGACTGACTTTTTTCTCTAAGAATCTAGTTTGCGCTGAACCTTCACCTTTACGTACCGAGGAGGGTGTTGCGCGGAAAGTGCAGAGTCAACCTACTTTACGCCATTTTTTGCTTTCCTCTCCAGGAACAATTTCAATGCTGTGATAGCCGGGTATATCAACGCGATATACACCTATATTAAGAAAAATGAAGATCGGATAAATATGGTCGTACTGAGTCAGCCGTCTCTTGGCCTGGGTCAATATGACAACGTTACTGAGTATGCTAAAGACTTATTGGCTGACGAGATGAGTCAAACCCTGTTTAGGTACGTATTTACATACAGTCGTATCTTTTTAACCCAGTGCCATAGATCATACTGAAAGGTAAAAGGAAGAATTTTTGAAGTTTCTGTTCTAGAAACATGCCTATGTAACTCATAAGCATGTGTTAATACTGAAGCCATTGTTCATGTCATTTCAAGAAGGAAAGTTCATAGCAACATATCCGTAAAATAGCTTAATTTATTTTACATATTTAAATATTGTCTTATTTAAAAAAAACACATCATCAACGCCCTATAGAAGCAATCTCTATATTTAAATGTTAATGTGAATCCAATCTGTCCGCATCACGCCTGGAGCACAATGGAGAGACGTAAAAATTTGTACACTTACTATTTAGAACCCAAGGCAGCTTCTAGGCATGATTTTATCCTCGAAAAATATATATATATATATATATATATATATATATAGTGTATTCAAAGAGTATGCATAGATCAAAATATTTCGAAAAATACTTTGCTTAGAAAAAAGTGTTGTAAAACAAAGCTGTAAGGTTTCAAAAGATTCATCCATCGGTGATCTTCAACGTAATCTAAAAAGTTGGAAATTTTACGTTAATGTGTTTGTCCATCGGTATTTGAGCATGCCCAGAAAGGTTCACCGAATGGTAACAATAAACGTGAACTTGACTTATTTGAAGGTGAAGACATTTTTCTTGAATGTAAACCCCTATTTTTGACACCGGAAATAAATAGAGCAAGAAACTTTATGGTCAAGTGAATGTTCAACTCCTGAAGCTCAAAATGAGGGCAATTTTGATAAGTGTATCCCCGATAGCATTAAATATTCATTAAATATTTCAAAAAAATATTTGTTAAATATTTGTAGCGACAGATTTTTTAATAAACTAAGTGACATATAAATCCGAACACCCAGTTTAAATGGTTTTATTTTAATAAAATTTTGTATAAGTACTTAATGAAGCATAATAAGTAAATGATAAAAATTTCAAAATGATTGCACTGGTTTAAAGCCCTTTGACCTTTAATAATGTCTGGATGCACCCTGATGTGCTACGCATTCTCCAACGCGCCTAGGCATGCTTCTGATCAGGTGGTCAATGTCCTCCTGTGGTATCTCATTCCAGGCAACCACCAACTCCTCTCGAACTGCTTCTAGAGTCTGAGGACGTTGCAAATTGAGCAATCTCCTACCCATCATATCCCACACGTGCTCAATTGGGGATAAGTCGGGAGATCTTGGTGGCCATGGTAACAATGTGACATCATTATGTTGAAAGAAGTCTATTGTGACTCTTGCAACATGTGCTCGGGCATTATCTTGTTGGAAAGTTGGATCTGCCAGGGTGTCAAGATAGGGTAAAAGATGGGGTTCTAGAACTTCGTGGATATAACGCTGCGCGTTCATGTTTCCTCTGATGAAGATTAAAGGTGACCTGGAACCATAAGCTATAGCACCCCAAACCATAACTCCAACAGTGTGATGAACCTGTCTTGCAACAAAAAACTGTGGATTCCTCCTTTCACCACGTCGCCTTCTAACCCTGGCACGACCATCGTGCATGCCTAAACAAAATCGAGACTCGTCACTAAAGACAATACTGTTCCATTCCTGATCCCAGAGTGATCGTTGTCTGCACCACTCAAGGCGATTACGTCGGTGTTCTCGAGTTAAAGGGAGGACCCAGTGTGGCCGGTATGAAAACAAGCCAAAACATCTCATTCGCCGGTAAACACTTCGCATGCCAATAGGTCTTCCGTGTTCTGCAAACCATTCATTTGCAATGGACCTGGTAGTGGAGAAACGGTCCCTTAAGGCCAATAATCTTAGGCGGCGATCTTCACGGTCTGTTGTTCTACGGCGGCGTCCAGTGCCCCTTGCTCTTTGCGTACGGCCTTCTCGAAGCCATGCCTGACAACACCTAACCACAGTGTCTACACTTCTTTGCACTCTAACTGCAATTGCCCGAAAAGAAAGTCCAGCTTCCCGAAGTCCCACTATACGGCCCCTATCAAACTCACTAAGTTGACGAAATCGTACAGGTCTCCGTACTCTAGGCATCGTAACCGATCGTAAAGGATGTCAAGAACCAAAATCCGCCAACGTTGATTCTTTACTGCGGCTGAAATATTCATTTTTAGAGCCTTAGTGAATTAAAAAAAAGCAGTATAAAAACCGGAATGTCCAACTGATAAGGCTGAACATTTTTTCACTTGTTATTTACAGTAAGATAAATACATTCACCAACTTTTATTAAAATAAAACCATTTAAACTGGGTGTTCGGATTTATATGTCACTTAGTATATTTAATAAATATATTTCTTATATATTTATAGAATATTTATTATAGATATTTTTAGTATACATAATTCATATATTTTTGCGATATTTTTTACAAATATTTAGAAAATATATGAGGAAAGAATTTTAAATATCAATTTTATATTTTGACGAAATATCTAAAATTTGTCGTAATTATGTATGGATTTTCATCATCGAGCTGATACATATTTTCAGTGTATATAGAAAATTCTCCATTGGTTATTTTAACAAAACCTGTAGGAATGCTTATGTAAAATTGGGTGTATAAAGAAAATTCATTCTAGATATAATGTTTTAATTTGTTAGAAACATATTATTAAAAAAACATTCTAAGCCTCTTCTGAATCTTGCAAGTCCACTCCTCTGAAAAAAAAAACTTACTAATTATGAAATATTATTGAATACATAAGCTGCTTTCCAGCTTATTTATGGGAATATAAAATGCAGTGGAACAATATTGGTGCAGAGCATGGTGAGTTACTCCGAGTAGCTCAACTGGGCCACTGAAAAGCAGCTCTATAATGCACCTAAAAGGACCCCACAGTACTAGTTATTTATGGTCTTGTGAATACCTTTATACTCAACTGGAAAAATAATGTTTACCAGTCAGATAAATTAACCTATGTAATTATCGAAAAACTTACCCATTTCCACAAAAAAACACTCAAATAACGAACCACTTGGAGGTACACAGGAAGCACGCTATCATAGTGAAAGTCAAAGGTAAAATAGATGCCTCAGGCCACCTTGCTATTATCCCATTGGTCGCTCGAGGTCACACGCACATGCGCCGTAGTCGCAAATATTTAATGAATATTTTCTAAATATTGGAGATCTAATATTTTCCATTGATTGAAAAGTAAATATTTAATGAATATTGTAAAAGAAATATTGTATTTAAAATATCTAAGATATTAAATAAATATTTAATTAAAATATTATATTTCAAATATTTATTTAAGAAAACAAATATATAAGTAAGATAAAAATATTATTTAATATTTAATGAATATTTCGTGCTATCGGGGATATCCTTGCCAATGAACCTGACAATAACCTCTAAGGTCATTTTAAGACCAAATAAATTTTTAAGTAAACTCCTTACCTTTCATCGAGGATATAAATAAGTGAAAGATTGAAATTATTGTTCCATTAGAATGTTGAAAAAATGACCAATACTTTACATTAAGTACTTCCGCTCGTGCAGAGCTGCGGTTGTAGTCTAGTTTAACATAAACTCTTTTTCATGAAATTTCAATAATTTGTAATTTTTAGAATGACAGAAAAAATTGACAGCCGTCTACCACCACTTCCTGATGGAACCAGTGCTGCTTTGGATTTTGTTAAAGCTGTTTGTCATATACTAGGACTCGACCCTGCTATGCAAGATGCTGTTGATACTTTGAAAAGTAACTTACTACGATTAATCAGTAAGTATATTTATTATTACTAACATTGGATGATCCAGGATGTTGTTTTGTGTTTGATTAGGAAAATATTTTTTGTGAATTACGTATTGAAATGTTATTCATGACGAGGTCTGTAAATTATGTGATCAAACTGATTCCTTTTTTTAATTTTTTTATTAAAATATAATTATAATTTGTTACCCTCAAAATATACTAAGTGACATATAAATCCGAACACCGAGTTTAAATGGTTTTATATTAATAAAAGTTGGTGAATGTATTTATCTTACTGTAAATAACAAGTGAAAAAATTTTCAGCCTTATCAGTTGGACATTCCGGTTTTTATACTGCTTTTTTTTAATTCACTAACGCTCTAAAAATGAATATTTCACCCGCAGTAAAGAATCAACGTTGGCGGATTTTGGTTCTTGACATCCTTTACGATCGGTTACGATGCCTATTGTACGGAGACCCGTACGATTTCGTCAACTTAGTGAGTTTGATAGGGGCCGTATAGTGGGACTTCGGGAAGCTGGACTTTCTTTTCGGGCAATTGCAGTTAGTGCAAAGAAGTGTAGACACTGTGGTTAGGTGTTGTCAGGCATGGCTTCCAGAAGGCCGTACGCAAAGAGCAAGGGGCACTGGACGCCGCCGTAGAACAACAGACCGTGAAGATCGCCGCCTAAGATTATTGGCCTTAAGGGACCGTTTCTCCACTACCAGGTCCATTGCAAATGAATGGTTTGCAGAACACGGAAGACCTATTGGCATGCGAAGTGTTTACCGACGAATGAGAAGTTTTGGCTTGTTTTCATACCGGCCACACTGGGTCCTCCCTTTAACTCGAGAACACCGACGTAATCGCCTTGAGTGGTGCAGACAACGGTCACTCTGGGATCAGGAATGGAACAGTATTGTCTTTAGTGACGAGTCTCGATTTTGTTTAGGCATGCACGATGGTCGTGCCAGGGTTAGAAGGCGACGTGGTGAAAGGAGGAATCCACAGTTTTTTGTTGAAAGACATGTTCATCACACTGCTGGAGTTATGGTTTGGGGTGCTATAGCTTATGGTTCCAGGTCACCTTTAATCTTCATCAGAGGTAACATGAACGCGCAGCGTTATATCAACGAAGTTCTAGAACCCCATCTTTTACGCTATCTTGACACCCTGGCAGATCCAACTTTCCATCAAGATAATGCCCGACCACATGTTGCAAGAGTCACAATAGACTTCTTTCAGCATAATGATGTCACATTGTTACCATGGCCACCAAGATCTCCCGACTTATCCCCAATTGGGCACGTGTGGGATATGATGGGTAGGAGATTGCTCAATTTGCAACGTCCTCCTCAGACTCTAGAAGCACTTCGAGAGGAGTTGGTGGTTGCCTGGAATGAGATACCACAGGAACACATTGACCATCTGATCAGAAGCATGCCTAGGCGCGTTCGAGAATGCGTAGCACATCAGGGTGCACTCACACATTATTAAAGGTCAAAGGGCTTTAAAGCAGTGCAATCATTTTGAAATTTTTATCATTTACTTATTATGCTTCATTAAGTACCTATACAAAATTTTATTAAAATAAAACCATATAAACTGGGTGTTCGGATTTATATGTCACTTAGTAGAACTTGCTTCTGAAGCCACACAGCGCTGGAGATAGTTCTTCCACTCCTCATAGCAGTGCTGCTCTCCTTCTGAAAAGGCCTTAAAACACCGAAAAACCTGGGCTGTTTGATGTCACTCATTTTTAGAACACAATAGGAAAAACGTTCACAAAAAAAAATCGCAACGGACAAACCAAATGACTCGCGACTTCAAACTTGTAAGAAACAATATTTTTTTACATACCTGAAGAACTAAACAGTAAGCAAAGAGAATTTTGGTGGGCATACCTTTGTATTGTGGAGCGATTATCTTCTAAACCACTGATTTGACGTTAAAGATCAGTATACACAAAGTTGCAGATATCCGTATAGAAATTATTTTTCATCCTGTACATGTTTGCCCTGGTGCTATAGTCTAAAGATATTGTAGAAAATCCAGGTTTATATATTGTATAACATTTTTTTTTATAAAAAATAACTGCAACTTTGTTTTGTTTTTTGTAGGTCTACTGTAGCCCCGTCCGAAATTCTAAAGATCAGATATTAGCACATGATCAAACTGTATGCAGGACTGATAACTTTTTTGTTTGTTTTTGTCGGAGATGTATTTATCATTAATGCTACAATGTCAATTTTGTATAATTATTCGGTTTTGTTCATTTTTTTTAAACCATTCCTGTTTATTAAAATTACATCACTACGCATTTTGAGTATTCATAAAGTAATTTTTCAATATCACCTTCAACATTTTTTAATTCGAACACTGTTTAATACTATTATTCAATTTATCAAATTGAAATAATCCCTTTTGAAATACAGATTTACTAGCTATGCTACTATTACAATTTTGCAGATGAAAATCTATACTGCCTCTAGTTTCGTAGTTATGATAATGACTATTTTGTGAAGTTTTTTAAATGTGGTGGTAAAAAATGATTTTTTAATTTAAATATGAAAATGAGAACTAAACTTTTTTACATTCAACCACTGTAGTTCTTCTAACATAAACTTAATCCTAGCATATTTGTTTTAATTTAAAATGATCCTCATATCTTAATTTTGTAGAATTTGAAATCTTGAAAATCTGTTTTCATTTTCTGAAAACAAGATGGTTGAACAATATAAAAAAGTCGGAAGAATTATAGTGTTATACACAATTTTTTTGGAATACATACTAAGATTATGGGAAATTCTTTAGTAATTTATCTCTTTTGATATTTTTGAAATAATGTATTCATAATGCTCGTGAAACAGAAGTTTACTATCCACATATATATAGTCAGATATTTAAATGATTCGGCTACTTCAATTTTTTCATCATTAATTATGAGCCTAATTGTATTGTCAACTGCATGTTTCCCTATTGACATACCTTTTGTTTCAGTGGTATTTGAATTTAACATTTGACCAACTCATATTTTTTTAATATTACTATTCAACAGTTCTAAAGCAGTGTACAACTGTTTATGTGCTATGGTGCTATATATGTATATCATTGTATCATCAGCAAATATTGAACACTTGACATTATATTTCCAACTTTAGTTTTTTGACTTGTAACGGGTGATTTTTTAAGAGGTATTGGATTTGATTTTCAAAAAAAAACACAAAAAATTTGAAAAAATGATAAAATCTTTATTTGAGCCGATAGAACGGTCGATATAATTTAATTTTTAAAGATTATTTCATGTAAATGTTGGCCTCGGCTTCGCTTTAGATGGCAAATGCGCAAGGTCCAATTTTGGCACACTCTCTCCAACATATCGGCCGGTATCTCACGAATAAATGCTTCAATATTGGCTTCCAGTGCGTCAGTCGTTGCTGGTTTATCCCTGTAGACATTAGCCTTAACATGGTCCCACAAGAAATAGTCCAACGGCGTTAAATCACACGATCTAGGCGGCCAATTGACGCGCCCCAAGCGTGAGATAAACTGTTCACCGAACTCGCCTCTCAATAGGGCCATTGTTTCGTGTGCGGTGTGGCATGTGGCACCGTCTTGTTGAAACCACATGTCAGCCAAGTCCAGCTCTTCCATTTTGGGCAAAAAAAAAGTTTGTTATCATCGCACGGTAGCGCTCGCCATTCACAGTTACGTTCCGGCCATTGTCGTCTTTGAAGAAGTACGGCCCGATGATGCCACCGACCCATAATCCAAATCAAACAGTGATTTTTTCGGGATGCATTGGTAGCTCTTGCAATGCTTCTGGCTGGTCTTCACTCCAGATGCGGCAATTTTGCTTGTTAACGTACCAATTAAACCAGAAATAAGCTTCGTCGCTGAACACAATTTTTCAATAAAAATGTGGATTTTCCTCCAGCGCCCATTCACCAAATTGGAAACGTTGTGGGAGGTCGTGTGTGGCTTCAATTCTTGCACCAGCTGTATCTTATAAGGTTTTACACCCAAATCCTGTCGCAAACTTTTCCACGTAGTGGAGTAACAGAGGCCCAATTGCTGCGAACGGCGGCGAATCGACATTTCACGGTCATCACTAACACTGGCGGATACAGCCGCAATATTTTCTTCAGTCCTCACTCTACGTCTGCGTGTTGGTGGTTTAATGTCCAATAATGTAGCTGGGTTCGAAATTTAGTCACAAGCTTCCGAATAGCTGCCTCAGTACGCCGACCAAATTGCCCATAAATTGGAAGCAGTGCTCGATGCACTCTCTTAACCGAGCATGAATTTTGATAGTAAAATTCAATAATTTGCAAGCGTTGTTCGTTCGTAAGTCGATTCATGGTTAAATTATAGACCAAACTGAACAAGTTTGGCAATGTCACAAGACACGATTCACGCGTCATCTGTCAAAAACAGTGTAGCAAAAAGATACTAGTAAAAAAATCACCCATTATTTACTAAATAATTTTGTAAAATATTTAATACCGATCCTTTAAAACTATACTGATGCAATTTCATTAACAATTTTTCCCTATCTATAGTCTCAAATGCCCTTTTGAAGTCTAAAAATACTATATACTTCTTCTCCAATATTCCACCACCATTTGGATTGCTGTAGAATATTTTTTCTAAATCCAACTGGATTCTTTGTCAAAATTTCTTCAATGAACTCAATGATTTGTTCGTATATTACCCCTTCAAATAGCTTTTTCGATGGCGACAGGTAACAAGATTGACGTGGTTATAAGTATAGGTCCGTTTTTGCGGGAAAATTTATTTAGCTTAAACCAAATTTTAATTTCTCGATTATTGAAAAATATCTTTTGAAATTTCTTTGCAGATGTCGGCGAATTTTCCGAAAAAGCAGTGTGGTACGATCAAACGGTCTCCTACGTAGTTCCTCAGATAATATGCAAATCGTGCAATCACTGTAGGGATATCGACTTGGGAAGGGATCAGTATCGATCAGATTCAGCTTGGTTGTGTCCTCTATGCAATACGCCTTATGACAATGTTGAAATCGAATGCATCATGTTGGAGATCATAAACAGGAAATTTTTGGCTTACAATTTACAGGATCTTCAGTGCAAAAAGTGTAACCAGGTAATTGGAATTATTAAATTTGTCAAAGACGGAAGTTTATGATGAGTACTGAATATGTACAGTTCAAAAGTATTTGAACACCTGCATATTTCTATTTAAAATCATAACAAACAAAAAAAACTCTAGTACGTATTTTTTTTTTTATTTATTGAAAACCATTGAAATCAAGCATCCCTGAAAGGTCGTACAATACATACAATTTTCCAATCGAAAAGTTTAATTCGTTCAAGAAAATGCTCAAGTTTATAAATTTACTTACGCGGATCTTTGCCAAAAGCTTTTTCAGAATAAGGATATATCTATGGGATTTTCTTCGTAATCCATATGAGTCAGTTATTGTAAACAGAGAGCAAGTTAGTAATCACAGATCTTCCAGTTATGCTGTGCGTCTAGTATGATGTTATTTTGAAGTAAGAATTGTCTGAGCTCCCGCGTTAAATTTTTCATATATTTAGTGGTTAAATTGACAAGAGCTACTGAGTAACCCTAAAATAATTGTCGCATCTTTGTTACAGATAAAGCTGGAAAATTTAGCGAGGCATTGCCAGTGTTCTTCAGAGTTCAAGTGTATATTATCCAGAGATGATATAATAAAATTGCTGCAAACATTCCTCTCACTTGGCAAAAGGTTCCATATGCCTGCTTTAACTGAGACTGTTGAGGATATTTTGAAATTAACGTGATGTATCTAAGTTTTTTGCACGATTATTTTAGGAAATAAGTGCAAAATTGTTATTGTTTTGTATTAATTTATAACCGTTTTTCAAGCATTTTTATTAAATAAAGTTTCTTATCACATGTTGAAGTTATTAATTTGTCCTTCACAAAGGCTTACTTACTTACTTTTACTAATAAAATAACATTGGTTTTACAGCGAAATTGAAAGTCGAACCCATGGCAAGTCCCATAACGAAATGGAAGTAAAATAAGAAAAAACGCTTGAACTATAGATATTGAAGTACCTTTGCCTCAAGTTTTCAAACAAGCGCGCTACACCCTTTTTCTATATGCCTATTGAAACGTAACTCTTTTTTTAAGACTCGAGAAAGGGGCTTCAATATCGTTTAAAAGTGAAGAGGTATAAAATTGTATATGGTATTTCTAATCGGACAAAATTATTTCTGAATTTGTAGTTCGTTTTAACACATAAATAAAAGCTTATTTTTAAAAATATTGTCTTTGTTTTAGTAATCTTTTGCTCTTTACGTAAGATTTCTAGTGTTATAATTTCTGCCTAACTTACATATATTTTATCAAGAGGACTTCTATTTGTCGAGAAAAAAGAACGATACCCAATTCCACAGGTTTGCATCGATTTATTACAAAGTTTTCATGGCCACTTCCTTGATTCATTCTTAGATCAGTTACATATTGCAATAATGTCGTACTGTCATTAGGGGTCCACCATTTTGGATTTAAAATAGTGTCGACTTACTGTGCTTTACTCATCAAACCTTTGCATACAATACCCATCCCATAAATAAGTCGCTAATTTGCAGGGACCGCCATATCGGATTTAGAATAACATCACTTGTCTCATTGTGTTCTCATCAGGCCCTTTCATGTGATACCCATATCATAGGGGTGACTATATGATAAATGTAAATCACCTTTTTGCGGCGACCACCATATTGGATTTACCATAACGTCACTTTGCTCATTGTGTTTCTCTCATCAAGCCCTTTCATTTGACACCCATATCATATGGGGGTGACTACGAAAAATATAAATCGCCATTTTGCTGCGGACGCCATATTTTATTTAGAATAACGTCACTTGTCTTATTGCATTTTATCAAGCCCTTTCATTTGATACCCATATGATAGAGGTGACTACGTAAAATGTAAGTCGCCATATTTCGGCAGCCGCCATATTGTATTCAGAAGGTCCCATTGCTCATTGTGTTTCTCTCATCAAGCCCTTTCATTTAATACATATAGCATGGGAGTGATTACGAAAATGTAAATCACCATATTTGATTTTTAGAATGTCACTTTTCTTATTGTGTTTCTCTCATCAAGCCCTTTCATTTGATACCTATCTCACGGGGTGACTATGAAAACGAAATTCCTCAATTTTACTTTAAATTTTGTCAAACTTTTCTGGTCTTTTATCTCCGAGTATAATTTATTATATTCAATCAACCCTTGATGGAATACAGATTTGTAGCATATGTTATACTTTTTGGTCATTAAATGGAAGTCATCTTTATTTCTGGTATTATGTAAATGATGGTCGACATTTGATGATGTTAAATTAGTTAGACTTGATAGAAATATATTATTTTTTACTTTATAAATGAATATCATTACAAGATATTTGATAAAATTTTTTACATTGAGCCATTTTCATTTGCTAAGCATTTGCCTAATTGGTGTATATTTATCTTTATAGTATTATTCTCATGCACTTATTTTGTAAAATTTGCAGTCTTTCAAAAATTGAATTATTTGCTAAATATAGAATAGTCGAACAGTACAAGAAATTTGGAAGAATGATGGTATTATAGATAATTTTTCTGCTATATGAACTCAGACATCCAGAAACTCTCGATAAACATCCCACTTTACTACTAATCTTATTTGTAACTTTTTCATAATGAATATCAAAAATTAATCGAGTCAACAAAAACCCCCAGGTATTTAAAATTTTCTACGAATTCAATATTTTCACCATCAATATTCAGTTGAACATTTGTACATTGTTTTTTTCCGATTAACAAGGCTTTCGTTTTACTTGCATTTAATTTTAGTCTGTTAGATGCTAACCATTTTGAGACAAGCTTCAAGTCTTCATTTATATAAGAGATACCAGACTGAATATTTTTAGTACTTATATAAATCATAGTGTCATCGGCGAAGATCTGAATTTTGCATTTTTTGGCTATGGCAGGTAAATCATTTATGTATAAAATAAAAAGAAGTGGTCCCACGATACTGTCCTGTGGAACACCCAACGTATTTTCAATTTTTGATGAAATAGTGTCATTAACTTTTGTAACTTGCATCCTTTTAGACAAATAATTTCTAAACCAATCTAAAACACTTCCTGTTATACCATATGCCTTCAATTTACCTAACAAATATCTCTATCAATCGTTTCGAATGCCCTCTTCAAATCCAAAAATACTGCTATGACAACTTCTGAGTCTATGGCTCTTCTCCTATTCTCAGTTACCAACTGGAAAGCTGTTTCTGTGGAATATTTTTTTCGAAAGCCTGCTTGCGCCTCCACTAAAATTTTGTTTTCTTCTATAAACTGCATTAATTGGTCATGCACTATGGACTCTAATAATTTTTCAATGTCTGGTAATACATTTACTGGTCTCATATCGCTGCATCTTTTAGAATTTTTTATTTTGGGAACTGGTGTTATTGTAGAGCATTTCAAAGTTTCAGGAAAAGAACTGCTTCTCAGTGAACAATTGATCCAATTTAATACAGGATATCCCAAAATTTCGAAACAGTTTTTCAGCACGTTTTTAGTAGTGATTTCGGCACAGTTGTTATTTGATTTTAAACTGTTTACTTTTTTTCTTAGATAATTCAATGATACGCTGTGAAGTAGGTCAAGTTTAAATGCTTGTAATATAATATAATGGGCGACACAGAAAAGAGGGCAAAACTATTTTTGTTTAACTAAATTTGATGCCATTTCGCGAGATCTTGACTCGTTCCGTCATAACGTTGACATCTAGGGCAGTGCTTACCACAAATTATCAGCCAGACGTGTAATCACAATAATCGTTAATGAGTTGTTGGCTATTTTGATGAAGGACGAACGGATAAAAAATATTACCAATAGTCTCGGAGCAAGGCTACGGTGATGAATCCACATTTGTTAAATCGGCTCGACAAACATGTCTTCCCCTCGTCCAAAGAGAAGGCATTCGATTCCTCTTTCATGTTTTCATCTTCTACCAATTTTGATATCATGTCAAGTTTTGAATTTCACTGCCAAGTTCCTCAGTAGTTTTGTCTCGTTCTGTTTCTTTTTTGAATCGATCCTTTTTAGGGCCACAATAATAAATATTCACCTAACAAGTGCGGAAAGTAGCACTTTTCCGAACCCATAACGGTGCTACTTTCTGCAGGCAGATGCGTATTGAAAGGTGAGTACTTTCCGCATGCTGGTAGAAAAAAGAAATTCCAGAACATCAGTTCAAAAAATAAAAATTTAATGGATTTCCATATAAAAATTAACAATTTTATTTTTAGAGATACAGCAAAAATTGTCAAACAAAAAAGGTAGATTATCCTCGAATGTTAGGTTAATATAACGGGACAGAAACACCACTTTTTTAGATTCAAGATTGCAGGGACCACCTAGCAGCCATTTCAGAAACTTGAAAATATTTTACAAGTTTTTCTCTTTTAGTAAGAACTTTTTTGCCGCAAGCCTCTACACTGGATAGGTTCCTAGATACGCATATTAGTTCTTAGTTGACCACCCTTTACATGAATAAATGAAATAAATATCTATATTGTGATGCACTCGTTTTCCAAATAACAGTCAATAAAAATACTGATGTTTGCGTGGAATATATTTCTGTGATAAAATACAATGTTTATTTATTTTTTTGATCTAATTGAAAAACTTTTGCGTTTGAAAGTCACGGTTGCGAGACAACTGATAGACCAAATATACCCTTGACCTTTGCGACAAGATAATGTTGATACGCATATTTTGCACTCATTAATTATCCGTACCCATTCAACACTCAAATCTCCGATTTCAGAACTTTATTACAAAAAATAAGCCAAGAACAAATCAACAACTTTTTATTCCACGATGTCTTAAACAATAAATTAAATGTAAACTCTCACACAGCTAGTATAGCTAATATGGATACGCAGGAGATTGCATAAAAAAAGACGATATAAAATTTCAGCCTCTCCATTGCGTTGACAAATGTTACCTAATACCATTTACTTCTCGAGGTTGATTGGGTCAATGGCAGGGTCTTGGAATTTGAACGTTGGGAATTTCGTCATATCCACACCGGGTCCACCACCGAACTGCCTGGCGACCTTCTCCAATTCTGTTTTCAATTCTTTTTCTAGGTCTGGAGACGGTTCGACTAGGTTTTTGCCGCTGAAACAAAAGTGGATTCAAATGTGACTTGATCGTTATTTGAAACAATGACATCATTAAAAGGCAGACATCTCTTTGTTTTGTTTTTCATTATTTTTGCATTTCATAGTTTAGCCCCGTATCGTCAGTTGTTCCTACAATTGTATGACGCCTTTATGGCCTCCTTGATTTTAATAGTATTTTCTCTCCTTCAGAAAGACTGGGGTATTTCTAGAACTCCACTGTTCCTTGTCAGGGACAGCCCTCTTCTATTGTGAGGCGATGTTTCTTTTTGAATCGTAGTAAATTTCAGGCTGATGTAAACCAAAAGCATGAACAATTCGATGCAAATGGATGTTTGTAACATAACCTTAAAATAGAGCGCTGACACGGAACAGTAGAAAACTATCAAAATCGAGGAGGCCATAAAGGCGTCCTACAATTGTAGGAATGACTGACGAAACGACCTACAATTTAAAAAGAAAACATATCTTCACAATAGGAGAGCACTGACGCTGACACAGAACAGGTGCAATCTAGAAATTTTTTAAAGAGAGAAAGAAGTATGACAATCAAGGAGGCCATAAAGGCGTCCTACAATTGTAGGAACGACTGACGATATGGGGCTTAATCTCAACCGCCTATTCACAAAATTTCATCGCTCAAGTAATTTAAGAGAAATTAAAAATATCAGTATTAGAAGTAATGAACACCCATATCTCAGAAATAAAGCTGTAAAATACATAAATTTACATGAACATTTTAGTTCATTTTAATGGGATCTTCTATCTTGGATATTATAAACCTGAATAATAACATACACTACCGCTCAAAACTTTTGGGACAGTACATTTTTTGAGGGAAATCAAACCAAATCAAGTTTGTTCAATCAAAGAAACTGAAACTTAATCAGTTGGTAACTTATTTCTATCAAAAGTTACTTTAAATTCGTGATTCATCGAAATGACCACCACGAGCTCGAATAACTGCATTGCAGACACGATTCATCCGACGTATCAATTTTTTAAGAATAGTTGGTCATAAGGATACCCAAGCTTCCTGCAGCTTGGCCCACAAGTCTGCAGCACTAGTAGACGATCTACGACACTGCCCGTTTCTCTCTTTTTCTTGGAATTTGAGACACTGTGCTCCGTCCTATATGCAGCCTTACAACAATTGCTTTAGTTAGCAATACCTCATCACGTAAGGCACACACTGGACTCCATTTTTCAAGAGAAACGTTACCCGTCTTTGCCATTTTAAATTATTTTGAAAAAATCTAACCCTAGCACATCGACTAGTAGTTTATACTAAACTACATACAATTTTTACTTTGTTTCATCAATACCCGGAATTTTTTTGTATCATATTAAGCTGAACATAATACATAGTACAAAAAAAAGTAAACAGGCATGAATTCGGCCGATTTATGACTGCAATGAACTAATAAAAATATCGGCGTCTCTAAAGGGGTTTACATTTATTCCCTTTTAAGGGGTGTTTCACTGATTCATATACATCTTTAGCTTCAATAGTCATATTATAGAAGGTAATAATCAGTCAATGCCATATATGCCTTATTTACTTTAAGTTCTCTTGAAAAAAGTTGCAGTACCAAAATATTTGAGCGGTAGTGTATGTAGAAACTGAAAAAACTCACGAAATTAGTGGGTATTGCTTTGAATGCATTTTACAAGAAATATCAAAAATCTAATCAGCGGACTTAGGTTCGAGGTTTCAAATCAAGAACATTAAACTATAATGATGAGATGAAACATTTGATGTGGAAACACATATGTTTACCAAAATTCAAAACAGACAACAAAAACCGTCAAAAAAGGCAACAAAACAGTTTCTAATAGTTGCTGTAATGTGTGATTCTAGTCACATGTTTTCAATATTTGTCCTCCTAGATGTTTGTTTATTATAATTATCATATAACAACTAACTGAGAATCGACTGCCATGAGTGAAACTGCAAATTGTCTAGTGAGGCTGCTAAATGACACCGACTCACGTTTTTTTTACCTAGCAACCAGTAGTACCTGTACATAAAAATAGTGATCTAGAAGATCTTGACAACCACCACACTATTTTAATTGTGCCTATATTTGGTAAGATCTTTGAAACCATCTTATTTCAAAACCAATGGCTTGCTTAGTGAGTCAGTTTGGATTCAGGAAAGACAAATTTACAACCCTAGTTGTAGTGCAACTTGTGAAGCATGTTATATATATATAGAGAAAATAATCATGCGGAGAAAAGTATATAACAAAAAATTTTCCTCTCCATCTTTGATTCCTCAGGTTACACTCGTATCCGGATGTATGAGCATGTGTATCTACTTTTGTAGTTGCATATGTGCATTCATTTCAGGCCTGATGAAGCCAACCAGCAGAAATACGTATCGCTCGGGTTACCTATCCTATTTTCTGCTCGAATCCACTTTCCTTCTTTTTGCGGATTTTGCCCATTATTTTCTTATTTTTTGTTATATATATACATATATATAAAACCACCCCTAGCTGTGCAATATTTCAAATGCGAAAGGTAATTTCAATACTTCCTATTTAATTATGCAGAAGAAGCTCTTAAAGCAAAAGCATTTCCTCAACAGATTATGTACTTACTTATTGCTCTTCGACTTGTATTCACGGATCTTGTCGATGAAAAGTTGTTGAATGGGATCTGTAGCCTTTTGGAGACATGGAGCCAGTATTCCAATATTGCGGCTGCTGACTCCGCTCCTGATGCTTGTTTTTACACCAGAAAGGATTGTTGAAGACAGCATCTATAGCAAATGCAGTTACATAATATGCCTAATGTAAAGGTAACCTTGAACTTACTTTCAGAGTAGTGAAATTCTAAATGCTGAACCCAAAATCGCTTAGTGGGTGAGAGGGCCGCAACTGCTTTCAGCAGATTTTCAGCAACAACTGAAGAGAAAAAATTATTTTAACAGCGAAATTCGCGACGAGGGCAGAGGGTCGAAGATTAATGTCAGATGTCAAATGTTATCTTTTGAGGTTATCTCATCATTTGTCAAGTATTACGTCACTTGATCACAGGATAGGGTAGTGTGCAGATCACAAAACATACTCTCGAGATGTGCTCCAGATAAGGAAGGCTCCGAGTTCATTATGTTGATAGTCGAAGAGATGCGTTTCATCACGAAAATGCGCATTAGTTTTGATAAAATATGAATGCAATACAAAATGCCTGACTCGTGTTGCCGAAGCTGCCGATTTTTCGGTAATCCTACCGAAATATTGAAAACGTCTTGATTTTCCATGATTTTTTAAAACAATTCAGATATTTCCAGATTTTTTTACCGAAACAGAACTAAAATATAAATGTCGTCTACGTAATGTTTTAGCCTATACCAACATACATAAGCCCTATTTCACGAGTGTCCAACACGTTTTGACGTCTATTGAGGTGAACAGCTAATCAGCAAGTGACATGTTTGTGTTTGTAACGTTGGCAATAATGAAACGGGTGTAAATCTAGTAAAACTTGCTTGTAGCGTTTTTGAATGAACTTGTCCAAATAAAAGAGTTCTTAGCAAGTAAAAAGTGAATCTGTAGCGTACAAAAAAACAAAACCAAGTACGGCTCTGTCGACCTCGCATTGACGGATCCGAATTGTCATGTGTCGATATGGGGAGTTTTGAAATATTACTGTTTTTCTACTGTAATGCATACTAGTAAAAACAAACAGGTACACAATTAGGAATTTAGTAGATGTCATTACGACGTCGATATTTGGAACAATCACGTCAGTTGATGACTTATTACCAAATTTCAGTTTTGTATTTGTCTCTAACGTTAAATGTGTGCCAAGCAGTGTAAATCTAGTAAAACTTGTAAATAAGAGTAGTTAGCAAGTACAAAATTAATCTGCATGGTACAAAAAACCAAATAAAAAAACGGCTCTGTCTACCTAGCGTTGACGGATCCGTCAGAATGATGTAATATTTGTGGAAATCGGGAATTTTCAGATATTACTAGATAATCAACTATTATTCTCCCGTAATCGATACTCGTGAAAAATACAATATGCGTACTCTTGGACAGTCGGACAAACGAACCAAACGCATAGAACTCGAGTTGGCGTTGATAGAACCTCATTTTTGATAGACTAACGCCTCTTTTCATCGATTGATATAATAAAAAATGTGTTTGTTCCGGAATTATTTTTTAAAAGCTATTTATTTTCAACTTTTTCACAAAGTAACTTATCTCCTTCAAAATACTGTCCACTACAACTAATACACTTGTCCCACCGGTGCTTCCACGGCTTGAAAAATGTTTTGAAGTCTTCCTTAGAAATGTCTGACAGCTCCTCCCTCGTTTTTTTCTTCATATAGTCAATGTCGTCAAAGCGACGTCCTTTGATGCCCCTTTTCATCCGTGGAAACAAGAAAAAGTCGCACGGAGCCAGGTCCGGCGAATAAGGTGCGTGAGGCAGCGGAACCATGCCATTTTTAGCCAGAAACTGTCGAACAGAGATGGTTGTGCGCGCAGGTGCATTATCGTGGTGGAAGAACCAGTCTCCTGACTGCCACAAATCGGGTATTTTTTGCCGAACACTGTTTCGCAATCGACTTAAAACCCAAATAGCACAAGCTCTCGAATTTTTTCAACATCTTCACTCGTACACCTGAACATCATCTTTGTACGCTATTTTCAACATTAAAACAGTTTCAGCAGCATTTTTACCAATTAGAAAGCAAAATTTCACAGCTGCACGTTGCTCACTGAAGCTTGCCATCGTAAAAAAGAAACAAGAACGAAACAGCTCTAGCAAAAATAATGTCTACAGAGAAAGGAAACAAGCCGCTCACTGCAATGCTATTCCGGTTACTTTTGGGTACTTCCTCGTACATTCAAGAGTTGGCAACCGTGTACATTACCACATCATCGGATTGACGGTAATTTGGTTTTAACAATTTGACGTTTAATTTTAAGGTTAAGATACGTGGAAGTGTATTATTTATTTGAACTTTGAGGACAGTTTTCTTTGAAAAAATGGTGTCTATTATAAATTCAATCGATACGGGCCATGAGGATATGATTCACGATGCCGAAGTTGACTACTACGGCTTAAGGTTGGCCACTTGTTCTTCAGACAACAGCGTGAAAGTATTCGATATCAAGAGCGGAGTCCAGACGTTGATAGATGACCTGAAAGGGCACTTCGGGCCTGTGTGGCAGATTGCTTGGAGTCATCCGAAGTTTGGTAACCTACTTGCATCCTGTTCGTATGATAGAAAAGTCATAATATGGAAAGAACACCAAAGGAAATGGGCCAAGTATTACGAATATGCCAACCATGATTCCAGCGTAAATTCAGTGCAGTTTGCGCCTCCAGAGTTCGGTTTAATTCTGGCATGTGGTAGCAGTGACAGCTCTATATCCATACTAAGTTACAACCAAGGTACAAACTCCTGGGATGCTAAAAAGATTCAGAATGCCCATGCGATTGGTTGCAATGCAGTTAGTTGGGCACCTGCAATAACACCTTTGTTTGGAAATGGTGAAGGTGATCAAAAACCACAGCTAATTAAACGACTAGTGTCTGGTGGGTGTGACAACTTGGTGAAGATCTGGCGCGAAGATGGTGATAGATGGGTTGAGGAATCAAAGTTAGAGCTACATTCAGACTGGGTGAGAGATGTTGCTTGGGCACCTTCGGTAGGACTGCATCGTTACACGATTGCCAGCTGCTCTCAAGACAGAAGAGTGGTCATCTGGACAAGTGATGATTGTCTAAACTGGCACTCTACCATATTGCATACATTTGACGATGTTGTTTGGAATGTTAGCTGGTCACTGAATGGAAACATTTTGGCTGTTTCGGGAGGAGATAACAAAATAACCTTATGGGATCAAAATTCAGAAGGCGTATGGCAATGTATAAGTGATGTTGCTAAAGGCCAAGGACAGATTAATAACTGATATCGTATTTTTTCAAATAATGAAATGGTTCACTTCCATAGACTCTCAGAATTTTCAGTGGTGTAATATACTATCAAAAATATGTTAATAATAGTTTGTAATAAAATTCATTATAAAAAAAGTGTATGCATCTTCTTTTATTTGGTTGAAAAGTCAGTGGTAGAATGTTTTTTTCAGCAAGTTCACAATAAAGTCATGGATGCAATCATCTTTTTGTACAACTGTGAGGAACAGTGTAGTTTAGAATAAGTATTCAGGCATGAAGTCGTGCTGTTCAGCTCATCAACTTCTTTATGCCTTCGGGTGGTAAATAACTTTATACAGGTGACCCAATGAAAAGGTTCCATCCTTATTTGTGACTCTCCTGGTATATTTTGGGAGAAACGGTCGGACACATCAATTTTGATTTCGACGGGGACGTCTTTTCATCTATAGCCGTACAATCCAAGGTGATCCAAAAACAAGATATTGCATTACACTTTAGATTTTTAAATGGAAACCCCCGTTTTTTTTAATCTTTAGTTTTTCCATGCAGTTTTTAGTAACTTTTATATAATAAAGTTTATACAGGGTGTCCGCAAAGTTGGGGTTTTCCTTTTCAGAAACAACTACCCTTGAAATAACAAAGGTAATGTGTAGTGAAACGAGGGCGACCAAGTAAAAAAAAAATAAAGGAAAAAGTACTCACTCTCCGGTTGACGAGAAGGGCTAAGTACGTCTCTGCCCGAAATCATACCGCTCCAACAGAAAATGAAATCAGCTGATGCACTACCACGCAGACGCCGGCGGTGGTGCAGATCACGAACAGAGGTAACAAACATGACAAATTTGGGAGAATAAATGGTCCAATGAGCATACCGTTCACCATGCCAGCCCAAACAACATGCAACAACCACTCACAAAACCGCACTCTTGCTGGAAAATCGTCAGGTTGAAGGGCTTGTACACGTTGGACGTGAAACGGATACAGCCCCTCTTCACGCAGCGTTTGCCACACTTTAGTTTTTGATACTTGCACTTCTCTAGCCACGTCTCTAATGCTTGTTGTTTTTTGAAACGCAATCGATTATACGGGTTCGTTTACCTCTACACGCGTGACCGTAACCGTCGGTTGCAGGTTGCATACTGACCTGACACACTGACCCCGACCCACTTGTACCAGTCGGTGATACGCGGGTCGCGGCTACAGGGCGGTATTCAGATATTTTTGATGTTGCAGAGCCCTTATCTCGGTTCCCTTAAGACATTGGTGTATATGGTACTAAGAAAAATTGCTTATGTTTTCAAGATCTACACGTCGTGTAAAGGAAAACCCCAACTTTGCGGACACCCTGTATATTCAATCAGTGTGAAGCTATTTGAGTTTATAATAAAATTCAACTAGTTGGAAATGAAGCTGCAGAAATAGCAGTTTTGGGACACGTAGCACTTGACAACACCCAAAGCACTCATGGACTGGCTACCTTTCTTCAGGATTTACATGCTCAACAGTACAAAGAATTGTGAAAAACAAATTTTACATATTTTCTGCAATATATTCATTTAATTTTGAATTCTGCTTGGTGCCCTCCACCATAAATTTCTGATTTGTCAGCCATAGATAAAATGTTGTATACATCTGGAACGTAAAAAGCCCGCCAGCTTAATCCCTTGGATACACAAATAACTATTATTGTTCCTTATCAGTATTGTCATATACTATATTTGACAAACTGAACAATTGTAAGCGTCAAGGCGGCATATTTTCGCGCAGGCTCGGCTTTCAATTGGATATTCTGGGTGCAATATGTTAATCAACAAATGAAAATGGTGATCAAATTTTACGATTTAATTTATAGGGTACAAAATTATAATACTGTAGCATTTTTCTGGGATTAAAACACTGGATTCTACAAAAGGAAATGCACTAATTTATTTAACTTGATAAAACATTTATATACACCACTATTTATGTCTCACTAATTCTTATGTCACCATTTACGGTACTATACTTCACTCCGCTCTGCTACTCTACTGTATTCAGTACTCTGCCTGCATCTCCTGGCCGCCGAGTTATATATAGTCCCCATTACAGCTACGAGAAAAAACCGCGTATAGCACAAAGCGACATCTAGAATGTTGGAGATCACTTCGCGTCGATCTAGAAGACGATTCACCCCGTCACGGTCCTCACAGGCACCGCCAGGCGGCTTGTGCGCCGTGGTTCGCGTAAAAGCAGAGATCGGCATTTAGGCTCTGGCGAGTAGGAGACTCGCCCAACAGATAGCGCTATTCGTCACAATACCAAAGAAAAGCCACTATTAACTCCACTGCAAGTGAAAAATCGACTTAGATGGGCTAAAGAACATAGACAATGGACACCTCAACAATGGTGTGCAATACAATGGAGTGATGAGGATCGATTCGAAGTTTGTGTTGGTGACAGTCGCAGTAGAGTTATTCGCAAAAAAATGAAGCATTCCATGTTGACTGTCTGAAGAGAAAAGTGAAATTTCCAGCATCCATTATGGTCTGGGGCAGTATGTCATCAAAAGGAGTAGGAAAACTTCATTTCATTGATGGAAATGTGGATAGAAACAAATATTTGGCAATTTTAGAAGAATGGCTTTTACCAGTGATGGAAGAATGTTTGGCATCCGGCCAAGATTTTGTGTTTCAGCAAGATGGTGCAGCGTGCCATACCTCAAAAAAGCCTATAAAATAGATGGAAGAAAATAATTACCTTTTGAAATGGGTTTTTAGCAGTCCAGATCTGTCACCTATTGAAACTTTGTGGCAAGAGATGAAAAAGGTTCTACCACAACATCCTGCTCGTACAATCACCAAACTGAGACAAAAGCTTCAAGAAATATGGGATTGTTTTACACCAAATTTTTGCCAAAATTTGGTTAACACTATGCCCCAAATAATTTCAGCCGTAATAAAAAATAAAGGTGATGTTACACAATGGTAATATTTCAATTGTTGCTTTGTTAACTTTGCGCATTTATTCGTACATTGTTTATTTGCCCAGATATTCTAGTAGTTATAGGTCTAAGTGATTTCAAATATGTATTTTTTACGACTGGAGTGCTTCTAAAATTTTTTTGAGAAAATAAATTGTTTTAGAAGTAAATAGTTTCATCATGTTTAGTTTATAAAGGCATATTTTGGTACAAATCTTGAAGTGGGCCAACTCAAGTGGGAAGGGGCTCGTATATCTGTATGGTATGATTTATTAAAAGTAGTGAGAATGATGAATGTTCACACCAAATCTTAAATGTTACTGAAATAAATATCTATTTCCGGAAAATATTGAATATCAACTTAAAATATTCGAATTCTTTAGCATCTGTAGACATCTCCGTCAGGCACGGGAAGTCATCTTAGGGCCCAGCGCTAAGGATGGACGCTTATTCTTGAATAGAGACAACCTAAGGTTGCTGGTGGGACTATTGTTTGGCCATAACATAGCTGCGGATCCCTAATGTGAGCGCTGCGAGATAGAGAATGCGACCTCGGCGCATGTTCTGTGTCGCTGTGAGGCTCTGAGCTACTACAGGCAGGCTTTACTGGGGTCCATCACTTTGGACCTCCAGATCGTTAAGGAGCTGGGGCTCACGGCTATACTCAACTTTGCTAGAAAGGAGGGGCTTGAGGAACACTTTTTCAATAATGAATTTGAATGTGAAAAACTTCTTTTATTCTTAATCTTATCGTTTCAAATTAAAATCACAGACCTGATATATTGTACAAATAAATTGGTCGCTTTTCTTTCACATATATATATAAACGTGTAAGGTTCTCATTCAAAAATTGTAAAACTCAATATACAATTAATTAACCATTTTGAACTTTTGTGCTTAATTTCAGCCATTTGATACTTTAATTTCGGTGGATTGTTCTCATCAAAGATTATGTAGTGACAGCATCTGAAATTTGCTTTATTCTTATTTGCATGAAATGGAAAATTGACACTATCTTCACATGTCCTGGGAGTAGGCGCCCTATGTAGAATTGCCCCACTGCCATGACTTATGAGATCTTTCAAGTTTTCCTTGGTGATTTTAATGTTCTCTATATTTACTGGTTTCTTATGACCTTCAATATAGAAGCTCATACCATCAAATAATCTTGGAAGCCTTAAAAATTTGTTTAAACTTGCCCTTTGGATACCTTTGTTCAAAACAGGATGGTTTATATAAGTATAGGTAAATATGTTAACAAATAAATCGTCATTCAAATATTTGTCTATCCATTCTTGAGGCAAGATTATGCATCCCTCTAACATTGCACTCAATATTTTCAATGACGGTATGTGAGTTGTTTTTATGAAGAAATGAGTGATTTTCTTCAAATCATAGTCTTTGATTACAACAACGTTTTTTCTCTTCAATTTCCCAATATATGCTGGCTCTATGTAGTAACAAAATGCAATCATATTCTTATTAACTAAAATATTCTCAATATGTTCATTACAAGGTCGGAGCGCATTAAAGGTATCCTTTACAAGTTGATTTATTGTACAATCTACAGGTTTCTTGCCAAAATAATCAATAGCATCTACGTTCGCACCATGTTCAAGTAGAAGCTTAACAATCTCTTCATTCTCCAAATTTGCAGCTTTGTGCAGTGGCGTCGTGTATTCACCACCAGGTACATCAAGTAAAACGCCATGTTTTACTAAGATTTCTACTGTTTCATACTGCTCTGTCACGACTGCTTCATGCTAAAAAACATAGCAAGATAAGAAAAAGTTCAAGAGACAAAAAAGTTGTATTTCCATTTGCTTAATAAAAAGAACAATAAAAATTGCACGAAAGACAGTAGTGTACATACTTTTTTTGCACAAATATTCGTTCAGATCCCACTAGAGACGCCACTGGACTTAAATAAATTTATTCAAGTCAGGGCTAAATTATCTCCTTAATGTTATAAATACCACCACCAAATTACAACAAAATTAGGTAATGGATATTTAAGGTATTTATCAAAAACATTTTTTTTTTAAATTTCAACAC